CCCGGTACACCTATTGAGCTCACCATTCATAGTATTTTCTTATATGGCGTGCCATGGAGTTTTCTAAATAATTACCAGCGACTTTCTAATACATGTCTACAAGTATATACTACGATAAAACATTCCAAAATTATATTTTTTTCTTGTATCTATAGAGTTGTGACGTAACCTAAATTGAAAATCGACCCACCTTTATGTTCGAAAATCAAAACCGATTGTCGTTCGTTCGAAATGAAATTAACTTTTAATATACAGTTATTGTTAAACTGTTTTTAATTTTTCGTGAAATTACTCCGTGAAATAAATCGAAATCGGACTTTGCTACGAGTTCTGTTAAGATTATACGATTTATATTTATGCTGTAAATAATAAAACGTACTGGCTGTACATAAAAAGTAATGGCTCTGTAAAAAGATTCATGAATATTCTATTTATTTTTAATAAAACTCCTTTGTATTAAATTAATAGCTTGATTGTTATTTAAATATACCTACTTACTTATGTAATTATAATTTTTTGTTGTAAAAGTGAATGTTAAATAAATTGAACATTTTCTTCATCAGCGGTTCGTGCCTAGAAGTAGGTTCTGGTGTATTGTGTACATAAACAATGATTGCAAGCACAAAATAGTGCTTGTGAAGCGAATTGTGTTCTTGCATTATTTACTGAGAAACATTTGTTTGCTGGTTTTGCAACGAATTATGTGTTGTAATACGTACTATTTATGTATTAGTTAACAGAACATAATGTGTTTTATGATTTAATAGTCATTGTTAATTTTTAATGGCAATACACAATTTCGCAAGACTAAAGCCCAATGTTGGCAACAAGGTAAGTGTTCTGACCCCTAAAACACGAAGTAGGTATATCCTAACACTTCGATAGGGCAAACACTACTTAGCTATTTCAATTTTCTATTCCCAACTGACAGTAAAGTTTAATTCTCGAAGTGTCTGTATATAGTTACGGCTTAATTTTGGGCTTCTGCGCCCAAGCGTGACGCTTGCAAATAATCCAAGAGGCTCGGCAAGGGAGTAGCCGAACTTTGGTCTCGAAACCATGGTATAAGAAATACGAATGATTCGGTAAAAGGAAGGTAGCGTGACATTCTATGAAGTCAAGTGGATAAAATACATTTATATACATAGATTATAGAGTATACTGAAAAAATGAGTACGAGCCTTAGCCACCTATTCGCAAGGAAACCCGATAACAATTGGTCAAGCTTTAACCTTGACTGATCTGTGGTTTCTGTCTCAGAAATCTTAAATTAATATTTTAAAATGAATCAAATAATTGCATTTTCAACAGCTAAGTCGAAGAAAATGTAGACACAGGTATTTTTTCTTGCAAAAACATCATAAAACCTATATTGTTCCATCTTAAAAATTTAATGAGCATTACTTCGTTTGTTATTAGCTAGTTGGTAATAACTATAATTATAAATTAGTAAATAATATTTTTTTATTATCTAATAATGATAATTAAATGTTTGTTGATGAATTAATTAACTTAGATATGATTCCGAGGATATTTCAGACATCCTTCTTATAACAAAACCGTCGTGAAGTCAACAAAACGAAGAAGTTAATACTTTTGCGATCCAATTTTTCTATATACATATGTAGTGAATGCTGTATTTTTACAATTTTCGGAATAGATTACGATCTTACATTCCAATTATTACAGCCGTTGTTTCACCTTGACTCTGTTAATGAATCTATTCTTCTAGAATGTATAAGTTTATAGTTACTTATACAATTATTAAATGTATATTTCATTTAAGAGTGTTAATAAAACCCTTCCCTGGCAGATAACGTAAAAAAAGAATAACATGAGGTATAATGAATAAAATATAACATAAAGTAGGAAATAAAGAAATGCAACAGTATAAATTCTATGGCAGTAATAACTATAGTCAATTGACTTATAAAATCCTCGTTTGTTACCACTTCTTTGTTTATTTAAAAATAAAAAAATAAATTACATTCATTTTTATTATACATATATTTTGATCTTCTTCAGAATTGATATATTTTATATATGTATAAGGTTTTATTTACAAAACTGAACAATACTTTCTCATGGTTTATTGAAACTAAGTCTAATCGTAAACTCAAAGGGAACTATAAAAGCCACGAATTACTTCTAAAAATATCGTTTCATTCAAGTAACGCAAGAATGCTAAAAGAGGCTAACATATACAAGGTTGCTGTCCTTGTATTGAGTTCTATATTACTTTTCATTAATTATTATCTTTAAATATACGTATTTTTACATATTTTAATGCTCATAAACTTTTCAGCACTTTTTTATATTACACTTCGTTAATCAAACAGTAGATATTTTTATCAAAAAACCAAAATGTACCACATATTATAAACGTACGTTATAGAATACCGTTCTGTTGCAGATATTCATATCGCGTGAATGCAAATTGCAATTTCCTTTCATTATCAACTTCAATAATCTGAAACACAATATAAAATATCTCCGAACATAATAACGTCTGGTACTAAAAAATGGAAAGCTGTATAGTTAAGTCTTGCTATCGAACATCTTGAATTCATTTGTCAATGCATGAAAGTTTTCTATGAAGGAATAATGTATAGTGAAAATAAAATACAAAATTAATTAAAAATTCAGATGATACAATTTAATGTATATGAACAAAAGATTGCCATTCATAAATTTTCGATCCAAACGTATATTTTTTATCTCATTTGAAAGTAGACATGAGCATATTAATAATGTATTAATGTCAAGACTATATTTAATTACATTCTTTTAAACCTATCGTTATGTAAAATGGTAAAGACTATTGTTATTTCACGATAATCTTGACTTAATAAACAGTAATTCGCTTTGAGAACTTCTGGTCTTCTATTTACTAAAAATTTAAGATAAGGAAAGAGTTTTTGCTTTGATTGATTTTGAAAAATTATACCACCATATAAATTATATTCGAAAAAAAGATAAAAATGTAAATTTATTACATGTCTTTTTCATCTGACTAGCGCAAAGTCGAATCGTAATAGTGTCGAATGTCGATCCTTGTTTTCACTCTTTGGTAATATAACACGTCTAGATCAAGGGACACATTATTTATAATCATAGGATATCATATGTCAGTCAGTTTATAAACAAAATTTACCCCCTTTTGTTGGTCAATGTTCAATCAATGAATAGTTTGAATCACATTGCTTGTAAGAGATGTGATTCTGTTTAAACTAACTGTAACCTTGAATCGATATCGGTAACAATAAACTTAAAACCACTGCAAATAAAAAATAACAGAACAGAAACACGTCACTAAAAGTTAAATTGCTGCAAAAAATCTCTTTTTACAACTATAAACGAAGATCATTGAACTATATTCAATAAGATAGAAGTGTTTTTAAGAATCAAACACTAAGTTTTGGTGTCGATAAAACTTAGAAAAAATATTTTTTTCTTTCGACAATAAAAACCAATAGGTACTTAAAAATTGTAATTGAAACCTACAATAAACGGTCATGTTTAAGATTCTTCAATAAACGGTCTTATCTAAAATAGCAAAAAAAGCATATTAGCCGTTTTTCCGACATATTTAAAAAATATAAATTGACCACAAAAAAAAAAAATAAACAGATAAAAATAATAAAAAAACTATAACCGATTTAATGCATTCTTTGATAAAAATCTTGATGAAATAACAATAAAGAGAGTAATTGTTTAATTGAACATTTTGTATATTATCCTTTCCACCAATAGGATTAACCAAATTTATTAAGTCACTTGTCCTTTAAGAACCACATTCAACAGCATAAGTATAGGTATATATACCAATATTAATAACTAAAGCATGTTTTTTGAATCAATCCCATTTAGCATTTACGATATAAAAATTAGAAAAGAGTAATTGATGAAACAACTTTAAACACTAGATGACTTAAGGTCCCTTTTTTAAGTCCTTAACGAGGCAGTTTCTGATTCGTCACTGCATACGGATACCTGATTTTCTATGTGGAGAAGACCGTGAAGAAACGTTATGCGTGAGTTTTAAACCGTGAAATATGATAAAAACGGACGATATGGTAAAAACAATCTATTAAAAAGCTTTTACAAAGATTAGATGAACGCTATCTACGATGTAAATTATAATGCATGTCCACTGTATATAAATGCTTCAGCATTATTTTTCTTTTTAAAATTTTAATCTTTTGTCAAAAGATTTTTCAAAATTATGTATATTTGCTCTTTGCCATTCTATGTTAAATTATAGCACTTTTAAGTTTCTTATATCTCCGAAAACCAGACTGAGGTTAGGTTCTAGAAGCCTGTGAGTAATAATTACGTGCGTGCTACAAAGTAAAATTTATAACATTGCTAGTATAATAAATCTTAAAAAGTAGCTCTTCCTGACATTATTAAATATTATTAATACAGTAACTGGTCAAATGTGCACACCGCACACGAGCCTTTGTATATTTAGGTTTCCGACATCTTTTTCGTGTTCTTCTGAAAAATCCATATATTTGAATTAATAACAAAAAAATATTTTATCGTGTATAGTATTTGATATAATAAATATTTCATGTTTCAAAAAGCTAAGAAGATGCTATGACAATTTCGTATTAATGTTCACAACCCGACAAGTTCTTGCAGAAAATAAGTATCGACAGTTACAACATGCAACAAAAGTTATTTATAGTAAAATGCCCGAGCAGGTCTATCTTGATAATGCCGAAATATTTACACTAAATGTCATGTTATGTTTACAATATTAAATGTTTTTAAACTCTGGTTGAAATGTTTTAACGTATAAAACATTTTAAATATTTTTATTTAATTATTGCATATTTATTCTGTATATAACATGAATGTACAATGTTTACATTTTTAATTATCTGTATGACATTGTTTTGATTTTGATGTTTGCTTCGAGTTTTTGCAACTTCACCATCTGTTTTGTGTTTTATTTTGTAGAGAACCTGGTCAATGTGAATTAAATAAATAAAATGAATAGAAACTGTGGTAGAAAGACCGAGTTTCAAGACGAGCACTACTGCGCCGGAAATGTCACTGGGAATTTCCGACGCGCTTGTTCACTGCGGCTGCGCGGTGAAAAAATGGTGCAACGATCCCCTTTAACAACTAGAAAATATATTCCAATAATCACGGAAAATACAAACCAGAAACAAAGAAATGGTTCCCGTCTCCCGGAGCCGAGCTACCGCGCAAGGAGTCAAGTATGTTAATAATATATATAACCCCTTAAGGTTAACATTCTAATTCGATTATTTTTTTTATGGCTACCCTATATAGGCCCTCCAAAGTTATAAATACATTAACCTTTTCTATTATTCAATTCTACGTCACCATTATTATTTATAAAAGTCACAACAAAATCGTAACATATGTTTCCATTTTTATTTTTTAGTCATTTAACTCCACACAAAAACCGAAAAAATCCTGTTTAAAATTCCAAGAAACCTCGATGGATAGAAACCTCAGTATGACAGACTCGGCCCATACACCACCAGGGTCTCCAGAAGATTTACCTGACGATGAATCTCTTCATAGTTACGGCAGCGCAGCCACGGCCGCTTCTATTGATGCCGGATACGCACCATTCAACGGCACTACATTTAGTGGTAGATCCATGCGTTACGTCTTACACTGTTCCTCACATGCCGGCCTAGCTGGAGAAGATTATCTTACACCAACCCAGAGAGCTCAGAAACAGATACGTCGACTGAAAACACTGTTAGCTCAGGCCAAGAAGGATTTAGAAGAAAAGGATAGTGAAATATTTCAACTTACTAAAGAAGTTGTTGAGCTCCGTCTCTACAAAGCTTCAATATTTTCTCCGGATGAAAAGTCCAATTCGAGTGAAATTGTGACCGTCCGAGAAAATAATGATGAAGCTTCCATAGAAGAGGAGAGCATAAAATGTAAAAGTGCCCTTCGGTCATTCGATATCACAGATAGTCCTATGTACAAAGATCAAACACCGACAAGATGCCGCAATGAGATGCAGGGCTCGTTTACTGATTCCGGGCACTTTGATGACCTTACCAATTCTTCTTTACATTCAAAAGAATCTGTACACATGTTGACCCATGACGCCGCATGCATGACAGAGACAGTTGACAGTGATGAAGAACGCCGGAACTTAATAGCCTTCTATGAAAAGAAAGTAGAAGATATAATGAGAGCTCACGTTGGAGAAACACAAGAAATTAAAAAATCACACAACGACAAAGTAGAAGCATTATTACAAAAGCTATCGGATGTCAACACTAGGTATTGTGAACTTTTACCGAACTATGAGCAGGCTAAAGAGAGGATACATATATTAGAAAAACAGTTGGAAGATGCAAGTAAACAATTACAAGACGAAGAAAGCAGACACCGTTCTGTATACTTACAAATGTACAACAAGGGAAAAGAAGCTGCAAAGTTTGAACTAGATAAAGTATATTATATATAAAGATACTATATAATAATAAGTTTATTACATATGTATTATGTTTATTTTCATGATGTTGTAGGAAATTGATCCCGAACCTAGTACTAGCCAGCTCAGTAGAGTCTCTGTCGAGGAACTATTGGAACAACTGCAAATAACACAGACTGAGCTTGAAAATGTCAGAGTAAGTAATTCTATTAGACAACTAATAATAACCAATGATATTAGACCCATGCTAATATGTCATTTAAATCCAGATGTATGCTATAAAACTCAACTAGCAATTAAATAACATAATTTTCCAAATTCTAAAACATGCTAACATTTCCTATGTACACTCAATAAAGATTTAAATCGACGCCGTTAATATTTATGGATGAGAGTAAACCATGTTAATCACAGTAATATGCATGTAGTGGCGATTAACAAACCCGCTTTAACATGTAGTGAATTGCAGGATTCGGCATTCACAGAGGACAGAACGGCAAAGTCACAAGTACTTCTTAGTGCAAAGGAGGCTGTTTCTTTATGGGTCCTAGGAGCTCGAAAGGTTGGACTACACTACTTAGAGAGTTCAATGAACATGTTTTAATGTACACTTTGCTTTAGTGCACAGGTCTTAATCATACTGTTTAATTTAAAATGACAAATTTATTTAATTTAAGTATGTTAACATATTACTTACATGGGACTTATTACATCATAAAACATTATTTTTGCTATAGTTTTTATTGTACATATATATTGATGCAGTATGTCCCATTATACTGGTTATGGTTTTAATATTAATCTTATTAAATCTATTTTATATTAAGATCATGTACTTATTAAATAATAATTATTAAATAATATGTTATTATTATGATAAGTATAGATCCTAAATCCCCTTTTTCTGTACCCTCATGCTAGTTTATTATTTTTATATAAATTAATCCAACCTGTGCTTAACTTTAAGCTTTGCATGCTAAGTTTGAAACAGCCTCTTTTGGTTTATGGGTGAAGTACTTGGAATACTGTGGAAGGTATAAAATTAAGTTTTTAGAATAATTATGTAGATAAAGCTAATAAATTTATTAGGTTACTTATGTTTTATAATCATGTATTATTTTTATGTGCACATTTCAAATTCTACTGGAATGTTTTTTAGTTACTTTTAATATTTTATTTTTATTATTTATATAGTATGTTAGTAACGCGAGTAGATATTTGAAGTGTATGTTATTTTTATTTGCAGTATGTAGATATTAGTATAACTATATAGTTCAGCTTCACAAATGTGTCGTTATAAATTCTAACTCTATATATTATTTGCAGGCAATGTATCGACGTATTGTGGAGTCCCAGAAAGGAAACAAGACCATAATTGATCCGGAAGTGACCTTACAGTTCCTGAAATCAGCGATCTACTACTTCCTGACAGATCCTGAAAACCATCAAGGTCATTTGAATGCCATCGAAAATATCCTCGGTTTCACCGAAGCTGAAAAGAAGAATATACGCAAAGCAAGAACGACGTAGGCTGCTGCAAATATGTGATAGTTATAAATAGTTACATGCCACTTAGATATAACTACTTGTTGCATGTCCACAAAGACTAGTTATTTAAAACAAAACAGATGCACATTATATTAAGTTGTTCATAATACTTTTATCATAATAATTAAATTTTATTGTCTTGCACTATAGAACTGTTTAATCAGTTTATCTACGCCTTATTTCTGCAAGTTATCTATCGAATTTTTTAGACATTAAATTTGTGATTTTTTTAATAGTTTTTAAGCGCCAAAGAAAAGCATTCCTTATCTTTTTTGTGCAATTTTAACTTATATTTATAAGTGTACAATGAGGGTTCATTTTTGATGACAATTATTTTAAGTGTTACATAATATTGTTTCTATTTACTTTGTTCCTTTTTTAATTTATTTTCTGTTATGTTATTTTGCATGTGATAAGTTTTACTTATTTTATTTAAACATCTTAAACGAGTACTTAAAACCTGTATAACATTGGAGATAAATTTTATCTTAACTGCCAATACGACAGCAAATCTTAGACTATGTATTTAACAACCAGCCGTCCCTGAGTTACAATAAAATTAATCTTCTTTAGTTATGACGTTCTATACTATACATAAATCGTATTCTTGCCTTTTAAAAGCTGCATCTGTGATTAGACTATTTATTAATTAAAAAAAATATCATAATAAAATCATGCTTCGATCGCTATTCCATCCTTGTTTAAAATAATGTAATTTATTTATTGAATACTCTTTTCAATTTGAAATTCACAGAAATGTATTTTCATAATAATACATAAATTAGTAAAGGCATGATAGTATTTTTAAATGTATTGCTATATTGTAGGCAATTTTTAAGCAACATCACATTTTATTTAAGTGATGCAAATGTAAGGGTAATTGAGATCATGTTATTTTAATAACTTTTCTGGGTTTGTCAAATTGATGAGATTAAAGTGAAGGTATAATTAAGAGGCTATGGGGTGGATATTTGTGATTTTGCAAGAAATTAATGTTTGAAAATGTCTTATTACCTTAAACATAAGTAACTATAAGTTATGACATTTTCATTGACAGCAATCTTTGTGTTTTCAATAAAAAGTGAATTAAATGTGTTATTTATTTACCAAAATCGGTGATGTATATATAAGTAAAAAATTATTTTTAATAAATAACAGTTCCTGTTAAATTTTCCAATTTTGATATATTTATATACTTTTAATTTTACATTCATACAAGTGGAAGATAATGTTCCTAAGACAGTGCAGTGTCTGAAAAAAAAATCCTTTAATAAGAGGACATGAAAGTATAAATTATATTTATGCAAAACCAAGGATTAAAAATTTACTAATCATTAGCAATGTTTATCGTAAGCCTTAAGAATGCAAAAGCTTTTTCCTTCACTATCCCCTTTTGACAACTCAAATAAAATTAAGTAGGTATGTCATTTCTTACTTCTATTCTATACTTACATCTGGTTAAGCATCAACTTTTAAATATTTCACGACCTTGAGTAGTTCCAGGCTGTTTTATGTTTTGAAATAAAAGAAAACCAAGTAAATTTTCATTTATAAATATTTATATTTCGAGAGCGTGTAAAGATTGTTACAAGTAAAAATATTAGCATACAATTTTAAAGCTAGCACAGACTTAATTGTATTGAATAATTAATCTTAAACATAGATATTAGTTATAATTGTACTTATTTTATAGTAACTTACATTGGAAGACTGCAACACAATGATAGTAGAAGTCACAACCCTTGTACAATAGCAAAATATGGATACATCGTTTTAACTTTGATTTTCTTATCATGAGAAAATATGTAATCTACTTTATCAATTAATGTTTAAATTTGATTTCAGTTAAATTTTTCACTACCATATAATGTGTATCCTGTGGTGTACAAAAAGACCTTGTATATGTATATATTTTATGGCACACAATAAGCATTGGATTTAATTGTTAAAACAAAATAGAGATTCATTTCAGTCTTGTTGTAGGTTTGTGTAAAAAACGTCACAAGCGATTTTTATATAATGTAAAAATTACTATTATTTAATTATTATTAATAACTAATTACAATATTAATTAATCACTGTTACCTTTGGGCTGGATGAAAATCGCATTTGAACTCTTACTTCTTACAAACTAAGCGTTTATTAAAACTGTAATGTATATTTGTTATGGAAAATGTACAAAAATACAAAAAAAAACCAACACGTCCGTCATACAAATTGTACGTTCCGTTTTGGACGGTAAATGCATAATCAAAATAAATTTAAATAGTCGAGATCAAAGCTCCGATTGATATGTATGTCAAGTCAATGTTTCATTATTCACTTAACCGCTGATACAATAATAAATGTAGGTAATGTTTTAGTCAAAACTAAACTTGACTTCTTCGCGTGAGGGGTCCGTGTTAGCTGCGACCGCTTGTAGCCAGTACCGACTAATCTGACTTTCAATAGAAGGAGTGCTTTCTTTACGTACTGAAGCTCGTTTACGTTTTGCTTTACTGTGTTTTGTTCGACGCCGTCCCACTTTAGTTTTCATCTCAGCTATTTTCACCGACAGTTGACTGTCGAGAGAGTTACGGCGCGACTCAACGGACACGTGACGAAGGCTGATACTGATCTGTGAGTCCTGGAAACAATATAAATATTAAACAATGTTTTATATTATACAAATGTACATCTACAATAGTCAATTAAATGTCCTAAAATGTTTTTTGTTTGATGTAAAAGCTTTGCATACATTAACCGATATAAATCCAACTAAATTACTTATTATATGGATATTCAAAACGATATACAACCATTAAAAGTACTCGTGACAGAAAAGAACTGAATAATTACTACATATCTTAAATTTTAGTGACAAAACATACTGTTCTATTATTAGATAGTTAACTGTATCTTATTATTATAAATTATATTGTTATTACTTGTGAGTTCCTGCGATCCGGAGTAGAGGACATGTCGTGTGAGTGGTGCGCGTGTTGAGGCAGCACGAGGGCGTCGCGACGACGGACGAAACGAGGCAAGTTAGCTGCCCACGACGATGATAACTCACCGCTGAGAACAATACGACTGAATCAATTGGATATTATTATAGAAAACATCTTCATTTATTAGAAAAATCATATAATAGTTGAATTATGCATATAATTTGCACTCGCACGGCGTTGTCGTTTTAAAACTTTTCAAAATGTCCACCGCCTTGTTCAATGCTCTTTAATGACCGTTTTCGCAATTATACTAATATTATAAAGCTGAAAGGTTTGTTTGTTTGTTTGTTTGTTTGAAAGCGCTAATCTCCGAAACTACTGGTTCGAATTGAATAATTCTTTTTGTGTTGGATAGTCCAGTTATCGAGGAAGGCCGTGGGCTATATAACATCACGCTACGACCAATAAGAGCAAACATATAGTGGTAAATGTGTAAAAAACGGGAGAAATTATTTCGTCTTTGAAGCCTTCCGTTGCGTGCGCCGTGAAAACGGTTCGAGATACACAAAAAATATGTACTAAAGAATAATAGCTCTTTAAATGATCTAAAAAACAGTCCGCGACAGTATATGTCTATCTTTTAAAATTAACTCACAAAAACCGTTTTTATGGTACCTAATTTGGTCGAAATAATTTGTTTAAGTTGTATCAACATAATAATATTAATCTTTATTCAAATAAACAAATAAATATGTTTTTGGTTAAGAGTACTTCATTGTGAATTAAAAAAAAAAACATAGGTTTTATCCTGAAAATTCTACGGGAACTCGACAATTCCGAAAACCCCACAAGAACGGGAATTATGTAGGAAAAACCAAAAATCTGCCGGAAGTCACTATTCCACGCGGACGAAGCCGCGGCAAAAGCTAGTTTTAGATAATCCTGCAGTGTCACTTTTCACTTTTACAAAGACGGTAATTATCTTATTTATCAGTTCCTTGAAACTTGTTCTCTCTGTGTTATAACTAGCGATTTAATTCGCCCCCACAAAAAAAAGTCGAGTGGCGTCTAATCAGCTGATCTAGGAGGTCAATTGACACCTGCGTAAGTATTTGATGTGTGCCGGCTGTCGCTGTGCATGCGTAGATATTTGTAAAATACTATTTTAGCCTTGAAACAAGTATCAGTTTTCTTTAATTGAATGATGATTACTAATTTAATATTTCATTTTAAAAATCTTAATACTCTGACTTACGATCCATTTTCGTTTCAATAAAGTGTTTAGATAACTGTGTGTAGGATGACTGTAATTTACTTAGTTCTATCTAAATTTGAGAAAAAAAATTACCTACATAAAAAACTATAAAAATCGATCCAGATTCCGATTCTGAACAAATTACTTTCAGGGTGTGCGTTAATTATGTTACACGTTGTATAATCCACCATCTATGTATATGGAATAGTTCTTTAGTATAAGACAATTTTTGTGTTATAGAAATATTGTGTTAATTTCATTATTCAAAATAACCAGCGATACAGTTATCATTGAAACGCAAATACATGTAAACAAATATAGTAATTACATGTAAAAAAATAGCTTATAAATCATTGCATATTATATAAGTGTTCATATATTTATTACCTCTCATGTTTGGCGTCTTCCGGGTAATCAGCGGGTGAGTTGTCCAAACAGAAGCCCACGGGGTCTTGTCTAGATCCTCCGAGCGATATTGATAGTCTCCCTCTAGTAATGAACTCGTTGCGCCGCCTGTACGCGCGTGCTATCAGCTCGTGTTTATGAGCACGACGCGTCATGTCAGCTTCTACTGAACAACCACATTTCCTATAAAAAAAAAACAATTTTATTACTATATGACTTAAAAGATATAAAAACACAATAAATATATATTGTTAATGAGATTTAAATAAAGTACATGTATTATTGTATTTATTTAAATAACACAAACTATTCGGATTATTACTCATATTTTATTATTACAAAAAAAACATATATCTGCCTATGATCACGGTTGCTGCAAAGTAACCGAAACGTCAGGACTATGAAGTTTTTGTCACATATAATAAAATACGCATAGTAATCCGAAAAATATTAGATTCATTTATATGTAATGTTGATATAGATTCTGTACATGTCTCAATTTTTTTAATATCTATATTATCTAAATGCTCATCAAAACGGTGTAACAATACATGTAAACTGTAGGTTTGATCGTAATATCTAATACTTGGCCATATATCTCCTCCAGGCGGCTGCGGCGACGGGCGTCCATGTCCACGAGGCCATTAACGCTCCTGACGCGAAGCAACACAACAGACGTAGTTGTAAGACCGACACAGACGGACGAGCGCCTTGAGAACACTCACGACCTGATAGTAACGGATCACGCCACGACTCTAGGCGACAACTGGAAAGATAATGAGAATGGAATGTATTACTATGAGAGTGTAAGTAATTATATCTTAGTTTAAAATGATAGGTAATTCTCGAATGTGACTTGCGTATATTGTTTTGTATTAGATCTGAAGTTCCGATTGTTTTTTTTTAACCAATGTGAATTTAGGTAGATGAGACGAAAGGGACAATTTTATAATATATATATATATATATATATATATATTTAAATGAGCAACTATCGTTTATCTATATTATTAGTTCTCAATTCAGAAGATATACACAAGCATTTTTTACTACTCCTTTGAATTCGTCATCACTTTTTCATATACAAAATAATTTTCAATCATTTTATATATAATAACAATAAATCAAACCAACATGATGTTATTCTTGAAGGCTTCCTTCCAAGCATCCGCGTTCCTGAACTCGTACACGTGACACGCGAACGTTACACAGATGAAGACGGCCACCAGAGCCGCTGTCAACGAACAGCGGGTGATCGTCTGACGGATCTTGTTGGAGGCGCGAGGAGAGATCACGTCCTTGCTGGACACGCGGACCGCTATCAGCGAGAACACACCTGGAAATATACAACGATTATATATAGAATGTTCTCGATATTTAGCGACAGCGCCATCTCATGACGAGTGTGCGAACAACTCATAAATGAAAATACATACTAATAGTACTCCGGTCATATTACGTTAACTGTATACAACAATAGGCCAGTGCAGATGCCTCTAAAAATGATGAAAAGTGAAAATTATAGTAGAATGAAACCCATTAGAAAAGGAGCGGAATATTATAAAAATTAAGGGAAAATAATTTACTGGCGATCTGAGGTCGGGAAGGTACGGGCGTGGGTATTTAAGGGTAAAAAAAGGGTTTTCTCGATTTCCGGAAAAACTAAGAGTCCTAATGAGAAATGTTATATGGCAAAGTTGTAGGTAATAAAGAGATCTAAAACTTTTGTATTTACACTTTTTTCACATAACCTGAAAATTTATGTGATAAATTCGAAAAACCAAAAACTTGGTTTTTTATTTTTATCTCTTACATAAAAAAAAAATCAAGAAATTTCGTGAAAACTTTCCTTTTGATGTTACAAATGCACTGTAATTTGATTAAAACTATTTATTTCTTCAGCTTATTTTGAATAAATACCTAAAAATCAGCCTCATTTTCAATCGAAAAATCACCCGTCAAAATATCAGCGTTTTTCAAAAATTTGGTGCGTTTTCTGTTCGTTGAAATCTCTATTTTCTGATGGTAAAGAAATAAATATAAGTTTCTTACTTGCAGTACCATTTTTGGATAAAATAATCATGTCCCTTTTAATGAAATGACACTCGATATCGTTTAGAAAATGTTCTTTCAATTTATTTTTAATAGTTTTAACAGCTTAATGTAAATTTTCTGTAAATAACCTAAAAGAAGGAATATCTGGAGAACTTCCAGAGTACACAACTATTAAAAATAAATTCGTGAAAAAAATGTTAGTACAAAACTTTTAGATCTTTTTATTACCTACAACTTTGCCACATAACATTTTCCGTAGGACTTTTAGTTTTGCCGGAAATCGAGAAAACCCATTTTTTACCTTTAAATACCCATCCCCATACCTTTCCCGAGCTCAAATCGCCCGTAAATTATTTTTCCTTTAAATTTCATAATATTCCCCTCCTTTTCTAATGAGTTTCATTCTACTATAATTTAATTATGTTTTAAAAGCTATCGGCACTGGTCTACAATGCCTTATGCCAATATCACAGATAAAGTTATTCGTAAGATATACTAATATTTACTATACGTGAAAAGCTTTTTGGGAGAACTAAGCCTATTTAAATACTTTAATTATTGTGTACAAATAAGTAGACGAATCCTCAGAGGTCATATGCTAATACCATAATTTTTAGTGCATCTGGGTTGAATATTTTTTTTATTATTATTATATACATAAATAAAAATGAAGCAATGTTAAAAAACTTTGAGTCTAAGTCACTACTTACTACATCGATTATCGGCCTTTTGTAAGATCTTTCAAAATAGTTCTAGCTTTTTCAGATATTAGGCAAAATAAAGTGCCAGTTGTAAAAAAATAAATTAATTTGGTATATGGACAGTATCCATGTACCTTAAAAACATAAAATCATATTACTACAGAGAGACTCCTACTATTATTATTATTAGTAGTACAGATCTGAACGAGTATTTGAAAACTAAATAGTAAATCAAACATACCTCTAAGTAGGAAATAACCGCCGAGTAACAATACAACTGACAGTGGTGCTAACAACCAGGCGGCCCTCATCGGATGGTTGACGTAACCAACGAAGCAGATGCCGGTCACGCTGTTACCGTCGATCTCACCGAACGCCATCGTCGTGATAGTGAGTATCAGTGGTAGGGACCACGCAACCAGGTGGAAATATGCAGCCTTCTTGTCTATACGATCTTGGATTTTACCTGAAAAAATTACAAATAGTAATTTAATCTCTAAGATTAAATTTGGATACATGTATTCTCTAAGGCCTCGGTCTCGAATTTTGCGGGCAGCGGAGCGGCAGCGGGAGCGGCAGGATCTTACGCGTATAATCAAATGGACCGACCCTCGAATACAGCGGTGCCCGCTGCCCGCTAGTTTGGAGAACAGTATGTGTTTCCGTGCCGCCGCCGCTGCCGCTCCGCTGCCCGCAAAATTCGAGGCCGAGGCCTAAGACAGGCTCTCGATTTGAATTAATTTTTATTTATGACTTGAATTTAATATTTTTTTATAGTCAAACAATAATTTGAATAGATATTTCTTGTGTGTTTCTTTTATATTGTTCAATTTTTTTTGCAATTAATTATTCATATTATTTATGTGCTAGGTTTTTTCTGCAACTACATCGGCGTGGAAATCGGAATAAAGTTCAGAGATAATAGTATAGTATATTAAACAAATAAATATGTGTTATGCTAACCTAAAGTAAGTGAAATTTTTATTCCGTAGTAGGATGGGAACTAGGAGAATTGAAGGAATAAATTATATGATAAAATTACTCATTCTGATGAGCCTCTGCATTACTGTTTCATCGAAACCCATTAACCAGTTTTTGGGTGGAAGCAAAGACAATCGTACAAACTTTCGCATTTATATTAATAAATCAAAGAACGTTAAGAATGAAAACACTCACCCAACGCCTTAAAGCTCATGTGCCACGCGTACGTGAATATCACAAACCAAACACAAGCCGCCATCATGAAATAATAAACCTGTTGAACAATTTTTCTTATATAAAACACTTTAAATTAAAATACTAGTAATTATTAATTGTATTTTCTTTACCAGAACAAAGACAACAACACAAGACAGATTCTCTTCAGCTGAAGGCTCTCCTTGACGTCTAGTGCCATCTTTTGAGCAAACTATATCATCCCTCGAACCCACTCCGAATTGTACCAGCCAACTGAAATATAACGTGTTTATGAGCATTTTATACTAACTAAATGACGTTCTTTTGTTTTCTTTTACCTGCAAAACAGGTGTTTATGTAATATTTTGATCGATATGTACTGTATTCAATACAAAACATGGAACATATTTTAGACTAACATTTGGAATATATCAAAATTGAGTTGTATATCATATATTAATACCCCATGGACGCTACCGCGAAGCACACGTTGATATAGAATATGACGAGTGCTGGATATTTGTTAGCGCTGCGCCAGTCTATGAGGAAGGTGGCCACGGTGAGTAAGTTGAGAGCGAGACACGAGCCCGCGCCCCACGCTATCAGACGGTGGATCTGTGCGTGCTCGTCCTCCGTGTACAGAGGGTCGCGACAGGGCACGCCGCAGCCTGATATACCTGAGGAAATAATAAGAGGAGCTTAGATGGTGGGGGTGAGCGTTTAACGCGTTAGATAGGGGCCCCTTAAACGTACACCTGGGTCGTAAGTCCCAGGCACTGTTGAAGCTCTTACAATGCGATGGACCCAGCACCCGCACGGGGAATTATTTGATATAAATCGTTTATGCCTGCGACTTTCACTTCGTTCGTAGAGAAATTATTAATTAATAATATATATGTACTGAAATGAATATTTTGGGTAACCAATTATTTGTGACGTGACAAAGTACTTGACAAAATATAACTTTAAAATGTGTTCGTTAGGGAAATATATGCTTTTAAATAAATTATATCATATATGTTAATCTGATTAAGCAAAATTACTGGAAAGTTAAATTAAATTAACAATCAACTGTATACCCTCAAGATCTTTCATTATATAAGTAGGATATACATTAAATATATGTACCTTCGTAAAAGTGATGTCGTTTGTCCGTGTGTATCAGCGGCGGTAAACATTTACCGGTCGTGTTGAATTTCATCTCTCTCGCAGCGTTCTCGCATTTCGGCGGGAACAATGTAGCGTTGCATTTCAGAAAGGACGGAAAATATGAGGTGTTATACAGAATTGCACACGGTTCCATAGTTATTTTGCACATCTCGTACGATGGTAGATGCACCATGTCCTGACCGTTAATTGTCTCGCAATTTGGCATGAACGTAGCACATAGCAACGGCTGTATTACAGCCCAGCATTTAGGAACGTTTATCAATTCCCTGTATTGCTCCAGTTGGTTTTGTATTTTGTACTGACTGTCGTAAAAGGTGAGACGGACGCTTGTCCTATTGTATGGTAACTTGACTCCCAAGCACGTGGTTTTGGTTAATGGTTCGCATTGAGCTCTTCTGACACAGCTATCTAACTTTAACTCTCGTTCTGGGAACCATTGAGGACTTTTTTCAGCCTTAATCACTCTGTAGTATAGAGTTCCTTCTATAGCTTCGAGTCTGACGGTCGTATTTTCGCTGGTTCCAGTCACGCCTAGTGAGTTTTTCTCACCGCCATTATCATACTGGCTCGCCCAACAGCTCGATACAAGCAGAATACCACACAACCATCCCAACGGGAACATCTGCAACAATAAACAACAACATTGACGGACACATCCAAAAACAACAACAGGGTATTTATTATATTATGTGATAAATTAAAACTACGTTTTATATTTTTTAAAACGATCTCTTTATTTATGTTGGCAGAGGGCGATATCAAATGAAACCCTTTTTATTTCAATAAATTTATTCTTTAACAATTTTCAAAGGCTTAATTTTAATAATTTCAATGTGCATGCGTTACAAGAACAGTTCGTGTTTTAATCCAAGAGGAAAGGGTGGGTGTAAGGAAGTCAGTACAGAAAGGCTTTAAAAAAATGTTAGGGAATTAGTTAATATTAAATACATTAATTGTTATATTGTCATGTATGGAGATATATTTATAAAATACACTGTACTTGATCATATTACTCCACCATTTTAATGTTATATCTTATGACAGAAATTAATTTCCCTTGTCATTATGAAAATATTTTTTTTATATGTATTGATTATATTATTGTTTAAAAACATTTTTACAAGAAGTTACAAATAAAACTTGTACTGACTATTTTAAGGTATACAGGAAGGATTTCTTTGGATTTTAATTGACTATACTTTTTCTTTATTATGATTAATCCCACATTAACAAAATTATTACAGAATATAAAGGAATGGGTTTAATTTTATTTGTTTCAATAATAAAAACAAATTTATTTATTGACAAAATCAAATAATACCAGGCTCTTACTATAATTATGATGTGTATCGCTGAGGTGGATCCGAGCAATTTTCTTCACAATTGGAACTCCATACTGCTTCTAGCCATCCGTGTCTTGATTTCTTCTTCAAGGAAATATTACCTGGTATTTAAGAGGAAAAAGAAACATGAATAATAGTACTAAAAACGAATTAATTTAAACAATAGAACTGATAAACTCACCGTCATATCCACCAAAAGGTATTTCACAGGTGGAATTGAAATCATCAAATATATTTTTTAACTTAATATAAATTTATTAATTTTCAACTTACGGAAATGAAATACAAGCTGTAAATAAAATTATGTACAACCTTTTTATTCACCAACACTCTTACACTTAGCACTTGCAACTTATAGTTCAAATCAGTGTATGAATTATTGTCTATGAAACATGCAATTATGTGACAAAAATCTATCCTATGCTAGTTAGTTTGTTTGCTACCCCTTCTGAAAACCCTATTAGCTCCTGTACCGCGGCGTGTCCACGTGACGCCTCGAGGTGGACCTCCTCTGCGCATGTTCCGACCGAAACCATTCATACCTCTACCGCGACCTCGATCCTGACCTCTGCCACGGTCGTGACCTCGACCTCTATTTACACCTCTATCTTGACCCCTGCCTCTAAAACCGCCAATCCACCTCTGATTTCTTCCATAGCTATCATCACCGTCTTCTTCCTCATTGTAATTCTCCTCTTCATAGTTTTGGTCAAACGATTCTTCTTCATTATATTCACTATTCTCTTGTGAAAATGACTGGTTAGTTTCATAGCCACCCTCAAAGTGTCCTTTGTTGTAGCCATTGTCTGAGAAAGGCGGTAATTGGTTCATATTGCCCATTGGAGGCATATTTCCCATTGGGCCCATAGGTGGCATACCACCCATCGGTGGCATGCCTCCCATGTGTGGTGGTGGCATGTGCATAGCATGAAGTGGTGGCGGCCCTAAAGGCGGTCTCATAGGTCCCATATTCATTGGAGGTCTTAACAAACCCATCGGTGGCATATTACCCATAGGGACCATGGGAGGCATCATTGACATATCGGGACCATTATCATAATTATTATAATCTTCTTGATTCTGTTCACTGGTATCCATCTCATTGTTAAAATATTCTTCTTGTTCATAGTTTTCTTTTTCCGCATTTTCATTTTCGCTTTTCTCACCTTCATTTTCATTATTCTCTTGTGTTGGATATTCAAATGGAGGGAAGTTATCGTCGTCTGCGTCCTCCTCCAGATGGGCCATCATTTCATCCAATTCTTCAATTTCACCGGTAGCTATGTATCTCTTTAGTGCAACATGACCTTCTGTTATAGCTTTTTCTAATTTTGAGCCAGGTTCTACTGGTATTAGTTTACCATATATAAAGATAGCCGAAGGATTGATCTGCTGCAGTGGAACAGCTCCCGGAACAGATTCAACTAAAGCCTGTGTAAAGGCCTCGGCAGCTGCATCGTCTACAGCTGGGCCATGATTCCACTGGGCTTGGAAATTCCTTGGAATAGGTTTGCTGTAAGGCACCTTTTTAACTTTCTTCTCAAATTCCATTGGAATTAATGTGGTATCTAAATCTAATCCAGGAATGACCTTGTCAGTGTCCGATGAGAATATATCGACTTTATCTTCAGGACCCATTCCAGGGATTGCTGCTGGTTCTTCAAGGTCATTATCGTCTTGTACACCTGGTGGCAGCGTATTGAGATTATACTTGTCTCTCATTTGATCTCCAGGTCGATTGCGAGTCCAAAATTTAGAGGTATGGTCATTTGATCCTGAACACAATATATGACCGAGCGGATGCCAAGCCATAGTCCAAACAATTGATTCATGTGCACCTTCTATACACCCTACTTCTTTATCAGTACCTACATTCCAGAATAAAATAGATCCATCGGAACCACCAGAACAAAACAGTCCCTCATGTGTTGGGTGCCATACAACACTTGATGCTTCTTTCTTATGACCTCTAAATACCTGCACTTCCGTGCCTAACTTACGAATATCAAAGAGCTTTAACAAATGATCACGAGATGCAGTTATTAGCCAGTTTCCATTGTCATTCCATTTCAAATCCATAACTGTTGATTTGTGTGCATGAAGAGTACACAATGCGGTACCAGATTTAGGGTCCCACAATTTTATCGGTTGCTGGTTATCTTTGCTTCCTGATACGATAAGTGCTTTTGTAGGATGCCACTGTACACATTTTACATCAGCACCGTGGCCTCTTAATATCCTCTCTTCTTGACATCTATAGAAATCAAATATGCGCAATGTTCCATCATCGGAACAAGTTACCAACTTGGCATCACTGGGGCTAAAACTTATACCTCTAACAGCTTCTTTATGGGCTTGGTACATTTTAACATTGTTCATGTTGCTCTGCCAATATTTTATGAAGCCAGAATGGTCTCCTGTTACCATCCAGCCCTCTCCGTGAGACCAAACCATGGATCTGACTGGAGAGTCATGTGCTTGTAAAATAGTTTCAAAATTAAATGTAAGACCATTCCATAAAGTAAATTCCCCAGAAGAAGCTCCCGTTATTAATCTCCGTCCTTCAGGTGTCCAAGCAACAGCAAAAATTGGACATCTCATTTTATTAGTGGCAGTCTTTACAAATCGTGTGGTTACAGCATTTATTGGATTATCTGGGTACGAAGGTGGTGGTAATAGATCAGGTGTGTACATAGCGTCCGGTTGTAACGCATGCCTATCCCGCCAATCCCTCTGCCAAACGCGACATTCTAAAGCTTTTATAATAGCTGAATTATAGTCTACAGTCTTACGCATAACTGATTTACGTAAACGTTTACCATCAAAATCATCTTGAGTCATGTTCAAAGGACCCTGTGGTGGAAATCGCATTTGATAATTGAAAGGCCTAAAGTTATGGCGAATATTGTTTCGACCTGGTGGACCCATAGGTCCTCCCATGCCGGGTGGAGGCATTCCCATGTTTGGAGGAGGGGTCCCAAAATCCATGATTAAGACTTCGACACCTAATCGGACAAACATGAGTATTACAGCTTTATCTAGTGTAGAGACTTGTGTTTTTTCGGAATTTTATAAAGCTTTCAAAAGCGGTCTTACCTTGTTTTTAAAGTAGACGATATGACATTATACACGCTTGATCCACATTCGCACACACAGCTTCGAAAAACAAGTTTGTATACTATTAAAAAAACATTTATTACTAACAATCACAACTGAATAACCTATATAACTGAAAATTAATATAGCGGAATGCTACCGAAAAATAGACAGCCAACTAACCAAGCCAGCCATGTTTATTTCTGTAGATTATAAAGGAATAAACAATGCATAAACTGTTAGCGAAACAGATAAAACAAAATGTATTTAGAGAAAAATATTTTAATAAATTATATATGTCTCCAAAGTTAATAAAAGAAGATGGCAATTAAAACAAATTATATAAATAACAAATATTATACATGTTATATATTAAATGCTTTGAATTAACTAATTTTGTAAATTAAAGTTTGGGAAATCTTTTTGTAATATAATTATATATGAATAAATGAATAATATAGTGGTTTGAAAGGTTCCCGAGATAATTTGACTCTTTTATTTTCACTAAAAGTTTTATTTACAGAATCTATAAATAGACTTTTTAATGGAAGACATTCTCCATTAAGTACACTTGGATCTTTTTTCTCAGTTTGGATAAATCGATTATATATCAAACCTTACTCGGTTTTGTAATCGGTTTACTAATGCGCATTACCGTAGAAATTAATGTCACATTATATTCTTTACATGGATCGATATTCGCCCTCACTTGCTATTGAATTTGATTGAATATATGATCTGTTAGTAGAAATATATTCAACAATAATTAGTTCTTACTTGTTATTATAATATTATCAGATAATATCATTCTACGTATCAGTCCCATAAATTACACTGAATTTTGGAAATATTAGATTATTTCAGAAAGCAAAAATAATAATTTTAGCGTTTCAACTTTTAATTCTTTGTACAGCAGAGGAGAGTGACAGCCGTATCCACTTAGATTCGCAGACTTCTGCTTCAGAAACTTTATAGCTAAGTTTAGTAATAATAGGTTTATATAATTAAATCTTCGCATTAAAAGGTGATTTTGATTAAATATTACTTATTACTTATCAGAACGTTCAAGAGATTTGGACCATAAAAAATATTATAATCTGGAATACGTTTTATTGTATAATACTATTCTTTTTGATCTGTTTTTAAAGAATGCCATATACATAACATTTGTAAGCAACCGTGACAAATAGTCATTGTTTTATTAATAAAAAAATAAACGTCAATAACTACGTCACAATATAAAAGTATAAAAAAAGATATTTAACCTATATCGTGTTTTATTATATTCAGTGGAAATATTAGCTGCATCATTAAATGACATTAGAAAAATGTATATTTATAATTTCTTGACTAATTATAAAGCAGTAGTAAGGATAATGAATCAATTATTTGACAAAAAATTCTAGTGAAAACAAGAAAAAAAAGGAAAATCAGAACACTCATAGATTGTACAACTCCATCAAACATATTTATTAAAAGTCTATTTGTCTTATTTGTCGTAAACAACTTTGATTAAAGCGTTTGCCTTCTTTTCGGCTTTCCTCCCATTGTTTTATTAAGACTAAAATGTATCAGTTAACGTTTTTCTATAGATATTAGATGGCCAGGTACCGGAAATAATAATATTTCTATTTTCAGACGTTCGCAACGCTTTGACGTTATTCTGTAACTTCTTATAATATTTGCTAGGATGCTCTTCACGGCCAGCATCCCAAAATGACGACCTGAAAATAAAAAAAATCCATTTAAAATGAAATAAACTGTCATTGATTAAGCTTAATTTCTATTAGGAGGCTTTTCTCTCAGAAACCCGTATATATCGTTAATAAAAATAAGAATTGCAAACTTATTCAGGAGGTTCTAAAAATTTTACGGGGGGGATCTCTTTGGATTTTTTTATTTCAGACATAATTATTGTATTGAAACATTTTCAGCATTGCAATTTTGCAAAATATTTTGCAAATATATTCTATCGTTTCTACTTTTGAAAACCGAACTGTTGATTTGATTTTTTTTTGTGTTTTCATTTATATGCATCGGATCGAAGTTTCCATAAAAAAATTACTGATATAAATTGTCTATAATTCTGAAAACATTATCAAATTACTTTTTGCTATTCAAAACAAGTAACATACGCACCTATGCAATTTCTATTGCCGTAACTGAACGGTATGTATGAACAGGGATGACGTTTTGCGCTGTTTTCAGGAAGGAATCTGTCAGGGTTGAAGGTGTCAGCATCAGAACCCCAGATACGTTTCGATCTGTGCATCACGAACAGTAACACAGCACAGCCCACACCAGCAGGAACTGTGCATTTCGCTGGAAGAGTCGTTAAAACAAATACAAAAATTCGTCTAGTGATAAATGATTTCTATATAATTAACGGCTAAATAAAGTTGTCTAGTGATAACTGATTTCTATATAATTAACAGTTTAATACAAATAAATGTTGAATTGATGTATATAAAATAGATTTTTTCTTTGAAGCCACAACGTTAGTTTTAGTAGACAGTACTAGGTATTTTTGATCATTAAAAAAAAGCAAATTTTAAAAGCACGTCAATTTATATCTAGTACATTTTAGAGTTAAATATTAGGAAGTAATTTTGGTCTAATATTTTAAAAGAACTTAATAAGCAAATTTGAGACTTACATAGTTCTATTAAAGTTGAAATTGCTATAACTTAAAAATTATACTTACAGAGTTTTATCTCCTTTTGCGTTTCTCTGCCGATGATTGGAACAACAGTGTACAGCCTCATCGTCTCCTTTATCACCCTTTCCAAATATTCCATTTTATTTAAATCTTCTTTAGTTGGCGATCTCAATGAATCATCGAATATATCTTGTAATCTAAAAGTAATTTTTTATTTATACAGTATCACAATAAACAAAGATATATAATTAGGGAAGCTAGCATTAATGTCGCTTACAAGATTTAGTTCCAAGATTCAATAGTTATACAAAAAGTTTTACATTTTTTTTTTGGAAAATTATCAGTTTTACCTCTATTATGTAAAGTTAGGAGAAAATAAGTACTTAAAATATTTCTACGTACTCATTGTAAACTTTATCTTGTTCTTCAGGATGTTGTCCTAATAATAATAATGCGTAACATATAACTAGTGCTGTTGTGTCATTGCCAGCGATAGTAATTGAATCGATATGTTCTCTCAGTTCCTCGTCCGTAAACTTTGTGTCTCTATCAAGCAATAATTCTAGCAGATCTTTACGACCTAAATCAATTATTTCATATAAATTATCATAAATTTCTTAAGATTTTGTTTAGTATATATGATATTTACCTTGCGTTACATTTTTTTCCTTGCCCTCGAATAAGCTTCGCTTTTTCTTCACCACCTGATAAAAACAAATTAAAATTTCAGTTACGAATTACCAAGCATTTTGTTTCTTATTTATAGAGTTGATTGAAAATGATTATTATTCGCGAAGATAGAAAAAATAAAACATAAATGTAGTTACACAAAAATCGAAAAAATTAATTATGCAAAGCTGATTTGTAGCTAATTTCAAAAGTCAATTAAACAAAGATTTATTAATATTATTTACATGCTATTTAGCTGTCAACATAACGATTATATAAAAATCCATGAATCTTTATATACATGAAGAATTAATTTTTTTCCAAACAAATAGTGCCGTTACATACAGTGACAAATAAAAAAAACCTTAAGTTGCAGTGTCTATAACAACAATTACTGTATGTACAGCAAACGGAATTTTAAATCACATTATCTTGTTATCTTGGTATTTTTTTAAGGTAACATTTGAGAATGACCCACTAATGACATCACAATATATCAAAAAACACTGTAATAGAATATTAAGAATCCACTTATTGTGGAAAGTTAACATCGTATTTTTCGTTGAATTACGAGGGTAAAACTATAAATTAATATTATGATTGTAATCACTTAATCAGGTATAACAAAAGTGCAGTTATAAAAGCTATAAAATTTACTAAAATTAGATAAAAAATACACTCCCTAAGACGACTAGACTAGAAAAATATATGATCTTTAAATATAGTTACCTCATCTGTGAACTTGTGTGTCGCCTCGATGTTTTCTTTCTGAGTTTTGGAATAAGATGTCAGATTAAATAAAGCGTTCGGTTGCATCCAGGCTTTAAAAAGTCTCATACCAATTATAGATATGACGGTATTACGAGCCCGCAAGTATGGAGTGTCAGGATTATACTGAACATTCATTTTCTCACCCATAGCAGTCTCTATGATATATATAACAAATATTTAAATATTAATCAAAACTCTTTCATTGATCATTCCAAAAAAAAAAAAATAATCGGCGACTTTACATTTAGAATGTTTTTGATATCCAAAAAAATATAATGAGATCTAAGATTTTCGCGAGTACTTAATTAAATAAAACTAATATTTTCGGGGCATTTCATCTTCCCGTGATCACAGTTGCTGAAAAGTAGCAGAAACCTCGCGAGTATGTAGTTCATAATCAAAAATAAAAACGTGAAGTAAAAATCCGAAAATATTAGTTTCATCCGAAAAAATTGATATTTTTTTTAATATTAGTTTTCTATAACTAACCAAATACTATATCCAGCATACATGAAGTAATATATTTGAAAACGTCAAACTCCTTTTTTCCTACTTGTTCTTCTAGTCGCCTAACAAGAACGTTTCCTTGTTCCCCGAAAACACCGACGTAATCTTCAATAATTCTATTGTGAAACACGGATAAAAGAACTTTGCGATGTATTTTCCATAAATCAACTGAAATTATATTAAAAAAATGGTAGAAAAATATAAGCAAATATTGTGAATAAAAAAGTTGTATATGTATTTATTACTTAATAACACAAACAAAGAAGTCTCGGAGAGACTTTGGAATTTATGTAATTTTTTCTCCATTATCATAAGGAGAGGACCCAAAATAAAATCAGAAAAAAAAAAAAAAAAAAAAAAAAAAAAAATCATAAGGAGAGGAAAAGTCTCTGTATAGTTTATCTTTCTAAACTTTTTACATTTTAATGTAAAGTATTGATTTCTCTAACTAAGGATATAAAGTGCAACTGGATAATAGAAACGACAAAGTCGTTGACGTAATATTGTTTTAATTAAATTCTAGTAGAACAGAAAATTATTTAACACAAATTATTAAGCCACATTATTAATTATTAAAAAATAAATATGATAATATCATAAAATATGACTCTGGTTATTAAAAATATGTTTAAAATTTTAACGTACCGGGAGCCACAAAAAGACCATTACCCAACCAATCCTGAAGAAATCTATACGACGAATCCTTTTGAAGGGAGCCTTCGAGAATTTTTTGGACATCTTCTGGATTGAAACTCACTAAAATATAATCATATTTCAAAGCATATAATTGATTTAATAGCAACTTTTGTATATGTAATTTTGGCTACTCACCGATGTATAACGAAGGGCCTATCCAAATTTTACCAATACCGCCAGAATCATCGACCAATTGAGCTAGCTCCAGTATATTACTTAAAATCTCTAAAAATTTCCAGTTATGTATACACTTTTTAGGTTAAAAGTTATTAATAAATACATACTTCAAAATTCAAATACATTACATTACACTAAAACGCTTTATTTTTTCATATTCTTTTATATATAGAATCTTTTTTTATATTTTAAAACTTTACGTGATTGAAATGTTCCATGTAAGTTTAAATGTTTAAATATAACGTTTTCATAAATATTAATTATCATGACTTACTTTCCGGCCCTCCAATAAACCAGTGTGTATGCCCAATTATCGGAAGGCATCCCGTATCAGGCAAGCTCTCTGACAATGCATACAACGGCTTCCTCATCCGTCGAAAATAAACATAATATATGCAGGACAATATAAATAGCAGCGGAATTATCAACATTTTATGTCCTTTCTTTCACAATAAACGTAAGGTAATGGTAGGTACTCGTTTCAAAACCGCGAAGCAAACTGCTATACGGGACGATATTTACGTAGTTTTATTGACATCAGCAATGTTTACAATATGTTCATACGGTAAATTATAAGTTATTTTGATTTATCGCTTTCTTTATAAGTAGTCAGGTTTTCTTCGTAAGTCTTGTGTTCAGTAATCTTGCTATTTATGATATTGATATGATTATTTTATTTTTACTAAGAAAAAAAAAATAGTTTAAAGATAGCTTCTCAATTCCATAACATGATTTACTCAAAAATCGTATGCCCTTGTTGTAAGTACCAGCCTGCCTTGCAAACTTAAGTAAAGAAGGTTTCGGAATGTTTCATATTCCTTTATAATTGTTATCGTTTAAGATTTTTTAATGAAAATCCTTTGAACTGATAATACTGACGATGTAAACTTGGAATAATTCAAGGATTCAGTTTATCTTATTAGTCGAATGAACGTGAAGAAATGATTTTCCTTTAACTGCATTTTATTTGTGTTGTTTTCTATTTTATGTGCATGTTAAAGAATTCATACTATCTTAGAGTCAGTAACTAGATATTATTTTAGTATTTGACTTTTTATAATAGGTAATCGTTTGATTTTTATTTGGTTTATAATTTTTTACGGATGAATTCCATGTGTTGTCGTATTTATTATAACTCATAAGTCATAACCACCTTCGATGCTTAATAAATTTCTGTCACGGTCACCGTATGGCACGGTGAAAAACTTAAACACTTCTTAAACGTATATCTTAAAAGCTATTATTAAATGTTTGTAATTTTTGGCACTACTCTTTTATAACCCGATAAAGAATCTTGCCTTGGATGTTCCGTTCTGAAACAATAATAAATAATTTTAGTACCCTCAAAACGAGGTCGCATCAGAAACTACACGTAGATAGTCACAGGTTATTCAATAATGTAGGTACCTACTTTAATTTAATAATGTGCGAAAAAAGTAAATGTTTAGAGAATAAGGATACAGTAGCGTTACTACAAGTTTTGCATTCTTACTCTACATACCGAAAGATTCTAGTTTTTCATTCATAAACCTAAATTGATAATTGATATCATTAAAAATACTAAATTGAAAAAGATGAATGGAAAACTCGTCACGCTCGGTATGTGTGACCATGCAGACTTGTAATAAAACAGATGGCAAAATAGACAAATGAAACAATATCCTTCGTATAATATTGTACTTGTCTTCGAAATTGTTATTGTCTAGTTTTCAAATTAGTTTTGAATTTTAATCCTGACAATCATACTAACATAAATAATAATAAATCTGTGTTTTACACTTATACATGACTCGCGGCTTGCCTTGTGCTATTAAATTTACTACAAAGCAATGTCATTTTTAGGACTTTTACGATACAGTTTTCTAGTCTGTTCCTGTACATACGTATCTTTATAAAACATAGTGTCTAGTGTCGTCGTTTTTGTTTTTTTCAACGAACAAACTTACACATACACAGTTTTTTCTATTTAAAGAACTTCTAGAACAAACACATTTTACTGCATTTACATATTCTTTGTGTTTTCGTAGTGTCTGACAAGAGACTTAAAAAGTCGTGAAAATTTTATAAATTACGTACTTAATTCGTCTTAAATAAAGTACATAATAAAGAAATATTAATTTTGTTTCATCTTTTACGTGCAGAAGAATATATAACTGATTTTTGTATAAGTGTATTTTAGAGCAGAAGAATATATAATTTTGTTTTTCTTACATGGCACATTTTAAACAATTTCCATGTATGTACATAAAACTTTGAATGATTCTTTGTATTTTAGTAATGGTCATTAAATTTAAAGAACATGTTCAATAACACATAGGCACTTAATCATAGTATTAGGTTCTGTGACCAGAAGCAATAAAAGGTGATTTTTATTATTCCCAGAGTAACTTTGCACTGGGTACGTTCTATATGTTTCTTGTAAACATTTGATGAGTTTTTAGCGTGTAAACAAAGTGGAAAAACAATGTTGTATATGTAAGGAATTGTGGTATAAATGAAGTTGAAATCATTAGCTGTCTTCACTCGGTATAGCTATTTTCATAAGAAATTTTAAGTGATTTTGGAATATTACAAGTAAGTTGAACTTTTTTTACTTCATTGTGACATTTTGTACTCCAAAAGTATGCAATTTTTAACAATAATAAGATTTCATTGATAAAACTATCCACCGCTGGTGCCGAAAGTATTACAAATATAAAATTTTAAACCTTTTTTTATTACGTGAAGGCATGTCCTTAGCACTTTGACCTAAAATGCTGTTAAGAAAAGATATTTTTAAATTTTAAACTTCAGAATAATCTTAAACATGTTACTAAAATTTAAATATATGGTGTTTCATTTATTAGTCTTAACTTGACAAAATAAATACGGATTCCAACCCAACGCCTTCATTATATGATGTCACGAAATTTTTTTGCATCATATTAATGCTAAGATTAGAAGAAAGACACATCCAACTCATTTTTGGATGGAAACCTTTTCGAAAATCCTACTCGAGTAGGATTGTGGATTGTGCTATTGTGATTACAAATTAGTCAACAAATTAAAATTGTGAATGTTCAATCACGGAACGCATTTTGTTTGACTGACACTACACCTAAAAAATGTTCGATAATCTCCACTTGGACTTTTATGGAAGTTGTGTTGTAGATAGTTGAATAATATTTTTAAGACTAACGCACTTAGATTGTAACAATTTAAATACAGATGGATGGAGAAGATATATCCTATACAAATTAACTGGCGCGAAAAAAAATGTTCTTATTGAGTAATAATCATGACGCTCCTAAGCGGGTTCGGTAGTTAGGTAGAGATCTTATTTATTTCAACATTCAAACCAAGAAATAGAGGATTATTTTGTGTTTATAAGTAGTACCTAATAAATATAATATATTTTGGTTTCAGTATACACTACTGCGGGAATATGATCATCTTCTTGATGCTAGTATTTGTGTTGTGTATGTATTGGTTATTTTGGATGTCGAGCACACGACGGATTGAAAAGTTCACGGCATCTCTCCCCATGCCCCCATCTTTACCTATCATCGGGCACGCAACCCTTTTCCTAGGGAACACTGAGAGTATGTATACATAGTTTAAACAATACCTCATTCATTCATAGCACCTCATTCATTTTGAATTCTCTGTTAGACCTAATTAAGGACAATTAAAGAAATAACTACAAGCGTAAAAGGTTTTATAACAGTAGTAAGTAATTGTCACAAAGATTTATTTTATTGTGATACAAACATATATAGATTACAAATATGATTCGTTTATTTTGACCCCTTTAGCTCAATCAAAAAAAAAATATTAATAACAATAACATATTAAACACTTATCATTGCTTATAAGTAGTTTTAAATAGGAATTTATTAAACACGAAATCGTACTATACGGTCTAAAAACTTTTTTTTTTTGGGAAAGTCCTACGTGTCATTTATAAAAGTCAAGTAAATAGGTTGTGTTATATAATATATAGTTGCCAGTATCATATTCTATGCTAAGATTAGAGTAAATACAACTCAGTCCTACAATCATAATACAAAAATATAGTGCCTTATAAGGTCGTATGAGCACATCACTGTTAAGATGTTCAATGCAATTTTTTCACATTCCGATTTGAAAAACTAAATATTAAGACAAACCACCTGTATTTAAAGGAAAATAAACACTCCTTAGTAATGTTTCCGTACGAAAAAGAATTTTTTTATATTTTAACTTAATAAAAACCTTAACAATTATAAAAAAAAGGATTGAGAAATTGAACGTGATTATATAACATGACAAAATATATTACGCACAAGTTAGAACTCATAAATTTTAAATTATGGACTGTGCAATATTGTATTGCCTTCTCGTAATTTTTCCATTAATAATAAGTTATACTTTTATATATTAGTATATACATATATAATTATGTAGGATGAAAATTATCGTCTCCTGTATACAGGCAACTCAAATAAAGTCCCTTTAAAATACTCAATTAAATTATACAACATTTACATAATCGTATTATGCGATTATTTCGATCACTATAATCGATAAAAAATTGTAATTACCCTATCATTAATTACAATTAGCGTGACAAGGATAAAAAAGAATAAATTGCTATAAATTTTAGCATTGAAAATAAAAACATCTTGTCAACAACTCAAACATATGTAGTGTTAATAAAATAATAATAGACAATTCACTTATATTTTTACGACTAACATTTGAATGGTACTAATTTTATTTTATGTGTTTCACGTTTTATTGTAAATCACGTGTAAAGAAAACAATGTCTAACATAATGCCACCGTAGATAATAATACTAATACTCTAATATAATAAATATACCATTTTCATAATTTGAAGTAAAGATTTCGAAAGTAAAACTTTATACAGACATCAAATTATATTTTTTGTTCTATATTCAAATCAACGAACAGAAATCCTTAAAAATCTAGAAGATATAGCCTCTATTGCACTTAAAAACAATGGAGCTGTTAAACTTTGGTTGGGCCCAAAATTATATATTGGTAAGTTATTCTATTGACTAAATTTTCGTAAATATTGATTGCTCATAACATAAATATTGATCCACTTGTAGCAATCGGCAACCCTGAAGATGCCCAACTCATTTTGGAGAACTGCTTAGACAAAGATGTCGTTTACAGATTCCTGCGTCCTTGGCTCGGACAGGGCTTATTCATCGCGCCGCGTAAGCTATAATTTTAGTTACTACTCTACTACTACTACTAAATCTAAACGTATTAACTTTAAGCTCAACTAAAACTAAATATTTGTACCCTAGTTAGATTGTGGAAGATGCACAGAAAGATCTTGTTGCCAGTATTTCACAATAAAGTTATAGAAGAATATATCGGCGTTATATCGAAACAAGCAGACATACTGACGGAAAGACTTGAAGAGCAATCTGGGAAGGAGACATTCGATGTATTAAGTTACATCTCTGCCTGCACTTTGGATATTGTTTTTGGTAATATTATTTGACCTCACATAAACTTTATATTATGGACTATAACCTAATTACTTTATTATATTAACAAGAAACGTCCATGGGTGAGAAAATGGATGTCCAACATTGGCCCGACACTCCATACTTGCGAGCTCGTCATACAGTTATGGAGATACTTAATAAACGACTATTCAAGGTGTGGCTCCAGCCTGACTGCCTCTTCAAGCTGACCAAATACGCTAAAGAACAAAAGAAGAATATCGAACTCACTCATAAATTTACAAACGAGGTAAAAGACGCTCCAAAAGACAATTAATAAGATTTTTTCGCCAGCGAAAATATATGCTTTCGATTTTGGTTTAAAATAAACAAACTTAGCAGCAAAAAAAATAATATTACAATATGTAGTCGAAACAAAGCTTGGACTTTTTAAGTGTAGACGAAACAGTAATTATTTTATTTTATTACAAATCACATCAAAACATGTGTATTTTGAATTTTGATAAGATAAATTAGTCAATTAAAGGAAACATTAAATATTATTTCTTTTAAGTCTTTAAGCTCTATTGAAGGTTTTTTCGTAGTATTTAAAATTATTATGTTTCTTAATTTTTTACTTTGTCATAAAACTTTAATTATGTATAATTATATATTATTTGTTTTTTTAAGGTTGTTCAGAAAAGGCGTCTACAATTTGAGGCAAAAGAATCTATTGGGATTAACAACACAAAGGATTCAGGTATTAAATAAATAATATTTATATAAGTTCCGTTGATAAAAGAATAATTTTCACATTAAACTCTGAAAATCTTAAAACCCTTTCGTACGCCATGCAATAAAAATGATGAGTCGTAAATAAAAAAAAAACGAAGATAGCATATTAGTAAAAATAGCTAAGTATTTAAAAAAAACACTTTTAAAATAAAAATAATGCAGGCCAATTGTAATAATTTATATTAAAAAAAGGTTTAGTGGTTTTTTCTCTGCGGTATACCTACTATTTCTTAAATATTTCCTCTGGAAAATTAGAAAGTGCTGAATTAAAACTGAAGAGGGCTATTTTATGAAAGAAATCGCATCTTTGCGTCTCCTTTTTCATTTGCAATAAAGATGGTGTCAAGGTTTATCTGATGCAAACGAAACTAAAACGAAACTAAACAATGGTTTCTAGCGAGTTGGAACATCCATCAATATAATATAATATAATATAACTAGTTTCAGTCATCCATCGAATTCCTTTTACCCAAATTCGGTAACTCTTAGAGAATAAGGTATTGAAAGGAAACGTGTCCATAACTACTACATACATATATAATTTGACCTGTAATGAATTATTGTAAAACTAACTGATGTCCAAAACTCCAATAATCAAGTTATAATAATGTTTCACGATAATATTAATATACTGATAACGAAGTAAAATATTTACTTTTCCATTACAATATTTAATTATAAAGAGCATTCATTTATGAATGACCGTGACTACACAATGGGTACTTTAAGAGTGCTCATGGCAGAACTTATATCATTTACGTTGACATTATTGCATGGTTTGTTTTACGATTGTTTATAAGAATTCATAAAGCATTGCGTCATAAGCCAGAACGTATATAGCGTACTATAAAAAGTTTAAGAATCAAGTGTTACACCACTTTCCATAATGTCACTTGTAAATTGCACGCTTTTTATGAAAACAGGTGTATACTAATGGAATTCAAGGCGTTATTATATAATTACTTTAAAATAAAGTCGCCTAGTAATATATATAAATAGGTAATTAAAACAAATTTGTATAATTAATACATATGTACTTCATTCATAAGTTTTCGTAAACCTACTATAAGATTAACGTCATTAAATAAGAAATTTCAAATGTTTAATATGTAGTGTAACGATACAGAATGCTTTCCCCCTCAAAGATAATAAACACGTAATTTTCCTATTCAAACTCAAAAGGTTAATGACTTGTAATAATAAATCAAACATTTTTCTCACCACGTGTTCAAAAACAAATATACTTTTTTTAAAATCAATATTATTATAATAGTAGAAAGATTTTTTTTGTAATATAAACACTTATTCTTTTTTTTGATAAAGCTAATATTAGTAAAACTACTGTTATCATAAGCACCTCGAGGATTCTTTTCGAGCCTGAAGCATAGAGAATGTTTTTTTTAACTTAAATATAAATAGCGTTATATTGAAGTAAAATATTGTTTAGTCTTTATATTTGGACAATTTAATTAAATCAACATTTGCCGTCATTACGATCGATATCAACGTCAAAATTGTTACCCTAAAATCTAGAATTTTCTAGATATAAAAGGCTGGATCTTTTAATATGAATAAGCTGGAATATCTCATTAGCACTTAAATAATAAGAAGTAAATATTATCGTTCCATTCATGTTCTCTCAATTGATCTGTAGTATTTGCTGTTGAATATCCAATAAGCGGAGTAAATAATTTTAATAAGACATGCTGTTGTACGTTAATTTAGATGAAAAATAATGCGGTTTGAATGATTTTTTTATTGTTGTAGTGAAGTTGAAAAATTTTAGACATAAATGTACTGTAATTAAAAATTCGTATGAAAAGATTATTAAAATGCCTTCGTTAGTTGGAATGATAAAAAAAAAGTTTTTTTTTATTCCATAGATACATAAACTATGTATAAGATTCGCATCTTGTTAAGATCATACTTTCATTTATTTTTAAGTTAATATTACGAACTATATCAAGAAAAAAATAACATGTCATATAAATTTCCAAAAAGCTAAAAGATATTCCTTTAAAGAAATCAAATACTAAAAGTTAATATCACTTGCTTATATAAGGCATAGAAAGATACAAAAAATAGATCCCTATTTTACATTACAATTAGCTTTCCGCCAGCAGCTTCGCCCGCGTCGAATTCGGTTATATCACGTTTCCAAGAGAACCTTTCAAAAGTCTGGGATAAAATTTATCCTATGTTCTTTCTCAAGGTCAACTCTACCTCTTTACCAAATTTCATTAAAATCAGTTACTAGTCGTTTAAGCGTGAAAGCGTAACAGACAGACAGAGTTACTTTCGCATTTATAATATTAGTATCGATATAATTTACTTCTTCTTCACAACCAGGTGATAAAATAAGACCAGTTCTGGACATGTTATTTGGACGAGAGATCGAATTCACGAATGAGCAACTGAGAGAACACATAGACTCCATAACTATAGCTGGTAATGACACTACAGCACTTGTCATAGCTTACACCCTCGTGCTGCTTGGAATACATCAGGATGTTCAGCAGAGGGTATATGAAGAGTACGTTGACCTAATATTATTTACCATATATACAGGGTGACTGGTGAATTACTATCGATATTTGAGGACGTGATATTTGACGATCATATATGACAAAATAAAAATTTATATAACATAAATATTAATAAACTACTAAGTAAAGTTAACCAAAAGTTGTGTAATTAATTACGCATCGTATGAACACCCTACAGATTAGGTATACATACACATACGCGTGCGGCGGCGTGGTGTTGTATCAGCACGCCGCTTCACGCGTCCACACTTGGAACACTTGGAACGTGTCCACACTTTATTTATTTATACGGAAATTTTGTCAAAAATTAAGTACCTATTTTTTTTACATAATTCGAATGAGAATCATGTACCGAGTATTCTCCTTAAATATTGATAGTAATTCACCAGTCACCCTGTATATATGCTTTTAACTGTATTCTATAAAAATAATGATTCTTTACTTAATAATATTTAAGCTACCTTGTAAATCGCCAATGATTTTTAATAGCGTCAATGTTAGTCTGACTATAGGTTCCATATTTGGAAACCAACCAGCCATGAAATACATCAATTGACCATGATTCTTTTTTTTTTGTTTTCAGGCAGCAATTAATTTTTGGCAAAGACAAAAGAGAGCTTAACAAGGAGGATTTATTACAAATGCAATACTTGGAGAGAGTCATTAAAGAAAGCATGCGACTCTACACTGTGGTGCCAATTATAGCCAGAAATATTGACCGAGATATTTATTTACGTAAGTATATATTAAGACAATCGAGAGCTTATTATAATTAACTAAGTCTGAATATTTTATTCTAATAACTTTACTTACGAATTTATAGTCAGATATAAGATGAGTTAAAGACTTTTTGAGTCTTGACCCTCATAAATTTAAGGACAAAAAAAATTGGTTCAATAATTGTGTGTTTTAAAACCAACTGACAAATAAAGGGTCACCTATAGAAAATATAGAAAACTGACATTGCTCTCCTGTTCATTATATTTTTTGATGTTGTTGTTGTGTTTTTTAACTTGTTTTTTTTTTTCGGTAATAAAATATTACCCTAAAGTTTAACAACCGAAATAAACCCTTTAAAATAAAAAAAGAAGTATAAATTTTTGCTAGAAAAATATTTCCAATTGTTTATAATAGAGAAAAATAATTATATTTTGCATCTACCATGCAAATATGTTCGAAATAATTTAAGCCTAAGGTCTATTATTTGTTCCTTCAATTACATTTATATAGTTTTTTAATTTTAATAATTTTCATATTTATTATAATATGTATGATTTAAAAATATATAAATAAACACTTACTAATTGCCTGACTCACTTTTAAATCCAATAATTAAACATGCACGATATTTTAAAGGCACTTGATAATATACATACACCCTTGTCCTTTCTTAAATAACTTTACACTAAAATAATATCTATAAATCGGTAAATTTAATTGTTGTCTTTTAAGGAAACAGATAAAAAAATTGCAATGTCAATTACAAGTTGTATAAATTCAAGGTTTGGTTTAATGCACTGTGGACACACATTTACAATTTGCATATTAACCTAACCGTTTAATCTTAATCTTTTATATCTAAATATAATAGTTTTTTCCAGCGCACAGTAAAGTTACAATACCATCAGGCGTTGGAGCGGTAGTCGGAGCTTTTGCAATACACCGTTCAGTTGATGTATGGGGATCAAATGCTAATGATTTTGACCCTGATAGATTCCTTCCAGAACGTTCTACAAACAGACATCCCTCCGCCTTTATACCTTTCAGCCATGGCTCACGGAATTGTATTGGTAATGTTCTTACTAAACTAACATAGAAAGACATTAAAAATGTTCCCTTTCTTACGATCAAGCTTTAAGCATTCACATTTTATTTAAATGCTGCCAAAAAATAACTAACGATGACAAGAAAATTCCTAATATATTTATATATAATGATAATTTTATTGACTCTAATAAAAAATATTGAATTTTACATAGGAAACATTTATATGTTGTTTATACAACTCGTATTTTAATCATACTGATTGACTTTTAAAAAACCGCCAACCCATTTTTTTTATATATATATACATTAGTACTGGCACACGTGAACCACGAAAGTATAGTAGGTGGTCAAAGGCCAAAAGTGCCTTACATAATTTTCGATAAGAACTGACACTCTTACACTGGTAGACTGATACCAACCAGATATAGCTAAAAACCACTACAAAGAAAGTGGCTTTGAATTGAATAAAACTGCATTAAAATCGGTCGATCACTTTGGGGCTATGATGCTACAAACAAACATCTACAACAAATTTATTAAGTCCCTCTTTTTGAGTGGAAAGTTAAATATCGGTAATCGAGAAAATGTAATACTTATTTAATATTATTTATTTTAACATATACTTTTTAATCCTTTATCTCCTTTTTACAGATAATTAATTACTTACTGCTAAAGCTTTTCTGTAGGGTGCTTATTCCTCAAACAAAAAACAATGACATGTAATTCTAAAATAGTGTTTTTCGTTTCAGGAAGAAATTTCGGTATGATTATCATAAAAGGTATCATATCGAACATAGTTAGGTCGTTCAGAATTCATGCTGATGAGGTTGGACCGTTGAAAATCGAAATGCTTTTATTTCCAACTAGAGGCCATCAAATTAAGATAACTAAAAGAATGAATTAAATAAACTAGCTTGTAACATATATTTTTAATCTACGTAGATTAAAAATTATTTATAAACTATGTTCTAGTTCATATAGGAGCTACAATGTTTTTTGTTATAAATAATTTTAAGTACACATAGTATTTTTTATTTTTTATTGAGTTACTTTAAATTTACATACTTTTACATATTACAATAAGTAGAATAAATTCCAAAAATAAATAAATTAAATATTATAGAGTAAGAATTTTATTTAATGGTTATTGTTTATGGGTAAGGGGAAGACGTGATATTTTCGTGGGGTGTTGTCAGTAAGGAGGGTGTGTTTAACAATTTGCTTGTGTGATCAAATTCGAAGGCCATCAGTTCATCGTGATCTATGACGTCACGGGAATCATCGACGCCGCAGGATAAGAATCTATTGTATTTAGACAAATCAACGAACCCAACGCCACAGGGCCTATCGATGAGGCGGGATATCATCATACCTTGAACGTAACCAGAGCACACGAGTGTACTGCCTAAATCATCCTGTAAATATATTAACACAAATATACGAAGAACGCTTCCACAGAATATAAATAGTTATACACAGTTGACAGTTGTAATTAAGACAGATGATAAATTTAAAAATTATATACAACATGTACATATTACATTGTTACTGTCATTAAAATACTTAAGATAAGAGAAAATTGTAGCAATAAAAAGAAATTTATGCAAAATATATAATTATAAATTAATATAAAAAATACTTAAAATATACTCTAAAATGAAATAATAAGAAACAACCTCACAATTCCTATATTATTTTATAGAACAATAGTACTTACTTACTTATAAGTTATACTTTTTACGTGAATTACTCAATCTTCAATTATTTTGTTTTTCAATAAAATGATATCAAAATTTAAAATGGTATTCAAATAAATTTCAAACATAAGCGATATGTGGTGCAAAATATTATATTACGCGCTTTTTAAACGTGATTAATGAATAACATTTCTACATACGTCATTAAAATAAGCAAAGCTGTACCGTTCGTGAGTAAATAATATATAATTATTTGCTTAATACGAGAAATATCACTACGTTAGATTAATAAGCAAATAAAGAAAACTCACCGGACACAATGCTCCATGCTTTTCATTCTGGAAAATAATTGTATGAGTTTTGTCAACGAAAATACATCAAAAGGTCGTAGGCCATAAAATTTTTAGCTAATTTAATGTAAAATTCATTGCTTGTATTCGGATTTCTTCTAAGAGATAGTAACTGTTTATATAACATTGTTTTTCGTCGCTAAAGTATCTGACAGACCTATTAAAGAAGACTACCTATCGTACTTGCTCACGTTATTACTACTAGAAGTATTCATTGACATTCGACACACTGCCTACGGAGCGTTTACAGTAAACACGAATATAAACTTTGATTCAGATTATACAGATAATACATATATAACATAAAACTTAGTTCAATATTTTAAACCAAGTGTATTATTTGATTATTTCTTATTTTTGTGCAGATCTGTTTGCCAAAATCAAAGACGTCCTTCAAGAATGACAATAAAGGCGCCAATTTTTTTTTTGACTTGCATTTAAGCGAACATTCACAATTTTCACACATTTAGGTATATCTATTCTAACGATGAGTATATAATTACCTTACACTTAGGCTGTTGAATGCAAAGAAAATGGTCGCCATGGTTGAAAATTGGTGCACAATCTTCAGATGGGAGTATTGTGACGTCCATTTTATAAAGATGGATTAAAAGCGGAACAAGATAACCCTAGAAATATAATGTAACAATATATTGGCAACATATAATGACGATAAAAAGATAGTAGTAACAAAAATTTGTTTTTTTAGTTCTTATATTAGAAGAACTCACATTGCGTCTGCTTCCCCAGCCATAAAAACGGCAAGATTTATCTCTTATTCTGTTTTCCGAGTTTATTGCTACTCCGTAACGGGCGCGGTTTAAAATATATTCAGTATAAGGTTCCCGCTTGTTGAAGACGAACGGTTTGTTGAGACATATCAAAGCCAAATTATCGGGTGAACAACCTTCCCAGCGCATTGAGTGATTGTACCCTAAATAGAAAACCATATAGAATATACAAATCCATAAATGAAATATCAAATCATATTAGCACTTATCCTGTACCAAAAAAAATATCAAAGAAGATATATATTTTTTTGTCATTTTTTGTAATAAAATTTGGGCGTTGTAAAAGTCAAAGTGATACATCAGTTATCAAAAAAATACTACCCTAGTGGTAAAATATCAAAGGAGAATGTCATAATTCATAAATGATAAAATACGGTGCAAAAAGAGTTAAAGTTCTAATCTTTAACAGAGTAGTTAGAACAGTGGTTTAATATTTATTCGATACGGCGTCTATAGGGTTATTAGACCTGCAAATTTGATGTTGCCTACGTTTTAGAATGTTTGTAATAATATTATTACCCTTATGTATACAAAGATGCTGGACCTGCCGTCCTATTCCGGAATTCTCTACAAAACTGTGTGTGCCAGCAAAGATTTTGAATTTATATGTTTCCCCATACACACAAATAGCTGGTGTTAGAACAACATGAGATTCTATAATGGCACCCAAGCAGAACATCATGGCATGCGATAAGTAATGTACCTTAAAAATCATATAAATTATTTCATATTTACTAAGGAAGTAGAATTGAATAGTAAGATTAAAGTTATTATCTCACGATAAATTGCCCTTCCGTTATTTTAGCAGGTTCACCATGAAAACCTGCAGCATTATTAAAGTCTATATCCACTGGAAACATAAAACAAATATATATTAGACAAATTTAAAGGTCTATAAGTTTTGTTCTATCATATATATTTACACAATGTTGCTATTCCTCCAATTTGACCGGCTCCCATTTTTATAAAACTATAGAAAACAACTATTATTCTGTCTTACAATATAATTTTAATTAAGTATTTAGTCAGTATTGTAAAGATGACAACATTTCACTATGTTAATTAAAACCATTGTATGTTTATCCTCTCTATTCACTTCAATGGTTTTATGAAAATTCAATCAAAACATTTAAATTAATTTTGTAGACGGCTGAAGAAAAAGTAACCTTACCTTAACTATTAATAATTGAACAATTTTTTTTTACACAAACTCTAAACATTAACAGTTGTTATAGTTTAGACATAGATAAATTAAACTTATCTAGGATATATTCGGAGTTTATATGATAAATGAATTAGCATTCAACGTGAACCGAAAAATATAGGAACTTATAGAATGATAATTATTTATTAGGTATGGTTTAGCATCTTCGATATTATTTACCGATGCCTTGTCGTTATCTTTGATTTTGATAAAGTTTAGCCCAAAAAGAATTTCGATAAAGGTAAAATAAAATATAAAGGAATTACCTATCTAAATAGAATTAAAGTATACTGAATAATAATACACAAATTTTTGAGAACATCCCCATACATGCCTTCCCTATATTCCTACAAATTGTAAGTGCAATCAGTAATGTTTTTGCATATTACAGAAATTAAGGAGGTAAACTAGAGACTCCATCTCCAGCTTCTCAACGTAACGCTAGGAATTGAAATTAAAAATATTCTCAGACCTCGTCGTATGAATGGAACATAGTTTGATTTTAATATAATATACATCCAATGAATAGTTGCCAAGGAAAACTTCCTTTAGGTACCTGCAAAAGAAAAACTTTTAACTTTTATTTTTAGTTCGAATAACAAATGCATTCTCGATTATGTAATATGGCTACAGACGTTTTAGCTTAACTGAGTTATAACTCATCTAAAATTTTGTGGCTTAGGGTAAATTCGAAGTATGTTGTCCACACAAAATTGCTGAAATTCGGTAACCCAGCATATAAAAATCCTAACTAAAGAAAATGAAAACTATACTAATCAAGATTATTTCATTTAACTCATAAATCACTTTAAAAACTTTTATTTTATGACAAAACGAAATAAAAGTTCTCATATTTTTAAGTTTTTATTTAACTTTTATTTTTGTTTTTACGTAAACAGCAGGTACCTAGTTTTTTTTTAACTGTTCTTGTTATTAGTTTTCTGGGCCTTATCTAGATGGCGTGATAGATAAGTGCGCAAAAGGCCTCAAGAGGGCTCTTTTTCTTTATTGTCTATGTGCTGTGCTGTAAATATTTTAGTCTCTGTAATCTGTATTGTAAGTAAAAAGTAATATACGTCGGGTGCATTAAAATGTTTATTTTAAACTAAATTATTTTACTGTTTTTCACTGCTCTTTATCTTTTCACCCACGCAAACATTACGGAGCTGCGTCCTATTATTTCCCGAGTAGATAATTTAGAATTAGCAATGCTGTAACAGTGAATATAAATCGTTTTGGTAAATCAAGTGATTTTTGATTTTAAGAAAGTGAAGTAATAATGAATAATAGTTTTTTAATATTTTGTTTGCTTACACTGCTAATACACATTAAATTCTCGATATCACTTTATAATAAACAGTGGAGTGACAAATATGAAAGCAACAAATGCCCTAAACTGTATCCTAAGAATTTTGATAACCATATGCCAGTCGGTAAGTATGAAAATAGAGTATTGCATACCATAATATAATCTCCTGTGTTATTTTTACGCTCTTTATAAAATGCATACTATTAGAATTAATCATGCTGTAACAATTTCAAAGGCATTTTTGATAACATTTGTTTATGAAAATCATAGCAGTAATATATATTTTCATAACATTCTTAGGTAACGTGACTGCTGGCAATTACACTGAGAAATCTGAATTAAAAGGTCTTAGACAATGTGTTATGGGATGCTGCCTTATAGATACATGCAACATAGTGTTCATTTATTACTCGAGGTGCTTCCATGTGGAATGTGTGAGCAATGAGTTGTGTTTACCATTGCCGAAGGTTGCTTCACGTAAATGGAATACACATGTGTCGATGATACTTGTTAAACCTGTTCTTCCCAATGGTAATATTCTTATGATTATTTGCTAATAGCCATGCTTATTTTAAATTGTCATAGATCAAAAGTTTTCTGCCCGTTCATAATCAATAATATCTGTTTTGAACTATCTAACGGGCGTCTAGTTGTTTTAAATCATCTGAAGTTTTTCTAATGAATTCACAAGATTTCTGTAATATCATACTTTTCCATTTTCAAAGTTTTTGAATCAACATACAATAAAGAAACTAAACTAACCTTCGAATTAAAAATATTAGTTAATATTATTTTATAGTACACTTGCTTTGTTTAAATATAATTATACAAAATTTCTATTACATCTAGAATTATTACAAATAGAAATATCATATATTAAATAGTATCATAATAAATTGAGTTTAACCCTACTATCTGAATATAACATGTTCTTTATTGTAATCAAAATTATTCATGTATTTATTTCAGAAAACTGGTCTGATATCTTAGAACAAACAAACTACAGAGAATCGAATTCAAATTTTTCACCGGAGGAAGAACCAGTGTACTCTTATAGCAATCAACGTAATGACATCCAAGACGATGAAGAATCAAATTTTCTTAACCATTTCATCAATAACTTACCATCGATGGATGACGAAGAACAGCAAAACTTTGATAAATACACTGACAGCAACGACAATGAAATGATGCTGGCATCTAGATTTCTAGAGAAAGTCTCCTGTGAAGTTGGTGCCGACGATTGCCCATTCAATGCAGAATGTATACCGTTAGGTCACAAAATGCGCAACGGCCTATGCAAATGTATTATGGGTACAGAAGAGAATGCTGAAGGGGCTTGTGTTGCTAGAAGACCATTTTCTAAAGGTCCAACTATACCCTTGGAATCAACTAAGAAAATTGAGAATCTAGATCCTGAAATTAAGTCTAGCAATCTGAAATCGGATCTATCATCTCATCAAAACTTGACGGTATCAATATCATCTAAAGAGGTAATTAACTTATATCCAGACTTTCCTCACTAATTTATATCCAGAATAGATTTGTTAGTCAACAGTATTATAACTATTTGCTTTTTTTATATTATAGGTCCAGCTACCAGAAGATGAAGTGACATTGGCTGCTTATACAATTCCAGATGAAAAATCTACCATGAGCCACTATAACTATGTATGGACTCTTGTTGATCAACCAAAGGAAGGTTTTACAGGTAAAATAGTAGAAAAACATGAAATTCAACAGTAATTTTTAATGGATTTTATTAGAAACAAGATTTAAATATGATATGGATACCAAAAAGTACATTCTACTAATGGCTATTGGCTCAACAATTAATATAATCAAGCTTAAAAACATAATTATAGCGCGTTTGATTTTAGCTGAGCTTGGCATTTGTGTGAGTGCACATGGATAGTGTAGGTGAGATGTAAAATTTTTGAATGAAACGTTCTTTTCTAGTTTTAAACTGGTTTGTACTGCTTTTACTTCGCCCCGCACCTTCCTCACTTCACCTTTTGTACTGGTAGCAACTTCAAATGTTGAAAACGGAATGTCAAGTGAATAAGAATTTGTAGTTTTATCAAAATTCTTATTAATCAATTTTAGTTTTTCTCCTCCATATTCAAAATATTTCCATCTGGACTTTTACAAGTTTTGCTTACTTTATAGCACTTATGTTATGTATCTATTTTAAATATAATAAAATGTAATTCTAAAAGTTTTTTGTCTAACGCTACTTTTACTTTCACTCACACAAATGCAAAGCTCAGCTTAAGTATAACGGACTACACAGAAATTTGTGCTTAAAAACATTTTGCTAATCATCTATGGACCCATTTTCTTACTAAATCAACCAACAATTTATAACATAATCCTACTAATATTATAATTGCGAAAGTTTGTGAGTTTGTGTGTATGTTTGTTACTTCTTCACGTTCAAACGGCTGAACCGATTTTGATAAAATTTTGTATACAGGAAGCTGACGTCCAGGAATAACACATAGGCTACTTTATATCCCGGAAATCCGCGGGTAACACCGCTGGGCGCAGCTAATCTTATATATTTTTAAAATTAAATGTATTATACTTTTTTTTAAGGTAACATGATTCAAAATGGCGGTACTGTGACTTTAACTGATCTGACTGAAGGCCAATACAGGTTCAAAGTTACTGTAAACGGAACCAGCTCATATGGGGAAGGTTTTGCTAATGTGACAGTGTTACCTCCAAAGAGAATTAACACCCCACCACTTGTGGTAATCACACCACAGACACAAACTGTGAAACTTCCTAACTCTGGGGCTGTTTTGGATGGTAGTGCTAGCAAGGTAAATGTTTTATACTCTATATATATATATATACTAGCTGACCCGCCAAACTTTATTTTGTCATTTAAAAAAATAGGACTTGGATAAAATAGTAAAAATTTAAGATTGTATGTATTTTTTACTGTAACATAATAAAGAAATTTAAAAAATGTCAAAATTAAATAAAAATATTAAGGGTAGACAACCTTTATCTAAGACCTACTCAATACGGTCACAAAATTTTATGAGAATCGGTCAAGCCGTTTCGGAGGAATACGAGAACGAATATTGTATCACGAGAATTTTATATATAAGATTTATGGTCATCTGGCAAATAATTATTTTAATAAAAATACAGAAAATATATATGATCTTTTTTACATTTAAGGACGATGACGCAATAATATCTTGGCACTGGGAATTATCAGCTGGGCCCATAAGCTATCAAACTCCACTTCAAGACGGACCAACTTTAGTTCTGAAAGATTTGAAACAGCCCGGAAACTATACATTTAAACTGACCGTTGAAGATTCTGATCATGTAAAGAATTCCACTACTGCTAACATCACTGTACTTAATCACACGGACTACCCACCAGAGGCTAACGCAGGTAAAACTTAGTTTAACACTTAAATAATTATTCATATAAAAAAATCATATTTATGTGAATTCAATTCATATAAAATATATTAATGCAAAATGACCCTTGTCCAGTCGCTGAAAGTTTGCGTTTCAAACAGGTCCGGCTTGAATGGCCGTTGATATTTGAATTAGCGTATAATTTATGTCCAAATTTTAAATATTACTTTTAATTTACAATATTAAAGAATGACCAGTTAAAAAAATCATAATATGTCCAACCTTAATGCCTTATAAAAAGTATTTATATTTTTTATAGGTCAAGATGTAATTATATATCTTCCGAACAACAATCTAACTTTAAACGGCAGCCTGTCGACGGATGATCACGAAATAACGTCCTGGGAATGGACCAAGTCCGCTGCTGATGAAAATAAAGCTGTTGATATGCAGAACACACACTCACCATACTTACAGGTCGGTACTAAAGGAGGTTTTATATAAATTCCATACTTACAGTTCAAAACTCGAAATAAGGAGTTTTTATATAATTTTAATGAAGTAATGAGATTTAAGGCTTTCGCGAGTATTCATTTGAAATTAAACTAACTTCTTACGTCGGGTGTATGTAGTTTTAAAAATAATTAACTAAAACGTAGTAGTCGGAAAATACTCGTTTAATTTGTAAAGAAATTCTTTTTGATCAATGTTTTTTCACGGCTATTGATTTCGGTATGATATTCGAAAGATGGTAATTATAGTAAACTATCTGTATATTATTGTGTTATTGAAATGTTAAGGTCATTTTTTTAGTTTTTCCCATTTATTTTTAAAATAACTCGTTTAACTTTCTCAACATATCGCCTCTTTAATAACTATGAACACATATACTTCCAGTTATCCAACTTGTCGGAAGGGGTGTACACGTTTGTATTGAAGGTGACCGATTCTTCGGGTCAATCGTCGACTGCTGAGGTGCATGTATTCGTTAAACCTCCAACAAACACGCCGCCTGTAGCTGACGCCGGGCAGGACGCGGTTAGTTAAAATTACTCTTATTTTTAATGGGATAAAGCTGTTTTTTTACATAACAAGTATTTTTACTAGATAGTAACTGGTTGCATACTATTTATTTGCTTAATTTAAACTGTATTGCAACCAGATAAGGTTGGTTTTTCGCAAATATGCTCGATATGATAAGCATAATGAGCCCGGATATGTAAATTTTATTTAACAATTAAATTTACATATTATTTGTTAAGTAATGTTGATAAATTTAATTATGTGTACTTGATAAATGTATTGATGGTGAGCATGTATGAGGGTATTAATAGCATGCGATGTAACAGACAATACATGCAATGACTTTCATATCAACTAATACAAAAAAGGTTTGTTTTCAAAAATTATACAAGTTCTAAATTTAAAAATGGAATTCATTGCTATTTAAAAAAGGAATGCAACGGCTTCCAAGACTTTCATATCAACTAATACTAAAAAGGATTCTTTTTTCAAAAATATACAAGTTCTAAATTTAAAAATGGAATTCATTACTATTTAAAAAAGGAATGCAACGGCTTCCAAGACTTTCATATCAACTAATACTAAAAAGGATTCTTTTTTCAAAAATATACAAGTTCTAAATTTAAAAATGGAATTCATTGCTATTTAAAAAAGGAATGCAACATAACAAGCATGACATTGACAGTTCGTATCCCTACCACAAACATGGAGCGTGTTGAACGGCTCGAGTTCCCACGACGATCATCGTATAGTCGCGTACACATGGCGCTGTCTGTCCGGACCTACTAACTCTAATATCATCAATTACAACGAATCCGTCGCTAACGCTACGTCACTAACAAAAGGACAATACATTTTCGAGCTGACTGTACTCGACGATAATGGGAACTCAGCGACCGATGAAGTTATGATCACAGTTACACAAAGTAAGTCGAATTAACATTATAGTATGGTATATACTATATTGTATAGCGATATTGTAACATCTCTAGTTTAATGTATTATACAGAAACTATATATACATTTTTTTCTTTTGACTTTCACTGTATAAAACATACACCATAACCAATAACAAAATTTTAATATAAAAAAAGTATGTCTCTATCAAAGATTTTCACGAGTCTTATTCATGTAAAAGAAACTAATAATTTTCGGATATAATAAGCGATTTTATTTAAAAAAAACGACTATTTTTGACAAGTAGCCGATACGTCGGGAGTATGTAATTTATCCAAAAAATATTAATTTAATTTAAATGTATGTAATATTTAATATGTATATTATTATTTCTCAGATAAAAACAGTCCACCGAAAGCTGTGGCGGGTGGGGATAAAATATTAAATCTACCAGTACCGGTGCTTGTATTAAACGGGTCGCAGTCTTCGGATGATTTCCGCATCGTGTCATATAAATGGACGAGATCCGCGTCAGGGCTCGCTGCCGGTACAGTCATCATGAAATCAGATACAACGCCCGTTCTTATGGTATGAGCATTATATTTTTAATAGCAAAGGATAATTACGACATAGTAAAGAAGAGTAATATTTGCAATAGTGATGAAACGTTGTAATATTACAAAAATATACAGGGTGACTGGTGAATTACTATCAATATTTAAGGAGCAGACTCAGTACATGATTCTCATTCGAATTATGTAAACAAAATAGGTACTTAATTTCTGACCAAATTTCCGTATAAATAAATAAAGTGTGTACACGTTCCAAGTGTTCCAAGTGTGGACGCGTGCGGCGGCATGCTGATACAACACCACGCCGCCGCGCGCGAGTGTGTGTGTGTGTGTTTACCTAATCTGTAGGGTGTTCACACGATGCGTAATTGCTTACATAACTTTTGGTTAACTTTACTTAGAAGTTTATTAATATTTATGTTATATTAATTTTTATTTTGTCATATATGATCGTCAAATATCACGTCCTCAAGTATCGATAGTAATTCACCAGTCACCCTGTATATAGGTACATACTAGAAGACTCGGCGAACTTCGTATCGCCCTATAATCAAGAAATATCTGTTGCGTTTTTTGTTTATATTTTTGGAGTTTACCTATTAAATCCATAAATCTCCGTGTTTTGAAGTGCGACAGAATGATTGACATATTAGTTAGTTGTCAAATCTAATGTAAAAAAAAAAGATTGTATCAACAACTACTAATAAATTAAAAATTAATTAAAAAAACATTGTCCAGCGGACAAAATTGTGAATCTAAACCATTCCCAGATCCCCTTGAACACACAAAAAAAATCATCAAAATCGGTCCAATCGTTTGAGAGAAGTTCAGTGACATACACACTCACAGAAGAATCTTTATATATATAAAGATATACAATATACATATGTTTACAGTTGACAAACATTGAAGTGGGAAGATACGTGTTCGAGCTGACTGTAACTGATGACCAGGGAGAGTCAGACAGAGACACGGTCAGCGTACAAGTGAAGGCTGACCCTTTAGAGATGAAACTCTTAGAGATGACCTTGAACATACCCATCTCGAGCTTCACCAAGAGCCAGCTCGACTCACTAGTGCAGAAAATGAACTTGTTACTCAAAGATGGAATGTCCGTGAATGTTACAGAAATACGTGGAGAAGTTGATTCTGGGAACACTTTGATTATATACTTCTTGACGGAAAAGGTTCGTATCTTGTGATAGTAGTAATTGTTACGTTTAATATTTAAATTTGTATTCGATGTATTAGTTATAGAAGGAATTGTTGATTTCTTTTCATATTTCTGACATAGTTTCTATTCAAAGCTAACTATCCTACTAATATTATAATTGCGAAAGTTTGTGAGTGTGTGTGTATGTTTGTTACTTCTTCACGCTCAAACGGCTGAACCGGTTTTGATAAAATTTTGTATACAGGAAGCTGACGTCCAGGAATAACACATAGGCTATCTTACATCCCGGAAGTCCGCGGGTAACACCGCGGGGCGCGGATAGTTATTATTAAATGATACTAATATTAATCTATATACAGGGTGTTCCAATGGACGGTATAGAAGCGTTATCCCAATCCCGTAGTGCAGCTATAAGTGCGGGTGCCCGCCGCGTGCGCTCTTTTCGATGTTTAAGCGCGTGCTCTGGTCGTGGTGTGTGTGACCAAGCGACGCGTACGTGCAGATGCGATGCATTCTGGATGCAGAGCTTACTTACACTCATGCAACCGGACGCTCAGCCCGACTGTGGTTAGTATTTATATGATTAGTATACTTATAAAACGTAATTAAAATTTTATTGGATTACAATTATTAGTAAAGCGATAGTTTGGTTTATCAATATAATAAACTTATAAGAGGAGAATATGTTCACATTACATGTATGATATTTCTTTGCATATAATCAGTCTTTTATGCTAAAGTAAGACAAAGATTAAGTACTACATACATATACAATGTAAGCTCCATGTTACGTCACTCAATTTAACGACAAACTCTATAAAGCGTCATCATTTGACTTTGGTTGGTTTAGCTTGTCTACCATACAATGATACACTCTACATAGCATCACACCCACTCTCAATAACGACAACAATTAAGTAATAAAAGTACCTTTTAAGTTGCTAAAATTAGTAAAAACTGCGCAGCTGTGTACGTTCTTTGTCGCTTTGTTTTTATAGCCCGCAATAAACTCGACTGTCGGAATCATGCATACCGAACTTTCTAAGAAATTCGTTCTTCTAATTATTTCCCTTATCACCAAGATGTTTATAATTGTCTAGACTGGTCGGTGGTATATCTATCCGTGTGTGGCGTGGTCGGTCTGTGTGGAGCGTGTGCGGGCGTGTGGGCGTGTGGTCGGGCCGGAGCACGCGCCTGCTCCCCGCCACGACCGAGAGCACGTGCTCCGTACAGACTACTACCGCTGGCTGAACACGAGGATAAGCCATGTGAGTTACTATACAGGGTGACTGGTGAATTACTATCGATATTTGAGGACGTGATAGTTGACGATCATATATGACAGAATAAAAATTAATATAACATAAATATTAATAAACTTCTAAGTAAAGTTAACCAAAAGTTGTGTAATTAATTACGCATCGTGTGAACACCCTACAGATTAGGTATACACACACACTGACACACACGCGGCGGGGGCGTGATTTTGTATCAGCACGCCGCCGCACGCGTCCACACTTGGAACACTTGGAACGTGTCAACACTTTATTTATTTATACGGAAATTTGGTCAAAAATTAAGTACCTATTTTTTTTACATAATTCGAATGAGAATCATGTACCGACTATGCTCCTTAAATATTGATAGTAATTCACCAGTCACCCTGTATATTTATAATTTATATATATAATTCTTCTGTGAGTCTGTATGTCACTGAACTTCTCTCAAACGGCTCGACCGATTTTGATGAAATTTTTTGTGTGTGTTCAAGGGGATCTGGGAATGGTTTAGATCCACAATTTTGTCTGCTGGACAATGTTTTTTTAATTAATTTTTAATTTATTAGTAGTTGTTGATACAGACGTTTTTTTTATTTTGACATTAGATTTGACAACTAACTAATATGTCAATCATTCTATAACACTTCAAAACACGGAGATTTATTGCTATAACAGGTAAACTCCAAAAATAAATAAATAAGACATTATTTATTTTTTGATTGAGGCAGTACGAAGTCTGCCGGGTCCGCTAGTATTATAAAATGAAAAAACTGTTAGAAAACAATATTTTGTGTCGATTCTATAGTGTAATCCTATAGAGATTGTATTTCAATTTTTTTGAAAAAATCAATCAATTGCATATTTAAAATTCTAATGTGCCGTTAAATTTACAACGTTTAATGGTCTTAGTTATATCGAACATACCTATTGATTTTTTTTTATTTACATTTATTCAAGGACCCGTATTGTTAATTAACCATTGTATATAATTACAGTCGCTAGCAAAGAGGTATTATCAGACACGGACAACGACTCCGACGTCCTCTACGAGACAAAAGCTAAGATGACGTCCTTCGGCCGCACGTGGAACGGCGAAATAAGCAACGGATGGAAAAACGGACACGCCAAGAATACAAGGAGAGTTAAAACGTAGCTTAACAACACATAAGATTAATAATTATACAAAATAAAGTATTTAAAGTGCTAAACAGAAATATATTAAGCACTAAGAAACATCTTATAATATGACGTACAAACCTGTCGCTTGTTAAACGATCCGGCGTTACCTGCGCTTGTGATAATTGCCAGTAACGATTCAGCGCAAATATTATATAACTTACGTATAGTGTTCACATAGATATAGCTATTATGCATTTAGATTTGTTGGACATATATATGTATAGGCTATATATTATATATTGCTAGTTTATTAAACATAATAATTACACTGATAAATAATGTGCAAATGACTGCCATACAGAAAATAATATAACATTATATGAACATTTGATTTATATTAATTATTTATCAGGCAAGTTATTATAATACACCAAAGGTTAGTTTGAATGATTTGTATTGTCAACACCAAATTATATAAGGAATTATTTAAATACTACTGTATATTTTGACTTAATCAAAATTTTAAGGCATTAAATTTTAATCTATTTTTTTAATTTGCCATTCACTATAATTTGAGTGTGTTGAATTTTATCCAATATAAGATAAGACCAGAATTCATTATATGTTGTAACGAATAACATTAATTGATAAATGTATTGATAACGTTCAAATATAATTAAGATTTTTATAATGTATGTCGACTAAGAGATTTTTGACGAGTCATAATAATTATGTAGGTATTATACAAATTATAATCACTTATCAACTTGCTTTTTTTTGTTTAAATTTAGTTTTATAATATTTTTGCTTCATCACTACAGTATTTTTGTATTAATTGAGAAATATTAAATATAACATTACGGAAATAGTATGCAAGCTTAGTTTAAGTGTTTATGTAGAATACAATAAGTTACTTAATAAAGACATTATATTCTAGTCGGTAATTATAGTTATGCATAAAGTATTCCTGATTTATCAATTATATTTACTTAAATGTGTGATAGAAGCATATTTTTATTTTACAAACATTATATATAAAGGTTTGTTTTTTTTGAAAACGATTTAAATAAAGCATTAAAATAAGAGACAATTCTTTTTTCTAGTAAAATTTATTGCTTTTAATTTTACTACACACTATATTAATATTAAAGCAACATGAAACATCCATACACTTAAGTATGGATGTTAAAATATTTTAATGAGCACTTCATATATGTAAGGCCGCTCATGAATGGAATGGGTATATACCTAGCAAGACATTACTTTCACTGGTAATAAATATCAATCCTTACACTAAATAGCAGATAATTTTAGTGTACTTTCATCTAATTCAAATTCTCTATTACTCACTGGAATATTTAAAAATCTTCATACATTACAATGAAAAAGATTAGTCGAAGCACTTATATAACTTATCACTATGCTAATGTTCTATTTAAAATAATATCAATTTCATAGCTTTGATGGTAGAATACATATGGTAAAAATTATTAGATAGTTTAAAAATTAAATAACAATAAATTTGAGTATTTTGTTTACGTTTACATTACAATAAATAAAAAAACAAGAATTATACTTTCTGAAAGTTAAATAATAAAAGAACAAAACAATTGTCAGTTAATTGGTTAGCAAACCATTTTGCTAGCATTTACTATCTTATCTTATCTGGTAATTTTAATAGCCAATATATAATTCCTAATCATCTTACATAACCACACAATTTAAGCTAAAAGTACCACACCCAAAAAAAAAAACAGCTTAATAAATAGAGCTCTGTTGCTATGGATCTACTTGGCTTTTTTCTTGCCTGATTTAACGGTAGCTTCAACTTCCTTGGCCCATACAGATCGGTTTAATGTCTCCCCCAAAGTGTAGAGACCACAAACCAAACCAAGACTGAATAAGTAGAACATGATGCGTAGTGGCCAATTCAATACATTAAGGATAGGATACACCCAGCTTCCAGTTTTGAAGTAAATGACATGAACCCAAATAACATAGCCAAGCATGAATGCTGATAGAATTGATAATCCAAACTTTCTACCAGGATACATCCTGAATGATGTGCTGATTTCTATTATTGTAAACAACACAATATTAGAATGCATCACGTGATTTAACCATGTAGGGAAAAATGCATCCAAAGCCTTAGGTAAAATAAGTTCTCTGTCAACTGCATATATAGCCCAAAATGAAATACCAACAAACATTGCTAATGGAAAAGCAAGAGCACTAAATAGAGTATCCTTAATTCTTCTCACAAGTGGTTTATTTGAAGGCGTTGATTCATTGGTCCCAATAATATCGTTAATTAACGCCACTGTGAAGTAGACTGTTTGCAACATCTAGAAAAAAGGATGATTAGTGTTACAACATGTTTAATGATATTTTATTCAGTAATAATTAATGAAAATACGTACTGCATTTAGATAAGTCAGGTACTTAAATTTTCCACCGAAGGGGGTCACTGTCGATGAGGTACTAGGTATTTTTACGTAAGTATAATCATAATAACAGCCATAGAAAAATTGAATAGCTCCCAATAAATGGAACAATATTTTCAACATTTTGAATTTTTAATAAAAAAATAAAAAGTTGATTAGGACGTCCTTTGAATAAAACAATCCTGTTTTATTTACGTGTCCGAGTGGCGGTTTAAAACTAAGAAAATGTTATTTTGAAAGAAATTATGATATATACTAGGAAATAAATCAATATCAGTTTAATAAACAAAAAAATTAAACTTCTGAAATAAACAGTGGGATTTCACAGGAAATTTGAAATAATAGCCGATTTAGATAGAGGTCTTCATACTTTCATGGAATTGATTACACTATGAAGTTTGACAAAATTTGTCATTTAATGACAGTATAATTTAGATAAAGATTTCACGATATACTTCTGCTTTTGATTCGAGGCTTTTCTGTTTATTTAATTCTTCAAAAAATAACAATGCAAAACTCAGCGTATTCAACAAAGTCAAAATTATTATAAGAAATAAAATTAGTTATCAAGTTTCATTAAAATGTCAATATATATCAGGAATATGCAGTAGTGCAAACTAATTATAGCAACAATTAGAACTACTTATTAGGAGTACTTACATATTTTAAACGAATAAACACGAGAGGAAAATGTAAATTAAAAAAAGTAATGGTTAAATGGTGGTTATAAATCTTTATTAAATAATTTATCAAATGGGCGGCAGTTTATAAGGCGGAGGTGCGAGATCAGGCACTGGTGCGGTGAAGGCACGGCTAGGCGCAGGACGTGCGGGCAGATCTGGTAGTGCACCACGAACCAAACGTCGAAGCGCCGTATTGCGAGCTCGTAACTGGGACACCTCGTTATGAATCCGTTCCCGTTCTGTTGATATAATATCATAGAAACGTAATACATTATGTTGCGGCAGAGGAGTGAACAGAAAAAATACCTATAAGCTTAATTATTGCATTCGTCTACATTTTATCATCAAAACTTACAAAAAAAAAATAACCATTCCTTGGAATTAAGGAGAGCTAGAGATAAAATTGGTTTAAAAAATCTGTCTTATAATATAATTATGTGACAATGTGGAAAATAAAGACAAACCTTGTAGTATAGATAAATAATTATTGAGACCAGAGAGTAATCCGTCCCAAAAGCGATCTTTTTCAGGAGGAAACTGGTTTTTCCACTGTGACCAATACTGATCTATTTCTTGAGCTGTTAATTTACGTGATGGTGTTGTGAAATCCGGTGGCTGTACACTGTCCCTGTTAAATGAAATTACAAAATTTTAATAAAAACCATTTATGAAATATAAAACCGATTATAATAATGATACTGTTAGATACGCGGATAGGGTCGGACAAATGAAAGGATCGCTGGCTAATCACGCACTGCTTTATTGGACGATTATTACAATATATATGGGTGGTCGCAGCCACGCCTAAACTAATTATTTATACGTACCTACATATGTAACAGATACTTACAGAATATTATATAATTTTCTTTTCTCTGGTGGAACAAACACTGACATAAATTCATTAAGTGCTGTTAATACTTGCATTGATTCAATTTCTAGATAATGCCCAACTGCAAACATAAAAAAGTCTAACTAAATTCGAGTTTAATCTATGAGATTCCATTAGATATTGCGTTATTTGCTTTTTGTTTCAACAACTCCTATTAGGATAGTAACTAACCAGGGCATAGGAAGGGATTGTTTGTACGTGTGGTGACTAAGGCTGGTGTTTGGGAGACAGTGACTCCTCGACGTCGAGCTGATCCGCCTGCTTCTGAAGCGCTCTCTGAAGGACACGTACTTACTGGAAAAATTATCTAATGTGTATATTATTGACTGACTTTTCAGTTTCTCTCAAGAAAGTTCTGGTGATTAATAGCTTTATATCGACAGAAAGTATAATGTTAGCGTATACTTTAGAATTATCGCTATTCGTTATAAATCCAAAATATTTCCTCTAAATGAATAATAGAAATGGATGGATATAATCAAAGAAGACAAAGAAGCCGTATTCTGAATATGATAGACTCCTGTTTTTCATTTTATCTTTAATTAAAAAAAATTAAAACTCTATGCATATAAAGATACATACTTACTTATATGTAGTTTTACCTTTAGGATCGCCACATTTTTGTAAGATTGCGTCAGCTTCGGCTATCAGAAGTTGGTCGGTAGATGACAAAGATTCAGCCCCTCTAAAAAAATATAACAATAGAAAGCATGTTATAAATTATAAAAAGTAGGTGATACATTAAAATAATATTTATTATTTACCTAAATCCTACGTGAACAGACCGAGATGTGCTCGCCGAAATACTTCTAACAACACTAGAACGTGCACGAGTTGAGGAACTTCTTTCCCCTAATTAAAAAAAATTACTGTGTAATAACAAAATAACTAAAACAAACGAATAATTTTCAAATCATACCCACCTCTACCTTTAGCACAGACACTTACACGGTGAGTGTCGTCTTGGGATTCTATCTAAAATCATAAGAAGATAATTTTATTATAGTCTATTGTAAATTTTATCTATTTATTACACTCACCCCCGTTGTTGAATGTTCCATCATATCGGACGTATGTTCTTCCATACCGATGCATATTGGACAAAACGCATAATTGAGAAAAATTTTACACATTAATTCGATATCTTCCTCCGCTTGAATCTCCAATGCCTTTAAAATTAACGTATATATAAAGTCTTAAGCATGCAACAATCAATTATTAAGGTATAAGTATTTTACCATAAATATAGAATCCAATGTGCAAAGATTTCTGGACGTTAAAGGATATTTCTCAATAAGTTTCAATAGACGGTCTTCAACTAAGAAACCTGTGTTGTCTGCTACTAGTTGAAGAATGTGGCGTACCTGGTATTATAAAAATGATTACCAGACTTATAACTCCATACGAATTAATTGCTGAATTAATTTCAACTTCGAACTTACCAATCTATCCTTTGCCTCAGCGGTAGCCATATTTTTGGGATCACCCACTTCTTTGCTCTGTAGAGCAGCGATGTCTTTCACAGGAATTTCATTCTCTATAAACATTCTCAAACATATTTTTAGGGCTAAATAAGTCAAGAGACAAAATAATAGTAATCTTTAATTACCATATTTAGATAATGGACTCTTTGGTGGAGGTGGTGGGGGCGGAGGAGGTGGTTCAGCTAGTACGTGCGCGTGAAGAGCTGTTTCAGCGCTGCGTACTCGCCGAGCAAGACCAGCACACCGCGAACCACACATACGCCACACCTGACTGAACTTGTAATTGTTCACGTGTGAGAAATGCCGGCACTTCTTTTCCAGGTCTTCCATCGCCTGCATCAAGCTGACGATCTCTGCGTTCGCCTTTATCTCCTCTATAGCCCCGTCTTCAGCGGCCTTTCGTATTTTAGAACGAAGCGTGTTCGCCACATCTGACATCTTGTTGAGTTTTCGTTTTTGTTGCGAACGAACGAAAACATTTTCCTCTTCACGTTTTTTAAGAACCTGTTTCAGATATTTGTATTTCAAGACACGTCATAATATCGCAAATGAATCAAATATTCGAAAATATATGTTTACCTGATAATTGTATCCGATCTTTTCTGTGTTTATTATACAGGTGGCTTTCAATTTTTCTAATTCTTTTTGTAGTTCTTGGATAAGAGTTTCGAGTTCTATTTTGGCTTCTCTATATTTGGCATGATGGTCCCACATGATAGCCTCAATCTCTAGTTTGTGTTCCTCAAGCTATGAAAAATAAACTTATTTCTCAAGAGTTCTTAGCAGACTAAAGTTAAACTATTACATCTATCATCTATGTTACCTGCTCAAACTTGAACTCCAAATGAGCTACTTCTTCTTTATCTCGTTGTTTGTATAGTGCTTCCCATCTTTTATTATTATGGTCTACCATTACCTCACGCTCTATGTTAATTGCTTGTTCAATTAAAAACAGTTGCTTTTCGTAAGCTCTTTGCATAATTGTTATTTGCTTTTCAATTCTGTCGGAAAGTTCTTTTATGTCTTTATCCTGTAACAATTGTATTCGTGCATAGCTACAATTTACTACACAATGTCTATCACAATATCAGATTTCTTTCAAATGAATAAGATTAAACGAAACTCTCGAATGACTTTAAAGATTTATTTTAACCTGTTTTCCGTGCAAAAATTATCTATTTACCGAAGTTAAATTATTTTGACCTAATAAAACAGTAGACTATTAATTAAAACTACTTATATCTTAGAAAATAAACTAATTCATACTTAAACGGTTTCAGTAAAGTTTTTTTCATACTTTCAGGTTTAAAAGCAAAATTATTACTAATCACCTGTTTTTCTAAATCTTCATAGTATCCCACGTCCATGCGGTTGAGGTCCTGTTTTAATTCAGCTATCAAGTTATCTTTCTGCTCTAATAGCTCTTGGCACTTTATTCTTTGTTCTTTTATTGCCGCATCTATGTCCAAAGGATCTTTTATCTCAAGCATAATATCCCAATTAGCGGTAATTGCATCGTACTGAATTTGGGCATCTGCTGCTTCTTCTTCTATCTTTGCCAAGGAAGCTTAAACAAAATTAACTTTCAGTCTCTAGGTTGTTACTATGTGAGTCACATATTTTTATGAATAAAACTAACCTAACATTTTATCGGAAAACAATGTTCTGCGTATAACTTCTCGTTCATCAGTCGTAACTTTAACATTAGTGACTTTCGCAGTTCCATCTAAGGCAAGACGTTGAAGTTCTTCAGCAGCAGAACTAGTCGCTTGCTCGATTGGTCCTGGTTCTTCTTCTTTAAACGTTACTTCCGAAAGTTGCTCGGCTCTACGGTTATAGGAGAGACGAGAATTGTTAACAATAAATTAGATAAAGTTCAATAATAACAAACAACATACAAATGTGTTACCTTTTAAGAGCCTCTTGTCTTCTTTTAATTCGTAATGCTCGACCAGCTTTCCGTTCCTCTGGGTCCTGTGATGTAACCTGAGGCTCTTTTGGGGCCAAAACATCGTCCTCATCATCCCCAAATCCACCGAATGCACCCGCCATTATTTAGACATTCAAGAACACTTTTTTTTAAATAAACAAATATTGCATTGATTTCAATTTCATATGATAACACAAATAAGTTATAAAACAAGTTTTTGTTGTCATGACAACGTAGTTTTTAATTAAGTTCGTTCTTTTCAAGATATATAGGTACTTGGACAAAGTAACAAATTTTTTGGCATTTTAAGATTGATGGACTATTAAATTATTTTTCTCCAGGGGAAACATTACGTAATTCATTGATTTTACATTAAACTAATATTCATTTGTTAAACGAAAAAAAATATTTAAAGGATAAACATAAACTTAACTTACCCATACTCGTTATTTTGACAAACATTGGACAGTTAATATCGATAATATCGATGATCGATCGTATCGGATTCAAGATAGTCCAAGTTTCTAACGCTTCATACGAAGAGTCGTTTTTTATTTAAGAAAATTCGTAAGTTATTGAATTTTAAATTTGTAGGTTACTCAAAAAGAAGTATAAGTATATATAAGTAGTTTGTACTAAGCATACAGGCAATTCGAGTAACCATAGAAATAATTTTATCTACCAGCTTTATAATATATTACATACTAGTAATTGAGACAACTTTCGTAGAAGAATTAAACAGTATTGTATTGATTTAAAAGCAAATAATGTAGACAGACATCAAGTTGCAGATGTACTTTACGAAAATACCAACTCTCGAAATTATTTTGAATCAAAAAATTTTGATTTCTTCGTGAAAAGGTTTCTTTTTCAGAACCTACAGGAGTTTAGAACTTTATAGAATTAGTCAAATTGTAATTAAGAGAATATTAATTTAAAAAGTATAATATATCTGTAAAATTATAGATTTCATATTATAAATACAAAAATGGATATTATTAACTTAAATATGTTCAAGGGGCAAGGAAAAAGGGTTATTAAAATCAAACAATTTGAGTAGCCACAAATATCATGGCACGTTTATTTTTCTCCACTACATGGCGACCTCTAAAAGAATCGTGACTTGTTATTTTGCATTCATATAGTTTCTTTTTAATAGAGCTCATCCAAAAGAGCACTAATAATAATTATACAATGTATATTTTCCATAAAATTAAATAAACTCTGTATTTATTTTGACCTCGATATAAATCACTATGAACTTAAAAAAAAATGAATTAAAATCGCTTTGTTAGTTCGCTAATTGTATTGATTGATGATACTATATATTATAAAGAGTACATTTAAAAAATCACATTAAAGCATATACATAATGCTGACTACATAATTTCCCTTACAGCCTCATTACTAGTGTAAATAGAATTAACGATAAACAATATTAAACAATATAAAATTATGATTTCAGTTTAAGGTGATGATAACACCTAAGCAGTTGAAAAGGCGAACGATAAGAACTGTCTTAAATAGTAATGTTTTCAATTTGTTTCAATAAAAATTGAAATAATATAAGTAACTATTATATAGAATTGTGTAACAACATTCAATGTACCACCGCAGTGCCGGATTAACCGTAAATCATTGGAGGCAATTTGTGCCTAAATTCCTCTTTTGTTTTAAATAACATTTGTCTTTGCTTTCATAAAGATATTAACACGTCTCTATGGTTTTCAGTATGACATTATAAAGTCTATGGTTTTCAAGTAGGAGTATGTTTATTTGTGCAAAAATGTTTTTGATTTTTTTTTCAATGTCATACCTTTCTACAATAAGAAAGATTAGTAACTAATTATAAAATGAATAAATAAACATGTTAAGAGGTCTGTAATCTGTATATACAAACGGTTAATCCGAGACCGACACCACCTTATAGGAATATAAAACTAATTGGTGTTAAGTGTTATCAGCCGCTTAATAATAACTAATAATAAATTTATCACATTGCATTCAGACTAAAGAAATATTTAACGTAAATGAGGCTGTAAAGGTGATATATACACGTGCGATGTAATATACCACAGTTAAGAAATCTAACTTATACAATAAAATATAAACTAGCCTAAAAATTTTAACAATAAAAAGAAAAACAGTTGTATTTCAAATATTGGTCAATAAAACTCTGTAGAGCTATAACTAAATGACCGCTGTTAAAAAAACATGCCATGATTTTTGCTCGTAGACTTTTAATAAAAATTAGAATTAAAAGTATGTAAAATACTCCAAAAAGTGTCAAGTGAGGCTTAGAGCCTTATTTTTTTATTAATAATAATAATATATATAAATTACAAATAGTAAAAAATTCAGTGACTTAGAAATAGCTCTCAGCATATAAAATAAAAAAAGTTAAAATCCTTAGGCTGTACTCTCGTATGATTATGATGTAAGCAACGCAATATGTCGACAAAGCGGGTAGTACGCGTAAATCTAACGATATAATATAACTAAATATATATGTAGCTTAGACATAACGATTACACAAGGCTGACTGACTGTTGTTCGCAAACCGGCCACGCGGCCAGGGACTAGTGCCATACGCATACATCCATTATAATTTGGATAAGGATATGTAAGGTTTCTGAACTGGTTGGTCCGACACCACAACCTGTCTCATCTCAAATACTAACACCGATAGCCGATTACGTTTCCTTTGAGTATTTTAAAAATTTATTTTCAAGTTGTGGATCCATTTTTGTATTTCTTTCTAATAAATTCAGTCTTTTCTACGGTTGAAAATAAGTAGAGATTGAGATATACAAATTAAAACACTGACGATTACGTAATCAAATACATAGTACAATATTACTTTCTAAGTATATAGTAGCTAACATCGGTATGTAAAATAGTTGGGGCAGAAAAGACACACAAATTCTATGATCACTAAGGACATATATTAAAAAAAAATGATTCAGTGTTATCTATTTAATTTATGCGTCTTAACTGTTTATTTTTATTGTTAATATTATTTTTTGACACCCACATCGCTTACGAAACGCGCACCTTGCCCTACTCGATACGTAAATATGGGTTGTAAAAAAGGGGCTCGTCTCGTAAAGCGAAAGGGTCGCTAGTGTTTAGTCTTCGTGTCGACTCGACGGGACGGAAGCGGTATAGATCGGTACACAATGAAAACAATCACTAATACAGAACAGATAACAAAATATATTACTTCTAAAATGATTCAATGTAGCGTCGATCGCGCCGAGCCGTACATGACTATAAACATATATATAATATATATTTCATATACCTAGTTCGCTATGTTGGTGTTTCTATTCCCATTTATAATATCTATAGATAAAACAATGTTACGAACATTCGTATATTAAACACCAATTATTCGGTAATCGAAAGTTCTAGAAACTATTGGTAAATAACGTTTTTCTCAATGGCAATTCGAACTTGGTAATTGAGGATTTACACTACTCGTTAAACCAAACATCTAGTGTCTCTAAATAATACTGTTCTCAATGGCTTGGTAAGAAACTTAACACATTTTTTTTTAATATTATTTTTACTAACACGGAACAAAATATTCTGTTTTTAAATCTAATTTTCATCATCCTTCCATGGGAAACTAAATGCATCCGTCATGTTAATTATATCTTAAAGTGTACACATATTTATTTTATATGTAATGATAAATGAGATATTGGCCTATTTTCTCGTGTTTCAAATACAGAACTATCAAAATATAAAAAAATATTGAGGACTATCAAACAACATCCATATGTATATATTATTATCAATATGTATATCTACAAGGAAATTTTGACTTTATTACCCAAAAGTATACTTCTGCGCTAAATACTCTATGATTAATTCCAATTTTTTTTTTTCATCAGTTCAATATAATCTATGATTGTAGATAAAAAACTGTTCTACAAATCATACGCTCTTACCTTAATTTTGAATCGTATTAATTCATATCATTCCAATAAATAAATCCTACCAATATTTACAATTTCGACCCCGATTTCGAGCTCATGGACACACACAACATTGTGGAAAATAATGTATATAAAAAACAATCAGAACAGAAAACAAAACAATATAATTATTATAAAAAAAAAAACACAGGTCTTCAGAAGTCGGTACATAACACTAGGAGAAGATGAGTTCTCTACTATATTTAATTTTCATTCTACCCTGACCTGCAAAACTTAACTAAACTTACACTACCACATCATTTACAAAGAAATGGCACCAATCTATCTTTGATATCAATAATGGCAAACCATAAGGAACCCCCGCCAGCGGACACATTATTTGCACTCCACAATGCAAAAGAACATTGTCTCAAAGGTTTTGGAAGACTACTGCGCTATACTCTATACTTTATCACTATTATTCGATATAACAGCAATGAATAAAACATTTAAACCAATGTAAGAAAATATCTATGTAAACTCTAGATACACGCTAGATCGGAAAATAATGTGTAAAATAATATATATATAAAAAAAATATATGAGAAAAATAATAAACAAAAAAAAACAAAGGCGATAAGTCGAGACGTGAATAAAAAGTGTTAGGATGGTATGAGTGATATCGCCTAACGCTATCTGCTAGAAGGCACACAATGTTAAGTAAGAAGCTTCACAAGGACTGCGCCCGCCCAATGCGAGCGGGCCTTATTGCCATACAGTGACCGAGTCGATCAAACAGAGATCACACAACATGAACACCGAACGAATATTATATGAACCGAATACACCATTAAAAATATATTGCCAATTTTATGTTGCAACAGGCACTTATCTGGATTACTCCAATAAACATCATAATAAATTTATTATTATTATTTTATTCTTTTGTGTTGTTCCGTCAACGCCTCCTAGGACTCTGATTATTATCATTTGTACTTGTATTTTATTATTCCCATATGAAACCTGAACGATCATTAAAGCATTCTTATGGATTACGAAAAGTATCATCTAAAGAGTCCATTCGATTTCTATATCGATCAAAATATTGAACATTTCATCGGTAACAGTTCTATAAAATTATCGAACTCCATATACACTGACACACTAAGTTAAAGCATCGCGATAAGATATTGGTTATTATCACTACGACTAATGAATGTGGGTGACAACTGACAAGCGAGTGAACGTTGAGAAATTTAGAATTTCAAATTTGAACATTTACCATTTAAGTTTCCGAAATATATCACTAAGCAAATAAGAATATGAGATCAAAAAATTTAGGCCTACAATCTATAAAAGATGAGAGTTAAGTATCGATTTATATATGCCACCACGTATAATATAGTGTGATGGTAGAGATAAATCACAGTTGCAGATATAATCACAATGAATATAATAGGCGGTACCGCTACGTGATTACTGCTACACCCCTACTGCGTCCGGGGGGACTCCTCGCCCCTCCACTCCGATACTACGCACGCGTCACGGCCGACGAAATAATAAAAGATAAATAAATAATATAAAATAAACGATCTGTTTCTGTGTATATCGTTACAAGAGCTTAGCTCTCGATCTGGCTCTACGTATATAATCTATGTAGCTGCTCGTGATGGCTGCCTCATTCGTATATTGCACTCGGGCCGTCCAACGAACAATCGAGAGTTATCAGCTGTTCTGTAAACGTAAAATAAAATATATTTATACACACTTCAATTAAACACTCATTAAAGATACGAATTTAAGAAATAGTGACCAATATTATGTTTGTAATGTATTATTTTTTATCCTACTAATGTTATAATTGCGAAAGTTTGTGAGTGTGAGTATATGTTTGTTACTTCTTCACGCTCAAATGGCTGAACCGATTTTTATAAAATTTTGTATACAGGAAGCTGACGTCCAGGAATAACACAGGAAATCCCGGAAATCCGCGGGTAACACCGCAGGGCGCAGCTAGTTAATTATATTGAAACATCTCATGTTATACAATATTGTTGGCCGTGAGATCTTAATATGTATAATTTTAATAATAAATAAACATACGTAGTGCGGATCAATCAGACAGTCGCATGGACATCTGCGGCTGCGGCGTGGGAGTGTGCGGGGGCGGCGGCGACGCTGAACGATACAATAATATTATTACTATTACTATATAGATACCTTAATACTATAGAGATTATCAATGAATGTAATTAAAATTTAAGATAATAAAAAAAATTACTCATTTGCTATTATTCTATGACTGATAATTCGTAACTAAAATGGAATAAGTTTAGAACGATGTAATATTATTGTTTTCATATATTTAATATATTGATTTCATATAATGTTCTCCTCACATATTGATGCTATCGACTGCGGCGACATGGCGGACATTTTCGTGTCCTGCATAGAAACCTGCGTCCCCTGAGAAGTCATGTAGCGATTCACCATCGGCACGAAACTAATGAACAATACAGATATATTAGTAATTGATAAAAATCAACACCTCATTCTTACATAAGGAAACCATTTTAAAATGTGATTCAAAATAGCAAAAAGAAATTAAGTTGGATGCATTAATTTAAAGAAATAAATCTTCATCACAATAATTAAATAAACTAATTAGAAATAAAGATATGTATAATAAATTAAATATTACGATTTTGAAATTAATGATCTGGTTGTAGACAAAAAACGTCTTTTATCAATAGACATAGAGTATTACATTATTAATACTTTATCAAACAGAAATAAAAATAAAAATAGTTTGCGATTTAAGGGAAAGTCGTATTATACTTAGTAACTTTCACATTAATAAGTTCCTGTTAACTTAGTTTATTGAATACCAACAATTTTTAATTTTTCTCCTTCTTCCATTACAAGTAAATAACAAGTAGTATAAAATTTGAAGAAATTACTTAAATGAAAGTAATATTTTTCGGATGTACTACGCGAATTTGATGATAAGTAGCCGAAACGTCGAGAGTAGGTAATTTTTTATCAAAAATAAAGTCGTGTAGTAACATCCGAAAAATAGTAGTTTCATTTAAATGAATAAAACTCGCGAAAATCTTAGATCTCATTTTGACGAAATATCGTACAGAAAAAAACAAAAATTACTATACAATCCCTTAGAGTGTATTGCATCAGAGTGCTAGTTATATTTCGTTATAGTAATTTCCTTCAAGTCAATCGTATTGAAGTGCTAGTAATATATCGTTATAGTATTGTTTGTACATACCTGAGGTCGCACACGCCGGGCGAGTCGTAGTTCCCGTTGTTTGAGTTAGTGTTGGTAGCCACGCTGTTGATGGTGCCGATGCTGTTCGCTGATATGTTGCTGTGGTTCTCACGGTGGACGCGGTTGTGGTGACTGTAAAAGATATTTATGTAATTATATTATGATTTTTATATTGCGTTACGGATAGTGAAATTCCGCGTAACTAGCATTGGATAAATCCGCGTATTTGAAAGAAGGTTTAAGCTGAAATATTTTCTGAATTAACGACTTTTAAGGTATTTTTTTCACAATCAGTAATTATATAGTGTTTAATTTATTACTTATCAAATACTAGTTACGTTGATTTGCACTATCATCGCCGACGATTGGAGATCTTATTTCATTAAATAATACGAATAAATTTAATAAGTTTATTTTTGTTCTTGACGTAAAAGTCGTTTTAAGTAAAGCTAGTCCCTGTTTGTGTATATTTGTACGTGGAACCGTAGATCTTAAATAGACCGATTAATTTTATTGTTTAATTGATGTCACCCAGATATGTAAAAGCATCTCTATTCAATAAATATTTTACAAGGGTTCGACGTATGATAACTCGATAAATAGCTCCACGCGTGCCAGTATAATCACTAAATGATTTGATAAGTTTTTGTGATATGACCTTTTTGATATTATTTTCATTAACAGGGAAGACAACAAATAGTATTGAAGTTCTTGCAAAGCAATAAAACGATCCTCGACTCGTGCTCTGCGTATTCTTTAAGAGTGGAGTTTATTAAGTTACTAGCTTCGCCCCGCAGTGGTACCCGCAAATTTGCGGGATTTCCGGGATGTAAAATAGCCTATGTGTCATTCCTGGACGTCAGCTTCCTGTATACAATATTTTATAAAAATCGGCTCAGCCGTTTGAGCGTGAAGAAGTAACAAACATACACACACACTCACAAACCTTTGCAATTATAATATTATTAGGATATATACCGTATGAGATAGCTGTCCCTGACGAAGGTTCGTCCACACACGCTACACTCGTAGCAGGGTCCACTGGCGTGGGTCCGGATGTGGAGCGCGAACTGGGACTTGGAGGTGAACGTCATAGAACATCGCTCACAATTCAGAGGTTTGTCCGCAACGTGGGACCATCTGTACGAACAAAAATATCACAGTTAGTAGAATCTTTTATATGGTTTGTAGAATATTTTATATCTTTTTTATGGTTATGTACAGCTATTAGTCTGTATTTTGATTTTGATGTGGTTTGAATTTGGAATATTATCGAGTTAATCTAACGCGTTAATTTAAATCATATAGTGGTATCAGTTTTGCGGTTTGTGAATTTAACTTTTATCATTTTATCTATAGACACAAACGCAGATGTGTTATACGTTAAAGTTAATGCTGCCTCCTCGGACTAGTAATATTTTTTATATTTTGTTTGTTATGAACCGTTGTTTGTTTTTATTGAAAAAATCTTACCGGTGCGCTGTTACGTAGCTTTTAACTGCGAATCGTTTTTGGCAAATATCACATGCGTATGGACGTTCGCCTGAAAAATTAAAATTGTTACGGTTTTTTTTAATAATAAATAAGGTTGATAGCAAAACAAAAGCAAAAGATAGATTATTAAATAGAAAAGCAAAATCTAAAACAAAAATGGAGTTAAAAAGACGGCAAGATGCAATTAGATAGAATGATGACGTTTTTAAAATAATGATTTTAAACCTAAAAAATTAAAATAAATGATAAAATACTAAAAACAAAGGATGATGTAGCTGACGATGAAGAATAATGAAATGAGACTGTCGGTGCCACATCATTGAGATCATACATGTATCGCAATTTGCCGTCTTCTATGTACGTTTCCATATAAATCCACAATCGCAGTGAAAATATTCACACAACGAAAATTTCATAGCAGTAATGTGTGAATACGCCAAATAAATATGACGATTACCATCACACGAAACAATTGAATATAGAGTAAAATATTAACGTTTAATTAGAAAAAAAATGATAATCGTCACAAATTTACAAGCGCTACCATAAATCACACATTACCGAGCCAAAAATAGATAGCACTTTTGGACCTCCGCACGCGAGATCCAACAGTTCATATCTGGCGATATAAGTTTGTAACGCCACGCGGATCATACCGGTATGAATTCGCTTGTGAATGTTGAGTGTTGATTTCTGGGTGAAGCGTTTGTAACAGACATCGCACTCGAAGGGACGCTCGCCAGTGTGAGTGCGCATGTGTATTTCCAAGTACGGCTTGCATGTGAACGCCGCCGGGCACTCCATGCACTGATACGGCCTCCCTTGCACTACCCACAACCACACGTTAGATTCACTCACTGACTGACTCACACCGTATGTGGCACCGACAACGTCCATCTCATATGACATTAATGATAATAGTATTGGGATATCGTGTATGGAGACGGTGATGGTGACTGACCTGTGTGCGTTCTTTTGTGTATATTGAGTGTAGACTTTTGCGCGAATCTCTTGAGGCAGACGTCACACTGGTAGGGCCGCTCGCCGGTGTGCGTGCGGTTGTGTATCTCGAGGTACTGCTTGCAGGTGAAGGCGGCCGGGCACTGCAGACACTGGAACGGCCGGCCCTGGACTGTAAACACACGGTCAGTGGGCGAGGGTCGGACACGTCGCTTCCCGCCCGCGGCCTCTCCCGAACTGTCCGACACATACCTGAGTGCGTCCGCTTGTGGATGTTCAAACTGGATTTCTGCGTGAACCGCTTGAGGCAGATGTCGCACTGATAGGGCCGCTCGCCCGTGTGCGTGCGCGTGTGTATCTCCAGATATTGCTTGCAGGTGAAGGCGGCCGGGCACGACAGGCACTGGAACGGTCTCCCCTGGACTGGTGCCCAACACATACATTATAGCGGCGGCGAGCCCGCAAGGACGCTAACCGCCCTCGCTCTACGGAGGTCGCGGCGCGGACTGGTCGCCGCTCGCCGCTAACTCCGCTCCAAATCTTTTCGTAATTTATTCTATAGTCGGGGATCCGTAATGTACCTCCCGACACACGAAGAGACACACGAGTGCGCCGGAGTCGTTAGATTTGGAGGAGAGAGTGAAGGATGGAGAGAGGCCGGGGCGGGCGGGGGGCCAGTCCGGCCCGCGGGGTCACCCACCTGTGTGCGTCCGTCTATGTATATTGAGGCTGGACTTCTGCGTGAAGCGCTTGAGACACGCGTCGCACTGATACGGCCGCTCGCCTGTACGCGTGCGCATGTCAATGTCCAGGTAGGGACGGCACGTGTAAGGTCGCCCTTGCACTGCGCCCGGTGCACACACAAAAGCGAGTAACGCACGTCGCCGACGCAAGCGACTGACCGAACGACCGCCCCCCACCCGCCCAGCCAATAGTCCGCGACCCGCCCGACATAATGATGCACCCAATTTTGTAACGCGACATCGAAACACGACACCTAGGCGATTGATTGCGTCTATTGCGGCGATTGCATTACCGCTTTTGTGACTTTATTAATAATCATGAAGATATGATGGTAAAAAAAAAATATGCACATCTAAAATGAAGGAACGACTATGCGATGGGAATGCGGCCGGTAGAACTGATAGAAGTGGAAGGGATAACGGCGGTGAGTGCAGAAGTACATAAAAGCGCGAAACGATACAAGTTAAAAAAGAGGTCGAGATGTTAGTCTGAAGCAACTATATGAAGCCGTCGACGGAGGAGCGTAAAACAACGGGTTAGGCAACGGAAAGGAGAGAAGCATGACGCTAGATGAGATGTATGAGTGTGTGACGGTTCGTAGGTCGCTTATCGTACCGGAAGGAGAAACTGCTCATAAAGTGTATATGTGGGCTACTAACCCGTATGTATCTTTTCGTGCAAATTGAGCGCGCACTTCTGCGTGAAGGACTTGAGGCAGACGGTGCACTGGAAGGGCCGCTCGCCTGCGCTCCACAGGGCAGGGACAGAGAAACAAAACAAAACCACGATGGACAAATAATTATACTCATCACTCACTAGTCACTGCTGCACAAACATAACACCGCTACCATGAGGGAATCTCGACCAAGTTATTTGTCCATCAAACATTCTCTCCTACTAATTAACAGAATCCTCACAACGTACACATGCTTTACTTTCGAATGTTTGTGAATAGTTTTTGAGCGCGTTCCGCCTAATTATATCAAGTTATCGTCTTAATAAATATATATTAAAAATTATAATTAAAACCAATAACAAAATTATAATATAAAAAAAACACTTCCGAATCGCTAATCTTCACGGAAATAAAAATTGGGAGCCCTTAAACTATTCACAAAATGGTGTCAAAGTCACAAGATTTACATGAACTTAATACAAATGAACATAAAGTTTGTGACTCAGAGACCGTATAAACATAAAATGTAATCAAGGGACCCACCGGTGTGTATACGTTTATGAGTGCCAAGGCTGGACTTCTGAGTGAACCGCTTGTCACAGATGTCGCATTGATAGGGGCGCACTTTGTTGATCAGCGATTGGATGTGCTCCTCTAGAAATATCAATAAAATAAAGCTACAACAACCTCCCCGCCTCGCCTATGCGTACACTGCCTAAATAACGTTGAGCTCTAAATAATTATTTGCTACTATAGGATTTTAGGGCAAAATGCCTACCGGTGTGTATCTTTCCGTGTCGGCCCAGGCTGGACTTCTGAGTGAAGCGCATAAAACAGATGTGGCACTGGTACGGCCGCACTTTTTCTAACAGGGCTCGTCTGTGCTCCTCTATAAGTTATACGAGTTTCGATATAGCAACACTACATCTCTCACATTATTCATTGTACACCTAACGCTAACATATTAAACGGACACACATTCACACGCGCAGGGGGAGGTAGGCTATGCGCTATCGAATTAAATTTAACCAGTAGTGATAACCTATTTGCCAGCCCGATATGTTCTGCTCAGTAAGTAATCAACTAATCATCCATAAATCCTAGCGATGAGCGTAAATGTTATTAATTACATGAGTATAGCCATACAGCTGTGAGCTGGTATATGAAGCGTTAATAAGTACAGACAATGGGTGTTGGGACGCACCCGTGTGTATTTTCTTGTGTCTGTTGAGGCTGGAGCTCTGAGTGAAGCGCATCAGACAGACCTCACACTGGTAGGGCCGATCCTTCACCATCAAGGCTCGCATGTGCTCATCTAGAAGCCACATACCAACCGTACAAACCAAGCCAACTCATTGACTGAGTACACCTCCCCCTGTTTACGTTTTTTCTTGGCGCCCCCCCATTTATTATAACACAACTCAAAAACTATTCACATCGTCATGTTAAGCACATGTATTGTATGTTTGCCGTGAGCGAACTGTGAGTCGCACCAGTGTCGTAACTTCATTACTACTAATTTGTATTATTTGTTATATAGTGCATAAATTAAAAGGCCGGAAGTGTATGCAATTTTTTTTTTCTAACTAAATTCCGTCCAGACCATGTTCTATATTCAAACAGCACAGACATTAAGAATGGTACTATGATGCCATTTAATGTGGATTAAACGAATTTTACTCAATCGCAAACTAAAAAAATAGAAAGCTTTGGTTCAGACTTCAATACAAGGCGTAAAACTAAAGTCACAGCCAGTAAAAAAAAATAAAATAAGGACGATAAAACGGGGGCAAAGGCGAAAAAAAAATCAGCAAAAAAAAATTATGACATCTCGGAAACAGGAGGAGGTTGACTTGATTATAAAAATATATATAAATATAAATTTTCTTGATAAATGATCCCCTCATGGTAAATTAACATGGGAGTGTCAATCACAATGAAGTACTAATGTAACTTCCACACCTCCGTCCCAATAGTAAATTTATCCCAAGTTTGACTTGTAGCAGATAATTTAATCTGTTTTATATTAGAATAAATCAATAGAATTGTGGGAGATCTATAAAACTATGGAAATTACATTTATAGTACATGAGATCATATTACATTGAAATAACAATTAGGAAATTTATGTATACTGTATTGTTATTGATGATTTTGATAATTATTTTGTTACTCTTCTTATTGATCTCAGAATCTAATTACCACACTGGATAAATTAGACTTTATTTCTTTAAAGATATGGTTTAAATTAATATAATATCACTGTTCAGATTCTATTTAGGAAATAAAATCTGCTCAGTCTTCTATAATATATATGAAACAAAATTTTATAAATAATTATTTTGCTGTTGATTGCTGCACCACAATGTTTTTATAATATATCATATATAAATATTCCAAATATATATATATAATTATATATTATGTAGTTATGAATAAATTCATTTAACCCCTGACCCAGCAATCATCAACAACTTAAATATAACTTATATTGTAAAAACTGACCGGTATGAACGCGCTTGTGCGTGTTGAGACTGGATTTCTGTGTGAAGCGTTTTAGGCACAGATCACACTGGAAGGGACGCTCGCCGGTGTGCGTGCGCATGTGAACCTCGAGATAAGGCTTGCGACAAAACGCTGCGTCGCATACCTATTAATAATAATAATTTATTTATATCAAAATCACCATGCGTTTATCGCCTTAACCTTCACAATTACCGTCTATCATAACTGGGTTTATTAAACATAGTAAAGTTAATTAAACATTTAATATCTTAAAAGAAAACTTCCTTACACATAATATGTATACAATACCTATGACTAAGGAAACAAGCTAATACATTAAACTCAAGCTTCCTTTTATAGATAATTGTATGCAAATTAATGCAAAACACTATAATAATTGTCATAACATTGTTAGAACTCACCGTGCATTGAAAAGGTTTGTTGCCAGAATGGAGTTTCATATGAACATAATATGATGATGCAGATGACAACACTTTACCACACACCTGGAATAATACTAAGTTGAAATTTATGTTTAAATGAAAAAAATATCATATCATATAAGAAATATAGTAAACTAGCTTTCCGCCCGCGGCTTCGCCCGCGTCGAGTTCGATTATATCGGGTTTCCAAGAGAACTTTTCAAAAGTCTGGGATAAAAACTATCCTATGTTCTTACTCAAGGTCATCTCTATATCTGTACCAAATTTCATTAAAATTAGTTCAGTGGTGTAGCGTTACAGACAGTCAGACAGAGTTACTTTCGTATTTATAATATTAGTAGGGATTATTATGAATAGTAATTTTTCATATACTTACTTTACAAGCCTGTGGTTTCGATCTCGGCATCCCACCCCCATTTGAGACTTCCATTTTAGTTTGAACTGATCCCATATCGACCATGCCCTGTCAATATTAATGATCGGTCATATATATTCCATAAGTGATCAGTTAGATTAATTATGACAAAGTATTAGTACCTGAGAACATTGTCTGCCATCCATGTCCAATTCAACACCTTCATCATCCATGCCTTTGAAGCTTAACTGAAATTTACATCATTTAATGGTACTGTCAACAAAAAAACATAATTTAATAATAATTACATACATTATCAACATCATCGTCGTGCTGCAAGTCCTGTTGGTGTTGTTCCATCAGATCTTGTTGGTGTTGTACTTGTTGTTGTATCAGACTGTCCTTGGAGTCTTCTTGGGGATGGTGCTGGTTCATACTGATTATGCCATGGCCGGAATCCGAGCGCATTATTGTTGGGGGTCCAGTATTTACATGTGAATGTGTGTAAAAGCTGTAAAAATTTATCACACACATAAATATTTGTCATTTTATGAAATATTTCACTATATAATGAAAGGTGTGTATATAGTGTACTAGTTATAAGTAACAAGAATATAAGTTTACAAGCAATACAGTCCCTGAATGGTAAGTGAATGAATGGGAAGATGAATGAATGGTAAGATGAGTGAATGGGAAGGTACTCGGTAACCCTTATGGTGTGTTTCTCACCTCATAGGCTCGGCCTTGATTTGTTGTTCGAACATGGATATCGTGGCGAGTAGGTCGCCGGGGGGTGGCACGGGGACACCAACGCCCCGCGCCACACCCCCGACGCCCACGCCCCAGTGTGCTGGGAAACTAATGGCGAACTGCTTCTGGTACCCCCATCATTAACCGCCAACCGCTGGAAACAAAAGTCTATTATACATACTGTGATGTCCTTTATTTATATCTCGGAATTATAAATAAAACCACCAAATTATCAGTAAGTAGATAAACTACTCAAAAGAACATTTTCCCACCTCCGATGACAGATTGAAGTGCTAGTGAGGCGCCACAGTTGATTTGTGTACTATATTTTATTATATGTCACACATACAACTCAATACTATTTCTTATTCTAATTTAAAGAATTAATTTAATACTAGAATATATTTAATCCAAATTATATTATATCTTAGAGGCATGACTGTTAATATTTTAAAAATGTTCTCTTGATATTAATTGTTTAGTACTTCATACATAAAAAAATGCAAAACAGTGGATAGAAATCTATATTTTATTGTATCAACCCAAAACAAATTTTATCACAAATTCTTGTTTCCGTAGATTAAATAATTATAAGTATTAATTGAAATGTAATTTCTCACTCACGGAATTTATTACTTTTAAAAAATGCATATTTTTTTACAAGGTACATAATATACTGTGTATTCTTAAAAAAATATAAGAAAGAATATTTTAAAAACAGCCAAACATTAAAAGAGATAAAAGTCTTAATAAGGTCTTAAAAAAAAGTATAATAATTAAGTAACAGTATATAAAAAGTCAAAACACCAGGAAATCTTTCAAGCATTAACAAAAATGTTCAGCACAATTTTCATTACATGAAAAAATGTATATATAGTTGATTAAAAAATTTAATAAAACAATATTTAAAAAAAATATCAAAATACATATTAAGCTTTAATCTAATTTTGTTTTCATTTTAAGTTTTTAAAAATGAATGTTTGATATTTTATACTTCATTAAATTATTTATATTCATCTTGTGCCTTTAAAATAAAATTAAATTTTGTGTATAAGAAAAATTAAAAACAAATTAAGCTGTCCAATAAGGTTCTCTAATAAGATAAATATTGTTAATATTATTGCTCTTGTCATATTAGAAACTGGCATTTAATAAAATTATTGATTGTACAGCACAGGACATTAACATTGTACTAAGAATGAAATATACAATATAATGTGATATAAGATTCTTCTACATAAAGTGTTTTAATATATTCACATATACATATACATGGACGCTTATCTCTACGACGTATGTAAGCATTCAGTATCATATAACAGTTTGTTTATATGTTCATAGTTAACATAACAATATCTACATGAAAGTAAACAAATCTTTGCAAAACGAAAACCTGCCTAAAAATTCAATGGCCGAAGCTCATCGCTTGTCTCCACCCAGCTTCCCCCCCTGCCATCAATAAAATGGCCAATTCGTTATTGAATTTTGTCCCCAACTTTCAAGAAGAGGCTGCGCGATGCCGGTTACGAGAAATGTAATTAATGACCATTACAATCGTAATGTAAACAAAAACTAGTATTCCTATATGCAATAGACTATTAGTAAGGAAAGTTATGTCATATCTTAGGCCTAAATATGCAGAATGCATTTTTGCGATACCATCAATAGCTTACATTTAAGTTGTAAACACAAACAACGCTCGCATATAAATACTTACATTCGTTACAAACACTGATCTTTCATACTTTATGGAGGGAACGATCTACATATTTTTTCAATTAATATCATTCCATTTATGCTAAAATGATAAGTTTTATTACGCTTATTATCTATTCATTATAAATTACAAAACTAAGTTTCTACTCACATAAGTAAAGAAACACCTAATAATATTGGCGTGTGCAGAAACACATAAATTAAAGCACTAATTACACAATTTCGTTAAGATTGGCCATTCGAATTATGTTTTTCTTAGCCACCGACATAAAATGGCTGCTACCTCATTGTTCTGCGCGCTCGTTCGTGCGCATAGAAGCCGTGAACGCTTGGGGACGACTTGTCCGCCAATTAAAATTGTGGCGCGAAATTTGAGGCGCATTAATGGCCATTATTTATGATAATTTTAAACAATTAAATATTAATTAAATATTTTTATTAAACCATAAAAGAACACAAAACATATAAACACAATTTGTATGAATGCTAATATATAAAACAGAGGATCGAATTTATAATCTTCTTGTTGTAATGTAGCCTTATTGTTAATTTTAATCATTTTGTACTGGTGTCCAATGCCCACGATGTGTTGATTGAATTGATTTGATGAATTTGTGAAAATATCACAAGTAGGGCAATACCACCGACGGTATTTAATAGGGCGAATATGCTTATTTTTCTCTACAACATCCATCTGTAGTATGCCGGGTTTTTGAGAATTAACGGGCTTGTTATCTTGTCTCTTCAAAGTCCTTACTGAGAACAGATGTGCTTATTCTAGTATGTTTAAGTAATTACTAAATTATACCGGCGACCAAATTAGAGGGTACCTAGATAAGTCAATTATAAATAATGACGCTTAACTTGTCACTGTTTATAATATGAAACATTTTCTTATAATAGTTTACTGAAATAGTAAATCAACAAAAAATCTTATCGTTTAAAAAACCAATTATCATAAAAACCTTTTCGTGATGTATAGGATAAAATAGCAATATCAATTTTATCGTAAATTTATATATTTATTACAGAAAGTAAAGGGGCCCTTATCTTTGATAATTATTTATTTTTTCGTCGTAATCTTTTTGTATAGATAGCTTTTAAACCGACGAATAAAGTGTTAGGGATGTTGCTTAAATAAGTTATGAAAATCACCTGTTAAGTACTCGCGAAATAGTTTGGATTAGTACCACGACTATAAGATAACAATGAATAGAAACTTGTTAAACCTTATTATATATAATTTTTATCATAACTTTAATTTAAAAAAATAGTTTCAAAATGTATTTATGTCCACATTTTAGATATACTGACATAGTACATTATTTATATGGTTGTTGGTAACAGCGCCTGATATTTGTACCATATATAAATAGTGTGTTCAGTATATTGCATTTTTTAAATTAAATGCAAGAGGTCAGACGATCAAAACAATAATAAATTTAATAAGGGAATTAATTTTATATATTTATTATTCGGTTTCTATTTATTTTACAAATTCTGAATTAAAAGACTGAAATCAATGAAACAAGAATGTATTAAAAATAAAATTTCATTTTTCAAATTATACGTCTAACGAGAAAGGACAGCAAAATGAGAGCTAAATCTCTAATGCATAATATAATAAGGAAATATCACATAGAAAACTATTGTGCAGTAAATATAAAAAACATCTGTTCAATGTCTTAATTTATTGTTAGTTTCTAAAACAAATATTTTGATTCGTGTAATCTAATCGAGATTTTGCAATTCGAATCTTAAAGTTAAATGCAAAATGTTCCTTGTTCAAAAGAATAGTGGATGTAAATTATTACTAATTATTTTTAACAATTATACATAATAATGAAAGTAAACATCCATATATATTTATCATATACACATTTATTCCTTATTTCAATATTATTATTATGTTGATTTGACTTTAACAATACTAATATCACCATAATGAGTTAGAACAGAACATTTATTACAAATGAAAGGAAAATAAGTTATCATAAGAAATAGTTTATTTACAAAAAGAAGATTCCTATAAAAATATTAATAATTATATTTATATCTAAATCCTTAACTTAAATTGACTTTAGTGTAAAATAATTGTCAAGATAAAGTGATAATAATTGATTATATTTACATATAAATCAATAGCATACTACAAGTATTTCCTAAATAATGTAATGTAATTTATTTTTTTGTGAATAAATAAGCAAAAAGTTTTTTTTTTTTTGTATTTAACGTTACCATGCTTAATTAATATTTTTAAATTACGATGATGAAATATTTTTATTAAATAACATTGTATTTTGTCTATGTTACATAAATAAGATAGAATACGTACAACTGTCAGTTGGAGTTTATGGTTACCGAAATTGACATTTTAGTTCTTTCAAAAAATTGTAATCATGGCGGTAGGTGTTTTGTATTTATCGACTAGTGAAATCCAATTTAATCAGTGATTTAAATAGTTTAATTATCTATATACGCTTAATTTTATAAACTGCAGTTATTTGCAAATACGATTTCAGTTTTATTTTCACGTTTTCGTTTGTTTATTCTAACCTGATCGGCTCCGTTGAAGATTAGGCAGTTTCATGTGAATTTGTGTTAGTGCTATTTTCCAAATAAATTATCTGGTATTATGGCTTTCAGCGTGTACCACCGCCTGCACTCAAGAGGGACAAGAAAGAGAAGAAGCCCCCTAAAGATAACTCCAAAAATGTTATGCGAAACTTGCATATCAGGAAATTATGCTTGAACATCTGTGTTGGTGAATCTGGTGACAGATTGACACGTGCTGCAAAGGTTAATAACTTTTTTCTTACATTATTTCTTTGTTAAACTTAATTTTATAACAGAGAGTAGTCCCGTAAAAGATAACCTCATCAACCAACATACTCAAAGGAAACAAAATAGCTAACAATTGTTGAAGTTTATTTACTCTTAAGATTGTTATATTACCGTTAATATTATTAACTGTTGATGTTTTTGATAACTTCAAAAAAAGAAACAGTATACATGCATGATTTGTTCAAGAGTCATGTTAATCGTGATATCTTTGTAATTTCATGCTAAATCACTATTTCTAATTGCAACTTTTGGGTACTATATTCATAACTACCCAAAATACTGACAGAAATAACAGATCAATTTGAAATTGATTGAGTAGTTTATTATAAACATGTTTGTGATTTACAGGTGTTGGAACAGTTGACTGGTCAACAACCCGTCTTCTCCAAGGCCCGCTACACTGTCAGGTCTTTTGGTATCCGTCGTAATGAAAAGATTGCTGTGCACTGCACTGTGAGAGGCGCCAAAGCCGAAGAAATCCTCGAAAGAGGATTGAAAGTAAGTTCTACAGTCAATTTGTATATATTTCAGATGTTTATGCATGAATTATGTTCAAGAAACATTTCAATGGTGTATTCTTTGTAAGTTCATGCAAGAACAATATTTCCAATTGCAACTTCTGTGCACTATTATCTTACTGCTCAGATTACTCAGAGAAATTACAGCTACAATTTATATAAAAGTGATTTAGTTAGAAAACATTTATTTAGTCATGTTGGTTTATTATCTGTTTTGTTGTTTACTGATTATTGAATATGATAATGGTGTTGTATTATTTAGAAACAAAGAGTTAATAGTAATGTAGGAGATTCTTGTATTTTTATTCCCAGTTGTATGACATATGACATGTTAGGATATTATTTTTTGTTCACAATCAAGAATCATAGCAAGTAGCAAAATATATCAAAAAGTTAGGTCTTTTTTTAATATCTAATTCCTGAAACAAGAAATGGTATATAAAATCCTTGTTACTCATGTGTTTTCATCATCAAATTAACATATTTTAGATTGACAAGTATACTTTAAGTCATTTAAAACATTATTTCACTGTTTTATAAAATGCTTTAATTTTTGTTGGACTAATGATATTTTGTTTACAGTTATTTATATTCTATATTTTAATTACAGGTCAGAGAATATGAGTTGAGACGTGACAACTTCTCAGCCACTGGCAACTTTGGTTTTGGTATCCAAGAACACATTGATCTTGGTATCAAATACGATCCTTCCATTGGTATCTATGGTTTGGACTTCTATGTCGTCCTTGGAAGACCAGGTAAATAAACTTGTATATTGTTATATAGCTGTATGGTAAAATGTTATAAACAAGTATTCTGCACATGTGTTCAAGTGAGTAGATATTTATCCACTCTCTGTAAAGTATGTGCCAAATCAAACTTTACTCACAAAGGGAATCGGTTTAGTGTTGATTCTTAGTGGGGTGTAGGTACATAAAACACATCTTCTATCTGGCAATTTCCTGGATATAGCCAGTATATATATATTTAGTTGCATAACTTATGTATACTTGATATAAATCTTGTATCTATGATTTTAGATTACTTATAAAGTTGTATTTGTACACAGGATTCAATGTAGCACACAGAAGACGTAAGACTGGCAAGGTTGGTTTCCCTCACCGCTTGACAAAGGAGGATGCCATGAAATGGTTCCAGCAGAAATATGATGGTATCATCCTGAACAGCAAAAAGTAAAATAAGTAATAAAAGTTTATAAACACATACATTGTATTTTAATTTCACCCACATTAAACACCATACACAGATATAATTCTTACTTTACCTACTCATGATGACTGCATAAATTGTAATAATCTCAAACTGCCCCCAACATTTATTGTGAGGTATAAACAGTTCAAGCAGATTCAATTTGCTTGAACAGAAGGCACATTTTGAACTACAATATTAAATATTCTTCATACAGAATTGTAAAATAATCTATATTTGTTGGGAAAAAGATATTTAATTAGTCAAAGGTATAAGTAATATTGTATGAATCTAAATTGTATATTGGGTTTGGAGCTCGTTTAAGTGCTACATCATTATCAGCTGTAGAGTACCCTGGCTGTTTTGTTTGTGCTTGGCCATATTCACTGGCCACTAGGTCGAAAACTTTTTAAGGTGGCAAATGAGCAGACGGCCTACTTGGTGGGCAGTAGCTACCGTCGCCCATGGACATCCACAACATTTCTGTTGCGGATGCGTTGCCAGGCTTGGTTTTTGGCAATAGGTAAAGGTGAGAATAAGGGAACTAACTCATAGGCCTCGGCCTCGAATTTTGCGGGCAGCGGAGCGGCAGCGGGAGCGGCAAGATCTTACGCGTATAATCAAATGGACCGACCCTCGAATACAGCGGTGCCCGCTGCCCGCTAGTTTGGAGAACAGTATGCGTTTCCGTGCCGCCGCCGCTGCCGCTCCGCTGCCCGCAAAATTCGAGGCCGAGGCCATAGGACGAAACGCAACTATAAAAGGGTAGTACTTCTCCGGTCGAGTCAGCCCATGTTCGACGTAGCTATATGACTACATCTAGGCTTCACCACCTTCATATAACAATACTTTGTCTATTGAAAACGTGTTATATCAGACTGGTATTAAATATTAATGAAGAATCGTATACTCAGCTGCTGCTGGGGCGATAAAATTTATAGAAAATGATTTTTGGGTAGCTTTGATTGATAGAAAAACGAATGATCATAGATAGTGGAAAAAAAATATTTAAAAATATATATTTTCTAATTCTAATATCAACATTTTTCATTAAAGCACTCGAAGAGAGCGTGGCTTGCGGAAACCAGAGTGCTCGTTTTCGGGCGTATTTTTAGCTCCCTGTAAAAAATATTCATATTGGTCCTACAATTTTGAGAGTTAATTTTTTTTTGTCTACTAATTTGTGAATAACTCTTGCAATTTTTTCGAGCAGGTCTTTAATTGTTTCAAAAACTTTCTACATGAGATTTCGCATCGAATGAGCCCTCAACTATATTTTTCCGAGACTTAAAATTTTTGACTAAAAAAGCACTTTTTGACTAGACTATTACCAATAATAAGTAATTAACTATTCAAGTCTAGCATAATTGTATCCAAAGGTCAATTACGTTATTGTCCATATGAAAATATTACAAAAAATGGAATTCATATAATTATTAAAAAAGTTTATTGACATTATAATTCTCGTTTTCTTGACAATGATACAATTAAAACTGGCGCAAGTAAAGTTTTCAAATGACAAAAAATTCATTCAAACCTGTTGATCCTCTCGAAAACTACTATATCACAGACAGAAGTCGCGTCGCCTTCAAATACATATATAAAAGCTGAGTTTGAGGGCTTAAAAACAGCAATATACCACAAAATTTTCAAGTTTAAACTCGATCATTGGTAAATAGTAAGAACGAAATATTACTATTTTTTAATAGAGTTCATAAATTAGAACTATTTTAACGGAACACGTTAATAAAAAACCAAACTTTTTTTATTCGTATAATGTTAGCTGTAATTTAACAGTCTACAACAATTTCTTCTTTGACGACGTTAGCGTCTCCCGCCGGTGTCAAGGTGTTATCAATAAGAGGGGCTGGACTCTTATAATATCTGTTACTCGCGTGGTGCTCTTTCAAGTATTCGCCACCCATTTCATAATATTCTTCCTTTGATATACACCAGTTTTCGAAATCGTTGCTACCAGCGAAGTCCCTTGCGCCATACCAGGCGTCGAGATTTGGATTTTTAGCCATCACCACTTTGTGACTTGATTGGAACGGTCGCATTTCTAAGAGTTCTCTTTCCAGTCTTTCTTTTAAGCCTGTAAAATAAAAATAATTGTATTAAGCTTAATTATTATTGATGACTAGATTAACACTTTCGCAGACACAACGTGATAGTACGTCATGACTTGAGACTAAGATACGGCACAACGTATGATGACGTTCAAAACAGAATATTATATACGGCAGAATGTTGATATCCAATCAACTTTAATACAAAAATCCGTTATTTGGTACTTTGTGTCACAAAATATCAAAAGATCAAAACTTTACTGTCACGTGAAATTTGTTTCTAACCGCTTCCGAAATGTGCGTTTGACTAAACGTCGCCATACTACACACCGAGGCACACCGTGTATGTACGTCCTCAGCGCCTTACCACGTCTATACATTCAAACGTGATAACACGGTTGTGTCATATTGTCTTATAAACATCTAATAACATAGAACACAACGTCATTAAACGCCAAATATATTTGTATGGCAATTTATTGTGTCATTCTAGAACACAATTTAAACTGAGACTGTCCGTGAACGTGTTAAAGAAATAAATATATATAATAACCTGGGAATTGTGAACATCCCCCAGTGAGGAACACGTTGTTAGCTAATAGAAGCTGATCTTCTTCACTGAAATGTTTGAATACATATTCCATTGTTTCAGCCAATCCAGCCTCTAAGTTTCCCATCATTGACGGTTGGAACATCAACTCTGGCGCTCTGAAAAAAAAATAGGTCATTTATAGAAAACGAAACTATAGATGTCACTAGTACCTATACTATCTAGTTAAAATGCGTAAATGAGCAATTAATTTTGAAAAAAGAATCATAATTGAAAACGATGTCTTTTTTGTGACATGCAATCTGCATTCTATATTTAAATTCCTCAATTATTGAATCAAACCAAAAGGGTTTTACAATTTTTTTTTCTAATTATATAATAATCTACGTGTTTGTTACCTGATGGGTTCTATAGCAAGATGTAGTTGGTGATGGTATTGTGAAGGTTGCGCTGGTTCGTATTCCCTCAGCGCTTCCTCCAATTCCACCAATCTTTCACCGTCCGCCTCTGAATCGGAGTCAGCTTCGCGGCTTATACTGCATCACACAAATTCAAATATAGAACCCAAGATATTAATCAATCTACGAAAAAAAAATTTCTTTATACAAATTGTTAAATTACTACATACTTTTTAAAATCTCCATAAGGTCAGTTCTTAGTTTATTAAGTTATTATATTCTATGGAATTAATATTCAATACATTTTTGATATAGCCTAAACGAAACAAGACTAGGTTTTCCAGGTTGACGTTCACAGTCTAGAACATATTTTATTACTCAACATTTTACTCGACGTTTCTATTTGAAGTAACCGACAGAATCCGTAAAACATCTTAATTTAATAGTATCAGTAATTAGGGGTCTTCCATAAATTACGTCACACGAATTTTAGAACCTTTGAATTCCTCCCTTTTCTTGTCACAGGTTATTACATTTTAATTTGTGACGACACAAAACCATTCCCTTTTACACTTCAGTAATGCCCTCCTTCCCCGATTAACGTTTAACGTACATTATGCATGGCATGGCAACTTATGTAAACTATATTAGTACCTTTTATATACGTCCCAATCTGAATCCCTATATCCGAAGTCGTCACCCGCGGCCGCTAGTCTAGAGATAGCTCTCATACGTTCAGCGGCGGCGGCTGTTCGTCTTTTCGCCATGGCCGCTCGACGCGCCCTGCGAGCCTCACGACGGGCTGACACCTCACGATACTGTAAAATATATGTGTTAATTCACTTGAAGTTTCTAAAATTACGTATAAACTCACAGATTAAAATACATCTATCCTAACTTTATAACTCAAACCATTTTCTAACGCTTACAATCTGTTAAAGCCTTATACACTTATAACTTTGTATACTATAAATTTAAATATGTATTTAAACAAAAAATAATATAAAAATGTTGGAAGACTCAGTGTAACCTACACTGTGGTTACATAAACATACACCACAATATAATTTGAAAAGAATTTATGATAATATAATTGGAGGTAAAACTTCAAATCCTATATCTATATTTAGTCATAGTACTACAATATGTATGTATATATATGATACATAGTATAAATTTTGTATTTAAATTATTCTTGTATGATCTATAATTATATATAAGATAGAATATCATACTTTAGCTCTAGTTTCTTCTAGCCACACTTGGAATGCTTCAGGTTCATTGGGTGGTTGGTACCGGCCAGTCGGTCGTGTCTCTACCACTTCCTCAGCATTCGCCGCTGCAGCTATACGTTGTTTGTTCTTCTCAATTCTCACATTCAAATTTGCTATTTGTCTCTGAAAAGATGATAAAATCACGTTCATTTCACATTTTGGAGAGATTGCGTTTAATTTTGAGTATTGATTTAATAATACATGTTTGAAGTCTTTCTAGAGAATATATTTATAGTTTCTCTGTAATGTTGAATATAAGAAAAAAAATTTATAGGAAAAAAAAATTCATATATAAAAATTGTCTAAATTTAAACATACCTGCAGATCACCATAATTCTTTATATCAAAAGCTTTGATAGCTTCATTAAACTCATCAGTTTCACCATCTTCAATTGATTCCTGAAAATGATAACAAAAAAATCTAAATTATTATTTAACATAGCCCATAGGTTGGATATAAAATTGCATGTCTTGAAATAGTAGCTATTTAAATTAATTATTCTGTTAAAAGGGTGATGAAAAATTTAAAAAAAAAATACATTATATCCATACATATAAAATCAAAGCAGTGACAAAGTTTTTTTTTTTCATTTATTAGTAATTATATTTAAAACTATTATTTAAATATTTATCTTCCTATCTTATAAAGTTTAAAAAATAAAAAATATTAAAATCAGTTTCATTAAAGGCTTAACTGGTTTCCAAAATCTGTAGGACACTTGTACCTTATGTTTAGTTGGTTACTCACAAAGTTATGCAAAGAGAATAGAATTTATTCATATAAATCACCTGCAGAGCCAAGAGCTGGTTCAACTGTTCTTCATCTTCTAAAAGACGTTCTTCCCTTTTTCTAGCATTTATTTCAAGCAAGCGACGCGCCATTTCCTTTTTTCTTTCTTTTTGTTGCTCAGCTACAAAATTATTTTAGAATATCTTTTATTATTTGTTTAGAATATCTTTTACTATTGCAATACATTAAATAAAAAATAATATATATAACAGTCAGTGGTGGCCTAGTGGTTAGAAAGCCCGCCTCTCATGCACGAGGGCGCGGGTTCGATCCGGGCCCTGGCAAGTACTTATGTGATTTTCCAAGTCATATGTACTTTCTAAGAGTATTTAGACATCACTGATTAATGCATTCCCAAAGAGGGTTGATGTCAGGCAGGTGGTCAGTCATAAAAACAATTAGCCAAAAATATTAACAACATGTAAGGCAGACCCTTGCTATAGCTGGGAAATAGACAGGTAGAAGATAGAAGAAAAAAATATATATATATAACCTGTTAAGGTCGATGAACTTGATGACTGTACAAATGGCAGTTGGACTCTTTTAACATTAGCTTCATAGTAATCTGGATTTGCCCATTTCCTTATTTCCTCCTGATAATCCAAAGCTATTGAACAGTGTTCATGAAGAATCTCTTCGATCCTTGACATTGTTATGGCATTTACATGAACGGGGTACTTAAGTTGCAGGAGTTTGTGCATATATGATATAATTTCACTTCCACCTATAAAGATACGTTAACTTTATTAAATTTTGTTGTCGTGCCCTTAGTTGAAGCATCAAATCTTTGCAAATATATATATCAATAAAAATATTCATCTATATTTCAGGTTTGTACTTATTACTTTAGTCACAATTTAAGAAACACACAGAAAAAAATTAAATGTCAACTACTTTCTATAAAAATGAGTGTTTTCACCAGAAATAATAATTTTTGGTATTACATAAAACAAACACAATTTGCACAATTTTATATCACACCTAAGTTAATTCTTCTGGCACGCTCAGCAATCACTTTTCCTTTTAACACAGGTATAAAATGAATAGTATGATAGCCACAGTTAACAATCAATGCTGTGTCTCCAATACCATTTCTGTAGAAACTAAACAGAGAATCCACTCCATAACTCACTGCTGGTACACCATAAGCCTCAAAAAGCAATTCTGACATCACTGAAAACAAATTAATACATGTAAATTAAAAGAATTAATAAATATGTGTTTGAAAGCAAACTGTTACAAAATTTTCATGTATCATAGTTATATTGTACAAATTAAGAATATATACCAAGTAAAAATATTTATAAGAAAGTCAGTGGTGGCCTTAGTGGTTAAAAAGGCCCGCCTCTCATGCAGGAGGGTGGGGGTTCGATCCTGACCCGGGCAAGTACCAATGTGAATTTTCCGAGACATATGTACTTTCTAAAAGTATTTTAGACATCACTGATTCCCAAAAGGGGGTGATGTCAGGCAGGCGGCCAGTCATAAAAACAATTAGCCAAAACTATTCACAACATGTAAGGCAGAACCTGGCTATAGCTGGGAAATTGCCAGGTAGAAGAAGAATAATAATGGTATAATGGCTTACACTGTCGGCTGTAATTAGGAGTTACAAATGCTTCTGTCATAACTATGGGATGTGGAACATGGCCCTCACTGTCAATACCGAGGTGCGAAAATATATAATCACAGACTTGCTCTTGAACTTCGAAGTGGGTGACTATATTCTTATCAAACTGTGTTTTCAACTGAAACCTACAATAATATGGAATTAAAGAAAAACTGTATATAATATTTTGAACATTATAGATGTAACAGTTTACCTTACAGCTTCTATATTGATGATGTCATTTCCAATTTGTATAGGTGGTGTCACCGGAGGATCAGCGTCCTTTTTGCAGCGGTCTTTACGAGGTCTGGCTATCAGGTTTTTAAATATTAAATACGGCTCCTCGTATATTGACCAACCCACCCTACACTGATATGAACCTAGTGAATAAGGATATAAGTAAGTATTACGTGTAATTATGTAAACATTAATTTATATTTTAGTTAATAATTCTAACCATTGTCAATAACTAATGGTATATGACCGAATTTTAGCGATGGAGCATATTCATGAACTATATCAGGAATAGTTTTATAATCCTTAAGTACGAGAACGTCGTCCATGTTATTATAGAAATAACAATTATATTTTTATGTGGATATATTAGTACACTTAAAGGCTATGTTTCAACCGCAAAAGTGATTGTTTGTTTCATGTTTTTGTAGTCATTGTCAAATGTCAATTGATTTTGACAATAACACTAAACAGTTGAGAAATTGAAATAAAATCAAATATTAAGTCACCGTCCTTTTTTTTTAAATAATTAACAAGACTTTTAAAATACACATGTTACAGTTTTCTGAATAAACATTAACGGATCCTATACTTTTCATAATAAAATTTCATCATCTCGACATAATATGTTTGTACTAATTGACTGGATGTTCTCCATTGTACTGCTAAATAAATAATGGAAACCCATGGTTTTACTAAGCTTCATATTGCTCCAATTTTGGGAATGTCAACAAGACGAAATAATTAGTCTCATTAAAATCGATTAACTTAAATGCGTTCTCAAATGATTGAATCAAACGGTTTTTAAGAAGCACAAACCATAACATGCATGGGTTATTACACAACACGAGGTTTAATAGTAACATATTTGAATAAGTCCAGTCAAAATAGACAAAAATAAGTCATAACCCAGGAAAAATTCGCATGGAGCTGGAAATTGGTAGAGGCGTTAAATACGTCATTAAAAATAAAATGTCAAGAATACCCATCAATTTTCCATTTTTATCGAAAAAATAGGTCTGACAAAAGTTGTAAATCATACAATTTCCTACAAAAATGGTCCAGTAACTTTTTTACTTTAAGGACTCACCATTCATGAGATGTCGCGGTTTTAATAATTCGAAAGATCATACTTTAAGCAATACGTACACATTTCTAGTTATAATAATTCTATCTCATCATTTTTTTCATCAGCACACAGACTGGGGAAATTTGAACAGCATTCATCTTAGCGCGGTATTATGTCACAGTCTATGTTCTTGTTGGTATGATAATATTGTAAACTATGGTCTGTGACGTCAAATTCGCTTGAGCCAATAATGTTTCGTTTCTACCACATACTTTGAACTTCGCTAGAATAATAAATTTAAAAAAATATCTTTTACCCTTTTGAGAATGACACATATTTTTCGACTATATATATCAGTAGTCCCCAAACTTATTTTTCTCGTGGACCACTTTCAAAATTTTACTGGTTTCGGTGGACCCCCCGCTGCTACATTTCTACCACATTCTTAAAGTCGCCAAAAAATAAAAATTGTGTCACTTCTGAGTTCTGTCTCTATATTCCGATAGGTAAAATAAAATTTTAGAAATTTTGGAAACAAATGAATGAGTGTTTGCTTTTGGCATCAAGTATTTATAGTGGTGATCAAGTTCATGTCTGAACAAGCATTAAGCATTGTCGAGCGGATAGCGCTTTGCAAGTCTGTACACGAAATTGTACGTAATATCGAATACGCAAGTTTGGACAAGTAACAGTCGCTTGCCTTATTAAAATATTATCTGCTTAGTTAGGTACTTAAAACAATGTAGGTAGGCCCTTATAAAAACTATGTTTACATTTTTGCTCTTTACTATCAAAAGCAGATAAATTTTCGTGGACCCCCATTTTTTGTTCACGCCTACGTAGACCCCCAGCAAGTCTCCCGTGGACCCCTGGGGGTCCACCTGGACCACTTTGGGAATCACTGATATATATTCTTAAACCCTGGCATTAAACTATATGAGAATAAAACAATTTTGGTTTAGTAAATTATATAGCGCAGGTACTGGAATAATATGTAGTATACTGTATACAGTATATAATTCGTTAGTAAAGGAAATATCTAGTCATCAGTATATTATTTTCATTTGTATCATTTAATTAAAGGAAACAAAGAAAACAAGTGGCTTTTGAATTAATACTCATAGTTTATTTACTGATGAAATCATTTACATGAACAAATATACTATAGTTTCTACACATTAAAATATAATATAGAATTTTATAATGATTACATCCATTTCATTTTCATAACAACAATATATGTTATAGGAATGTTCAAACAAAAATAATAAGAAGCAATAATATTGATAACCAATGCCAGCATTTGTAAATTGTATTATGAACATAAATAATTAAAAATAAATAAGTAGGTAGTGATATTAAAATAATACATTTTCACATAACAATGTGTAAATCTGAGTTAATATTGCTGTAATGTTTATTATGTAACAGAAAATAGTGTAAAGTAATGTAACTATTAACTTTGTAACTCTTATAGGACGTATGGCATAAATATTGCTAAGTGCAATAAAGGTTTAAAGACAACAATAACAATTTTTTTAAGAACATTTGTAACATTTTAAGCTTTAGCACCGACGGCTGTACCACCAGACTGTTTGTCAATTTGTTCCTTCTCCAGTTGCTTGCCAAGATACTCCCTGCAAAGTATAATAGTGTGTTACTTGTTTTCATAAATATTACAATAAGTGTTGTAATTACTTATATTATATGTTTAAGAATTTTAATATTTTTGTGTAATATTATCAATAAAGAGAGGTTTATTTGGCATTCTTCAAAAGATAGATTACACAAAAGTGATAGATTATCTATGATTACAAAGTGGTTATATTCTGCCTCTTAAAAAGTGTAACACGGTTTTACCAGTTATGTGACCAACAATAACTCTTTAGAATACAATAAAATAAAAAAATATGAGTTTATAAATATATTAGAATTATAATGCAAGTTACACAAAACTCGAAATGGGAACTTTAACTATAGACTTCATATTGTCATATGTATATGTAAATAAAGAGTAATAATATCTCACCAGTTGTGAACCATGAGTTTCTGTACAGCAAGTAGTGCTTCATACCGAACATTGGGGTCTTCATGGCTCAGTAAATACATAACACGTTGTTTGCCACCCAGTTGCTCAATAATACTATAAACAAACACAAATTCATTAAAATTAACCACTTTTTAATATTCTTTCTGTTATTTAAATTTTATTCTTGACTTATTTTTTAGGTCTCAGAATAATTTTATGATGTTTGATTGTTTTAGATAACTGATACCCACTAAGAAATAAAGAATTTTAACAATATCAAAGTCATGAAAAAAACTAAGTTGTTATACACAGATGTCAGCACTTAATATTACATATATTATGTACTTATATCAGTGTACAAATACAAAAATATAATATGATATACATGTACATTGCTGTAAAGTAAATTAGATCAAAAACTAAATAACTAAAAAAAACATATAATATATATTTTACATAGAACATGACAATGATTGTCTTAATCTCAATACTGCTTATGGGTAAACGTACAGTGAATATCCTACTAATATTATAATTGCGAAAGTTTCTGAGTGTGTGTATGTTTGTTACTTCTTCACGTTTAAACGGCTGAACCGATTTTAATAAAATTTTGTATACAGGAAGCTGACGTTCAGGAATAACTAATAGGCTACTTTACATCCCGGAAATCCGCGTGTAACACCGCGGGGCACAGCTAGTAAAGTAAATAAACAGGCGTGTAAAATCTGAAAGTCGATGTTTTATTCATATATAGCGAAAGTTCATACAGTTATATAAAAATTGCAATACATACTGCTTGCCGCGCGGGTAGTGACGCACGTACTCGCCAACGTCATAGCAGGCTACAGCGAGTACTACGGGGTCGCGGCTCTTCTCCAACAAATGAACCAACGTTCTTAGAAGCTCTTGGCCACGTTCGTTCAAACGGGCGGCGTTCTCACGCCAGAACTTAGCTGATTTGTGCACAGGTGACCATTCCAAGCTGTATAAATAACAAAAAAAATAATAGAAAAAGTATTTTTCATAATGGCAATATTTTTTTGTAATGTCAGTGTATTACCATACGCAAAAATTCGCTATTATTAAAGAGTATGTACTTGAGAATTACAATATATTTTTCGAAATATGTAATTATTCCATCTAAGAAAAAATTATTGGATTATTAAAAATGTATTGAATTTTAGCACAGTCTAGACATATTTTGTTTTGTTTCTCTAGTCTAGACATTTCGGTATATTACAAACTATATGAAATAAAGAAATGAATAAACAAATTCATTTTATTTATTAAATTTCCTTATACATATAATTAATTTTAAAAATGTTGTAATATCATAAAGATTTCTTATTTTATTTTTTTAATTGTTAACAACTTTAAGTACAGTACCACTCTCTGTGTGATTGTAATTTACTATTGTTATAAGAGTAGTAAAAATTTACTGAATCTTGTCTGCTGGAAATGAATTGATGTCCACGATACAGGCCTAGCCTAGTGTGGACGTCAACGTTTACTACATGTTGCATTGTTGAGTGTTTATACAAATGAATAAATGAAAAATTGTATAAAAATTATTTTAAATTTTAACTAAGATAAACTCACCGTCCACTCTTCACTTCGGTAGCATACTGATCGAAGGAGCTAAGGTCTTGTACGGAGGCCTGCAGACGTTCGTTCAGGAAGTCTACATCATTCATAATATCTTCATCGTCAGAACGCTTCTGTTCCAAGATGGAAAGCTGCTTCAGGACCTTGCACTGAACCATAGCTATGCAATGCTCCTTTGCCACCTGCGCAATAAATAGTATTGTTATCCTACTAATATTATAATTGCAAAAGTTTGTGAGTGTGTGTGTATGTTTGTTACTTCTTCATGCTCAAACGGATGAACCGATTTTGATAAAATTTTGTATACAGGAAGCTGACGTCCAGGAATAGCACATGGGCTACTTTACATCCCGGAAATCCGTGGGTAACACCGCGAGGCGCAGCTAGTTAAATATAAATAAAATAATGAACAGTAATTTTAATACAGTGAATTTGTGTTATCAAACCTGCTGGTCTTCGGGTTTCTCAATGAGGTTGCGGAACACGGCTAGCACGATGCGAGTGACCTTCTCCTTGACAGAGTCACTGAGTATGTCAGCCAGGATGGGGATAGCATTGAACTTGTTCATCTTTTCAGCCAGCAGAGGATTGAAAGTTAGCACCCACAAGCAGAACACCAACTGGTATTGGACCTAGAAGAATTCGTAGAATATCAATAACTGTTTTTTCTATTTCCATTATTATAATAAAAGCAAATTTTTAAATCAAATGTGGTCATTGACAACAATTTTAATTTTAGTTCTAAATTTTACATCTATGATAACAAGGAAGTCATAGTCAGAAGCCCTGGTTAAAATTCTTAGCCTGTCAAGAAGGATGAATTGAGAAAAAAAAACAACATGATATGTTATCATAATTGTAAAAAATTATTATAAGAGTATTGTAGAGTATTTTAGGAGTATGTAATGTATAATGATAAAGTTATTATAAGACTCATGTATTGTAGAGTATTGTAAGAGTATGTATTGTATAATGATGAAATTATTTTAAGTTCTTTTGTCTCATTACCTGGAAGTTGACTCTCGAAGCGAGGATAGAAAGTAGAGTCGAGATGCCGTCAACGGATAAGAAAGCGAAGCGGTACTCGTCAACACGAAGCATCATTTGAAGACAGCGCGCTACCGACTGGATGTAATCGTTGTTCTACACAGAAAATATTATTTATTATACATAACAGTAATTAGTTGATTTTTAGTTGTATAAAATGTTTGGAGATTTGTTTAAATGTGGTATTAAGTTGATTTGATAAATTTGCATGTTATGGTTACTCTGTCGTCATCAATGACGAAAATGACAGTTTTGTATGTTACAATTTACATTCAAATCTATTACTGTGTTTATACACTCGATAATCATTGATTTATAACAATTGTAATAAGTTACACTCGCTAGAGCTCCAAATAGTAGTAATACCCCAGTCAATAAAATAATAAATTAAAATTGGTGGGAATGCTACTCTCAAGAATTGTAAAAAATAGTCCGTTAATTCATATATGAAGACAATCAAAACTTGTATTTTTTATTTACTATAAAATTTTACATAAACGTGTAATAACAATTTAAGTGTTATTTTTTACAAACATATTGGTTGGTACATTTCGGTAAATTTACTGAAAAAAAAGAAGCATTTGCAATTTATTAACAAATATAATGTCGCATCTGAAAGCGGCGTCTTGTTTGTATTCATTTTCGACGAAATAAGCTTTTTAGTAAAACCTCGACCTGCTTAAGCTACTAAAACATACATGGTAATATGTTAAAAATTTAATTAGTACAAGCATGCCATTATAAACAATATTAGTTACATACTTAAATCCTAAATAAAAACAATTATTCATATCCACTTGTGTTATTTAAACACATTCATCACAGAGCTCTGTTGAAATACCTTTACAAGACCATCGGGGAGGTCCTCGTGAGATTTTAAGACATCAAAAGAGGTGTACAGGCTCTTATACTTCTCGGAGTCCTTAACATCATCCTTATCCTTGTGAGTTTTTGTTGGTTTATCAGAGAAATTTTGTTTCTCATGCTCCAACATAACCTGCTCGGCATGTTCTAACTCTGCAGACACTTTCTCCGCCTTACCAGAAAACAAACCTCTCAATGTTACAGCCCTCCTCTTGGCCATCGTTTCAGTTTTCATCGTTACACACACAATGACACACAGCTGATGATATTCCATAACCATGAACTGCTAAGCTTTGTTAGTTTACATAACTATTCATTATATATAAATTTCATAAACATAATACATATATATAGGCAATATGGTGTTAATATACATTTTCACTTTTATATAATTGACAAATAAAAGCATTTGTTTCATTATTTATAACAATTTTTTATGATTATATTGATAATTTTTTACTACAACAAAATGTCGTATTATGTAATTAATTACAACAAAGTAAAGTTTCATATAATGTCCATCAATTTAATAGATCAAAGCTATTATGAACTGTTACACAGCAATCTTACAAAGCTTGATACAAGTAAAAGTGTATTGCAATTGTTTGAGATTTTGGATGTATTTTATTATACAATTTTACATTAAAATGTTATTATACAGGGTGACTGGTGAATTACTATCGATATTTGAGGACGTGATATTTGACGATCATATATGACAGAATAAAAATTAATCTTCTATATACAGGGTGACTGGTGAATTACTATCGATATTTGAGGACGTGATTTGTGACGATCATATATGACAAAATAAAAATTAATATAACATAAATATTAATAAACTTCTAAGTAAAGTTAACCAAAAGTTATGTAATTAATTACGCATCGTATGATCACCCTACAGATTAGGTATACACTGACACTCACACATACGCGTGTCGTGACGTAGTGTTGTATCAGCACGTCGCCGCACGCGTCCACACTTGAACATTTGGAACGTGTCAACACTTTATTTATTTATACGGAAATTTTGTCAAAAATTAAGTACCTATTTTTTTTACATAATTCGAATGAGAATCATGTACCGAGTATCCTCCTTAAATATTGATAGTAATTCACCAGTCACCCTGTATATAAAAATGGATTGCTGTTCCTTAGTCTCACTAAAACTCGAGAACGGCTGAACCGATTTGGCTAATTTTAGTCTTGAAATACTCCTGGAAGTCCAGGGAAGGTGTAAAAGGTGAGAAAAATTGGAATAATTGCCGGGAAAACCCTAAAAACAGCCCTTTTCTATTTCCCATACAAACGTTTTTTTTGACATTAGATTTGACAACTAACTAATATGTCAATTCTGTTTGATTGAAACAAAAAAACCTGGTTATTTATGGCCTCTAAGACGGAATAGAGTTCGACTGGTCAGCTATACCTACATATATTACTCTTGACCAAACTAACGCGGACGAAGTCGCGGGCAAAAACTAGTATAACATAAATATTAATAAACTTCTAAGTAAAGTTAACCAAAAGTTATGTAATTAATTATGCATCGTGTGAACACCCTACAGATTAGGTATACACTGACACTCACACATACGCATGTCGTGACGTGGTGTTGTATCAACACGTCGCCGCACGCGTCCACACTTGAACACTTGGAACGTGTCAACACTTTACTTATTTATAGGAAAATTTTGTCAAAAATTAAGTGCCTATTTTTTTTACATAATTCGAATGAGAATCATGTACCGAGTATGCTCCTTAAATATTGATAGTAATTCACCAGTCACCCTGTATATTGTTAGTTCAAAATATTTATCTTATAATTGTTACTTACAACTACTCATTGATTTAAGTTTGGTTATGGTTATAGGCACTAGATTACATTATAGATACTAGATCAAATTATAATACATATTAACATTTTAATATTAAAAAATTTACAATTTTGTAGTATTCAAAGCAGAATTATAATACAAGTGTCAGACTAAAAATAAACATATTTGTATAATCTAGTACCTATTATCTATGAAATATACATTCTTCAATTTTCTTGATTACATAAAAATACACAAAGCAATGTCTAATACATTTTACTTATAAAATTGAATAAATAAAATAAAAATAAAAAAGATCAAGTTGAGCAGGTAAAAAATAAAAATAGATATGTTTACAATAAATATGTTCTTTTATAAAGTATGACTTTTATACCTGTTTACACAAGATTAGATTTTTATATACAGTAAAAGCTCCTTATTCGCGCTTCCTTTATTCGCGTTTTCACTATTCGCGGATTAAAAAAATGCTACCAATTCCTATATTCGCGACTAAAAATTTCTTTATTCGCGGATCTAATAAGTACATACATAATAATAAAATTACATATTCCAAATAGGTATCCAACACAATATCCTTGTCAAATGGACTAATTAAAAAGTAATATAGATCTTATTACAACTTTACCTAATTACTTTGCGATTTCTTTATGAACATTGATCCGTTTATGGAACGAAGTCTTATTTTTAAGAGGCAAATTGCTAATGCGACTGCTGTGTATCAGTCTAAATTGAAGGAGCTTTTAAAAACTGCCAAGAAAGAAAAAATTACAAAATTCTTCAAACCATTGCCTAAGCCTTAAGATAATTAATTATAATGATCAAATACTTCAATTAAATATTTTTTTATATAAATTTGTTGTTTTTTTTTGTCACCTAGGAACGTATCCCCTATAATCCCATATAAATAACCATTCCGTATTCACGGTTTCTGTATTCGCGGTATATTTACGGAACGTATACCCCGCGAATAAGGAGCTTTTACTGTATTACATTAAAAATATGCAATACTCAATCCAAAGTTCTAAAAGGACTACATGTATACAAAATACTACATATTATATAATTATGAGTTCCAATTAGAAATGCAAGCTCATTCAAAGATGCACAACCCTAAAATCATGCCATGCATTCTTAATCATGTACAAAATAATTACTTACATTCATTTTAAGCTCATCCTTGAGCCAGGAAAGGTAGTGGTGTAGGTCGCTCTTTTCCATCAACTGTGGATGCCAGCAGGCGAGCTTGGCAATGATGCGTGAAGACATATGCTGGACAAACTCGTCCTGACGATTCAGCAGGCTGAGGAAAGGCTGCCAGACGTTACCATGACGAGCATTACGGAAGATCTTCACTCTCGACTTATCCTCCTAAAAAATCGGTAAAATTACTATATAATTTGGGAAATAACAGAAAATGCGAAAATACAATAGTTTGTTTGTACCAAAAAGGCAATATAAAAATTTATTAAATTTAATATCATAATTATATAAACAAACAGTGTTTAGACAAGTATAAATAAAATAATAAAATATTCTTAATATATTAATTATTGATACATAAATGAATTTAGATAGAGGAAGGTATGTACTCTTTTATCATTTATTCTCATAATTGTATAACAGTTTTTGATATTGAACTTGGATATTACAGATATAGATATACTCACAGATAGAATATCATCAATCAGAACAAGCACATACTGAATGGTGTTATCTTTGCTGATGTGTGCTACCAAGTTTAGAAATACATCAGCGCATCCTTCTGGGTTTCTGTCTGGCAGATCCTTTTGACCCCTCTGGTCCAGGTTCACAATGAAATCATGATCACGTTGAGTAATCATCTGCGACCTGAACGACAATATATCATGCTGTGACTTGGAATATACATATTAAGAAAGATTAAATCAATACTCACTGCAGATATGACTGCCAATTAATTTGGCTTTGCCGGATTTCACTGGCCCTTATTTGGAGCACGCTGGTAGCAGCGATCATGTCTGTAGAATCATTTTTAAGGGGTTACTCAGAAAACTTTTAAACACGAGAGAGTGCAAAATATTTTCATTATGTATATCATTCGTAGTCACTTACCGATCTTTTCATCGCCTATTAGTTTGCTTACATTTTCTTCAATGTTAGCCATTTTGGCTATATTAATAAAAGAAAAAACCTCCACTCACAATGAAATATATTATAAGGAGAATTATTCTTCAGAAAACAGAAGATTGGGCGACAGTGAACTCAGCTGAGAGGTCTTGTGACTACTCGACGTGAAGTTTTCTTTAATGAAATGTAAAATAATGCTTACCTTCTCTAACGTAGACTTTTTTGGCTGTAATAAAAAGAGATAGCTATAGGAATTCAACGATTGTCAGTACTGATTTTTTAGCAAGTTGGGTAAAATAAGAAAATCATAAACTGTCAAATGTGTACATGATATTAAAAAGACAAAAACATTGTTATAATTATATAGATCACAGAATTATTTATGTGTATAGCAGTATTTAGATAGAATTTTAATGAAATATAATCAATAAATAAAATAAATCAAAAGACGTATATACGTTTTACTATTTCTAAACTGGTAATTCGTAATAGGATGTCAAGGCAAATGACAAATAAGAATAAAAAAATATTTTAAAAATTGATTAGTCGAACGATTTGACTTGGATACAATTACTACTACTACCTAAAATAACAAAACATTCCATTTTATGTTAAGACATTTTCTTATATAGGTAAAATACATTGAAGTTATTGTACTTTATTATGTGCCAGGATTTTTTTTGACATCGAGCATATAATCAATATTTAGCGATACGATTTCATTAGAAGCTATAATTTTGAAACTGGTGTGTTTATTACAAGTTGATAAATTAAATATTAAATACAAGATCGATGTTCGTATTGATACAAACGTCAAACAGTGTCGTGGAATGTTTGTATATTTATTTCGTACTTACGGTTATATCTTTCAGTTTCGCCATCTCGCCTCACTTTTATATCCATTTTTATTAAACAATATAATATGAAACAGTGAAAAAAATACTAAAATTTAGAAAGTATATGCATGATAGTTTATTTTGCTGAGAACTTGACTTTTTCTGTTACAGATTAATAATTTAAGCTTGGACTTGTGACACATTCTGCTAAAAATAATTTTTGGGTAGTGGCCAGTTCTTTTGTCATGACTAGTATGCAATCAAAAGATTGCTGTCAAATGAATGAGAAAAGTAGCACATCTATGGATGAAGAAAGGACACTTCGTTTTCCATTGGTTAATTCTATGTGTATTCTTTTTACTGGTTATTTTAATGGTGTAGGTGTTGAGATTAGGTCGACTGATGCAATGACACTCTTGCATCATATAGGTTGCTATGGTAAAGGAACAACTTCCAAATCTAGACCTAAAGCAAAGAAGGAGGGAAGTCCAATTATTATGAGAAAGAGACAATTTTTAAAAAGAAGCTATTGGTACAAGAGGTTTGGAACTGAAGAGAAAAATGAGGAAACAGATAATTTTTTTAAAGATATTGATGATTTGATGACAAAAATTAAACGGGACACTAAAAAGGGTGTTATTGACTTGGTTTCCAGTGATGATGATGGTGGTGATAGCGTGTCACAATATTTAAGCAATCATTCACCATCCCATACTCCTCATGAACAAGACATTGTAGTTGTTGTGGCCAATAGTGATTCGGAGGATGATAATTATTTTGCAAATTTAAAACCTCAATGTTGCCTGAACAAAGTATCTATACAGGAAAAGCTTATGCTTACATTACAAGAAGCATTCTTCTTGGTATACGGACTTGGTTGTTTAAAAATTGTAAAGGAAGAAGACCAAATATTGAACATAGAGGAATGCTGGACACTTTTTTGTAATACAGACAAATACTTTGTCAGGAAATACATAGTTTACCACCACTTTAGATCTAAAGGGTATGTTGTGAAATCAGGAATTAAGTTTGGTGGGGATTTCTGTAAGTTATATATACTTATAAGGAGTAAGTTATATATATACTTATTCTTATGCAGAGACTGTAGTTTTCTTTTTAATGTTTCAGTATTGTATAGAGAAGGACCAGAAGTAAATCATGCTGATTATATTGTTGTTATTAAGACTGAAAATGATGCATTTAATTGGATATCTTTGTTGGGTCATGTTAGAATGGCTACAACAACTGTGAAGGTTCGTAAAGTCTATTTAAAAGAATATTAATTTATATATTAACAAATTTATATGTCTAGTTATGTCTTAATTCTGATTAAACTATTAAGGATATTTTTGATTTCAGGAAGTTATGATTGCTGAAGTGAAATCTGAAGGTGAAAATCTACATCTACCATATGACTTGTGTAAATATAGTGTTCGAGAATTGGTTCTCTCAAGGAATTTACCAGTAATAAACAATGAAATAGACTAAATTATGTTTTATTTATCTTATCTACATATAAGTACATTCAACATATTACACTCTTCTTATTGATTTCTTTATACCTGTTTTTCTATATTCACTTCTTTGCTGTAGGTATTCCTCAGTGCATGCATTTTTAAATTTTTCATCTTCATACCATTTAGCCATACAGGATTTTAGTGCTGAGTTTTCATCTCTACATTTAATAACCATTAAAAGAGATGAGGCTTTGCAGCATTTATTAAAATTTTCAACCTCCTTAACGCATTTTTCAGTTTTAGCCTTTTCCCTAATTAGTTTTGGAATTACTACTTCAACCTCGACTTTTCTCAACGATCTGTCATCAGGATCTCCTAAAAAGAGTGAAAATACGTTATATGAAATGCTAGTTATAACTACCCATCTACTATTGATCTTGAGTTTAAATGTTACCTATAACACCTTTATAACAGTTTTAACTTACCAAGTCCGTGAGGTCCCTCCGAAAATTTTGTTGGTAAAACCGTTGCTTCCGGCATTATTTTACAGAAATACGAATAAATATATGTATCACTTTAATTTAATTTATTACTTTTATTTTTATAAACATCTGATTAAAGCTTAGTTTGTCAATTGTCAATATCTTGCTGTCAATTGTCAAACTACCAAGTGCCTAATAATTAATTAGTAAAAGACATATTTTGATGTATTCAGTATTATACATCTGAACAATATTGTAACTTAAACTTTGGATAAAACTACCCGTAAACGAGTATAAACAAGATAAAACATTAAACATTTAAAAAGGTGACACTTCATAAAGATAATTTTAGCTAATTTAGAACCACATAGATTATGAACATAAACATGTAGTAAAGAAGTGTTTGTTTATATGTAAGGAATAATATTACAAATAAGGGGTTCTAAAACTTGTGTTATCTACTGCCAACTTTGAGAATAAATAACTTTTAAGTTCCAACATTTTACCTACTGAAAAACCACTATATATCCTCTTTTTATTACAAATCACCCCTTCTCAGCCGTTACACACGGCCCCCTTTTTTTGCTTCAGGCTTCCAGGCAATAAGGCGTCAAAAGCTAATATAAATGCTAAAGTAACCATCTATGGAAAACTGTCTGTTAAGTTTCAGAACTTCCAGAAAATTAAATATTATTTCTATACAAGAGTGTGTTTTTTAATGGACGATGTATTTAAATAATATATTTTTTAACAAAAAAGAATTAGTCGATGTTTTGTAAATATTTTATTTTTATTGTAACACTCTTCATGAGGTTGCATATTCGACAGCTTTGTTGTCAAAATCAAAATCAAGTCATTCAGATGTCATCATAAAACATTGCTATCCATTTTGTGTGTATCCTTGTTTAAAATTGTGATTATCCTTTAGTTTTAACTGATACATACAGTTTTTATAATAAACTTGAGTATTTGACAGAATAAAACCCACAGGGTAGGTTTTTTTAAACAATTAAAGTACAATGAAATGTTTACGTATCCATTTTCATGGTTATACGGTTTTTATTTTAAAGTTTCAGTTATGGATCGTCTCTTACGGCTTGGAGGTGGTATGGCGGGCCTCTCACAGGCGCCGCCGCCGAGTGATGCTCCTGCAGTGGACACAGCTGAACAAGTCTATATTTCATCATTAGCTTTATTGAAGATGTTAAAACACGGACGTGCCGGAGTGCCCATGGAAGTTATGGGTCTCATGTTAGGTAAAATAAATGAAATCATTACATTCCTGTTTTTTTTCTTATGTATCGGTGTCATTTTGTTTATTTCTATAATTTTGAGTGTTTATATTTATAGGAGAATTTGTTGATGACTACACCGTACGTGTTATTGACGTATTTGCGATGCCACAAACTGGTACTGGTGTGTCAGTAGAAGCTGTTGATCCTGTGTTCCAAGCTAAAATGCTGGATATGTTAAAACAAACAGGCCGGCCAGAAATGGTTGTGGGATGGTAAGTTCATTTTACTTCAAGTTAATATGTAGTTACTCCATATATTTTACATATAATTTTATCATTTATCACCCAAGAAATGCATATATACTTTTATAAACATATTGTTATAATTTATTTTTCCAGGTATCATTCTCATCCTGGCTTTGGCTGTTGGTTATCTGGTGTGGATATTAACACTCAGCAGTCATTTGAAGCATTATCAGAACGCGCTGTGGCTGTTGTCGTCGACCCTATTCAGTCTGTGAAAGGCAAAGTTGTCATTGATGCATTCCGCCTCATCAATCCAAACATGATGGTACTCGGACAGGAACCAAGACAGACAACTTCCAATTTGGGACACTTACAAAAACCATCAGTTCAAGCATTGATACATGGTCTCAACCGTCACTATTACTCTATAAGCATCAACTACAGGAAAAATGAATTAGAACAAAAGATGTTACTTAATCTTCACAAGAAATCATGGATGGATGGACTTACTTTGGCTGACTATAAGGAGCATTGTGCAATCAATGAAACCACAGTCACTGATATGCTTGAACTAGCCAAAAACTACAACAAAGCTTTGGAAGATGAAGAGAAAATGACTCCTGAACAGTTAGCCATTAAGAATGTTGGTAAACAAGACCCCAAGAGGCACTTGGAAGAAAAGGTTGATGTGCTTATGGCAAATAATATTGTTCAGTCCTTGGGTGCGATGCTTGATACCATGGTGTTCAAATGATTGTGTGAGACTGTTTGTGTTAAGGTTAAATAAAATAGCATTTGTGTATCCACTGAGTCTCACAATTCAATTTTTAACCTAGTATTATATTTTATGTATTACTAGGAAATTTTTAACAATAAAAACAGATTTCATTTCTATCTCTTTATTTAATAAAACAATCTTTGTGGTGCTATTTCACTACAAATGCTTGCAAGTTTCTTTTTTATTATAGGATGGTCCATATTTGCAAAGTCTATATCAAACATTGGTTTCAAGTCTTTCTGGGAATTGACTATGTCTTTGATAATATTTTTTAATTTTTTGAATGCTTCATTTGGATTATCCATTGAGACCTGAAAATTTTTTTATTATTCAAAAGTTACGCTTCTAATATCGTATAGTTAATTAATTTTAATATTTATATAGAAAGTCAAAATACAGTATCCCAAAATAGCCCTGGACAGTTATGGTGTATTTCTTCATAATCGTCCCTTATATTTGTTGTGAAAGTTTCTGACGGCAACTGAAATAATTACGAAAAATTGGGCATTTTATTTGTATGTATGTAATTGTTTTCAATACAAGGCATAAATACCTCTTTATAGTTTTCTAGTTGTTTAATTAAAAACTGCTGGTCGTCTATTTTTGTTTCTCGTCGGAGTGGTTCAGCTAGAAACCAATAATTAAGTAATGAAGTCTATGATTTTCACGAGTTCATTCATTTAAATGAAAGTAATATTTTCGGATCTACTTCTTCATTTTTTATTATAAAGTACGTACTCCCGACGTTTCGACTACTTTACAGCAATACAAATAATAACCGAAACGTCGGGAGTGTGTAGTTTATAATCAAAAATAAAAAAAACGCGCAGTAAATCTGAAAATATTGGTTACATTTCAATAATGAAGCATTTAAATATTGTGATCCGAGAAATGCTCTATAATTATAAGATCATGCTGTAATGGAACCAACCTGCGCCTAGGAACGAGATGGGTGACTAGTTTTAAATAAAAACCACCTATATTTTTTTTATTAAAATTTAGGGAACAGTGGGAGGAGGAAGGAGGGGGGGGGGAGGATGTCGTCTTCAATGGACGATAGGTCATGTTTACGCGTACATGCCCAGAATTCAATAGGTTTTTGGTGTGTCAACCCTAACAAAGGAAAGCTAAAGCTTACTTCAAAATTCAACAGTTCCTTGGTTTTCCTTGTTACATGTTACAGGCGAAATATTTTTTTTACTAGTAGCTATATAGACGTTGACAGCGTAACAGGGGAGGGTAACTGCCCTCCTTCGTAGGTTGTAACGTGAAAAGGTAACATCAAGTACTTACACTATATAAAAACATTTAAATTAACGTACAAACATGACTTTCTGTATCGCTAGTTTGCAATAGTTTGTTCTCGAGGAGGAATGCTAGCCACAAATCTGAGTTTTCTGGCCGGGGACGCAGAACCTTGGCGCTTATCGACTTCATTAATACGCTTTCCGCTAGTGATGGTTTTAACAAATAAAAAGAAAATATTTTAAACCTTATTGATGTTAGGTCCTGACCTTAGGTCTAAAATTATTTTGTAGAATAGTGTCTTATTTAAATTTTTATGATACATTCTTTAATAATTGTATGAGAGATAATTATCACCATCTGCTTCACGTGGAGTCTCGACCAACATCCCAGATGGATCAGTTTCCACGTCATTATGTAGTTCTTGACGTTCTTCATAAGCAACTCCTGATGTGAATGTTACGGACTTTGACGACTTTCTGCTGCCAACTGTAACTCATAAAAACATTTCTTTTGTGGAAGCAAGTCTTTAAAATTACTGTAGTATAGGTAGTAGGTTCCTTATATTGGAATTTATAATATTAAGATCCTATTTTATTATATTACCTACATGGAACAATTTGGATCATTAAAATACACAAAGATTAACGTAGGTTTAGTAATTAATATTTTTGGATATAATTACATTGTGTTCAAAGTATATAATTATTGATATGGATAGGTTTTGATATTGACATGGTGTTACACCATATTTATGATAAAAACAACGTTAGTGAAATCCTTTCAACTATCTCAAAGAAAGGATTTTATGATGGTTTCTAAGTATCTATGTGTAAATTCTTTGTCACATTGCATATTATAAGGATTACCTTTCCACGCAGAAGATGCATGGTGCCGACCATGACTGCTCGCTTGATCTTTTGCTGGGAGTGATCGAGTATCAATTGATCTGAAATAAGAAAGTTTATACGTAAGACAACCAGAATATCTTTAAATAAAATTTATAACGTGTAGAGACTAACATCAAAACGTTGTTAGTCTAGAGAACAATTGATTTCATTATTTCTAGAAAAACTGGGTCTCTGTAATATAATTTACAGGTACAGCATCTCTTGATGAGTTAAAGGGACTAGTTTATATTATAATACTTAAATCTTCTAGAGTTTTAACAATTATACCACGAGGGGAACTCAATTACAGAAGTAAGTACTCGGTATATCCCCTTTTGAGGTTTCGGTCTCCTATTATTATAAAAGATACTTTAGTAAATTTTGACAATAAACTATTCCGATCATAGAAGCTATTACAAGTTGGAATCAATATTTATTATATTGTTCAGTAATTGGTGATTAAAAATATTTTTAGTAAAAACTAATCCACGTCTTACACTTTCTTGGAGTACTTTATAAGATAAATGAATATGATAAAAACACACTTTCTATACGAGATGCAATTCATTAACAATGAAATTTTGTATGCTTTCTTTATTGAAAATAGACAATGAACCTTTTGAAAATTGAAATCACCTTTTCGAGTGTTTTTCATGGAATAAAACTTGTCCGTAAACATCGCTTACATATTCATCCATGCCTTGGGGTTGGTTGTATAAAGAAAATAAACTTGAATCTGCAGGACTTTTATTGACTTCTTCTTTAGGAAACGAGGTGGAACTCTGAAGAGGTACAAAATTTAGTGTTACAAAAGTAATTCATTTTTGTATAATCATTTAATAGACCATTGAGTAACCCAAAGCAAAAGTAATAAATTACAAAATCAAAATTATAAGAAGCAGTTTGTTATGTCGAAAATATTTGAAAACATTTCCGTAATACGTTTATATTTTAATGAATTTTAATTTAAAAAGTATGCCTAAGGGCAGAGGCGGTTAAAAATTTGTTTATATATATTTTTCAACTTGTGTTGATAGCTGATTGATTATCGTTGTGTGACTTAGTAATAGGGGTTATATTCTACAAAATTGTACCTAATGATCTTTTTTTAACTTGGTGAATAATGAATACGTCAAGGAATATATCTAAAGTATAAGTATATTTGAGATTAGTCAAGGGCTGCTGGCAAATATTTTCATATTTCGTGTTATGATCCTCACTCGGGTCATCAGTATTAAAAGGTTATGTCATTTTCGAAGACCGCATTGTGTCTACTACCAAAAGTCGTGTGTCATGGCTTCATTTAATACAAGAAAAACAGGGGGTTTTCAAAAGCTTGACTAAAACATCCACTTATCAAATAATGGCTTTCAATTTATCCAATATTATAGGCGAGAAGAGAAACCTCGATTATTTGTCGAGATTAGCATTTTTCTACCACTAAGAGAATTCAAATATTGTAGTATATTTAAGACTAGCTTTTGCCGCGACTCCGTCCTCGTGGAATAGTGACTTACGGCAGATTTTTGGTTCTTCCCACATAGTTCCCGCTCTTGTGGGGTTTTCGGAATGGTCGAGTTCCCGTAGAATTTTCAGGATAAAACCTATGTCTTTTTTATTCACAATGAAGTACTCTTAACCAACAACATATTTATTTGTTTATTTGAATAAAGATTAATATTATTATGTTGATCCCACTTAAACAAATTATTTCGACCAAATTAGGTACCATAAAAACGGTTTTTGTGAGTTAATCTTAAAAGATAGACATATACTGTCGCGGAGTGTTTTTTAGATCTTTAAAAGAGCTATTATTCTTTCCTACATATTTTTTGTGTATCTTGAACCGTTTTCACGGCGCACGCAACGGAAGGTTTCAAAGATGAAATAATTTTTCCCGTTTTTTACACATTTACCACTATATCTTTGCTCCTAAAGGTCGTAGCGTGATGTTATATAGCCCACAGCCTTCCTCGATAACTGGACTATCCAACACAATTATTCAATTCGAACCAGTAGTTTCGGAGATTAGCGCTTTCAAACAAACAAACAAACAAACTCTTCAGCTTTATAATATTAGTATAGATTGAAAAATAAACTAAACCAAAAATTAAATGAAGAAAATATATGTTAATAATTTTCTTAGACAATTTTATAATGACTATTTATTAATAAGTATCTATCAACACGCAATATTTACATCATCCACAGTGCGTTTTTAAATCCCTTTATTAATCACCCTTTTTATTATATATTTGGAGACTTATTTTTTATATATTTTGTTTGTACGGATTTTTTACGATATCAATACGTCATGGTATTTTAAGTTATAATTGATAAGTTCGTGACATGGTCAAACAGAGCAAAGTTTCTACAATGGTTATTTTTTTCTTTGTCTGATAATAGAATGTTAAAAGGATTATAGTATTGTAACCAGTGATCTTGACAAGGCGATCCTATCCAGGCCCCTTACAAACTTTTTTTCTTCTTTATGCTTTCGTCTTAATTCAAGGTCCAAAAGTGAACATTGAGACTCTAGTAAAAATTCAGAGGATTCTGAGTATTCTAATAAATTCTGAAACAAATATATTGGCGATGTTAACTTTTATTAGTACATAGAACGTTGGGACAAAGTATTTCTTTTATTTAATTGCATCATATCCAAGTTACAATGAGGATAACAATTATTTTTATTGGTGCAAACTGGTATTAAGCATACAAATTCTAATCAATTCTATATACCTAATTAAATATTTAGAACGTACTAAAAATTTATTCTTTACTATTTATTTAATAAGAGAATTTACATCTTATTTCCTATATATTTTTAAATATACCTGAACAATTTCATTAAGCAACCCTTTGATAATAATTCTTCCCGACAATAAAACTTGTAAGGTTGACAATTCCGTAGGCGGATCCATAGACAAGCGTTTCTCATACGCCGCGTTTCTTATTCTATATTTGGGAGATAGATTAATTATTGTTAAATCAATATAAAATGAAACAAACAAACATTTCGAGTTATTCAACAAAACATGAAAAATGGGATTATATTTGAGATTTCTTCTAACTATTTTTACAACTTTTTTCAATAAATCTATTGTAATACTTGATCATCTTTGAAAAAATGGTTTTCAGAGATAATATTATTTACTTTTACTAACGTGCATAATTATACTACACCTTTTAATTGTATATTCATAAAAGTTTATTTCAATTACTGAAATTTCTTTCATTGTATTACACTAATTTAATACCTACATCTTACGTTCTTGCTGTCGAAGAGCAAGTGATCGTTTGTCATGACAGAATGTTAGTATCATATAAGGGCGATATCCCCTTAGCTGCAGCATTAAAGCACCGATAAGATCCATTGTGACGATTTTTACTTTGCCATCTTTCACAAACGCTTGTTCACGAGCTGTAAATTACGATATCAATTAATAATAATCGAATTCCTAAGACCAAAATTATTTTTAATTGTATTCTTATAAAAAATATATAAATCTAAATATTATAATCAAACGACTCTATAATAATCATAGTTTTTTAATCTCATTTTTAAAATTGACGTCGATGCAATAAAATATGTAGATACATTATATTCCGATATTTTCCGAAGTAAATAATAATAAATTCTGTAGGTCGAATAAAATGTACAAAGTTCGCGTATAGGAGACAAAAATACTATTGGTAGTAGGAATAAATGTTAACTTGTATGTTAACACATATGTATGCACGTATGCAAGAAATTTGTAATAGTGCTGTGAGCGCGTTTAAAAGTTCCCTTCTGACTGAAAAATAGGTTAATCGGTTTCGATAAATTGTTAATCGTTAACGTCGCTATTGTGGCGGGAGTTTCATTGGATACATTAAAAATGGCGTTTTACTAGCACAATAAAACGAGGTTCACGAGTTCAAAGAATATTTTTTTTGTTATCATTGTAGATTTTTTGTGGATACCTACTAATGAGTAGGAGTAATATTAAAAGACATTTATTTTAATAAGAAGCTATGAATAAGAAAATAATATTCATATTATGGATATAATATAAAATAATGGAATAGCAGTCTGTCTGGTAAATAATATTTCTTAGTTAAAACAGTCAGACAATGTTGGGTGACTTTTTGTACTTGTTCAATATATAATCGTCTACATATGAAGGTATAATAATAATAGTATTTACTTAGTCCATATGATTCGCCGTCCATTTCACTATAAGTGAGAAATTCGCCGTCCAAAAGCATTTCATCAAAATTTTTCCGTGACACAACTATGTAATGATCTATCTGGTGATAGAAAGCAGTTGTATGTTGTAGAGCTAGTTCAACGTTTGAACTGCATTCTGTAGCAAGACGACGGGCAAGTGCTCCTGAATAATTTAAAACAACATTTGCACTTAAAATATGTTTTTAAAGCAAAAAAGAGTTACTTTGAGTTGGAAAATTTATTATTAACTTTATTACAATATTGAATATAGCACCCGATTAACTTTTCTCTTTTCAGGCAAAATGCCAAAAAAGTCAAGTTGGTTTTTGTGTGGATTGCGTCAGATGGTCCTGTAAAGGGTAGATAATAGTTTTTGGCTCTTGAATGTTTGTCTTAATTAATGTATATTTTGTAATTTTACTAAATATTAAAAACATAGGGGACAAAAAACTTGATAGCCTTAACTTTGTAATAAAATAAGATTGTTTTCATTTAGTTTACCTTTACCAACAGCTTCGTATCCCACAAGTATAACGATTGGTACATCCGTGCTATCTGCTGGTGGGGTGTACATGGATACTCGAGCTCTGGACAACTGTTCAATGTACAGGAGTCGTGAAAGACGTCGAGCAGCAAACGTTTGTATGTCTGGCGTCATATTCATTTTTAGCGTCCTCTGCAGAAATAGAAGAAAACAAATAAGAACGAAAGCAAAAATACAGGATGCTCATAATATAAAATACGTATGTAAACACTGTTGACAACATCATTGTCATTTGGTTCGGCAAAAATAGAGCACCCCTTATATATTATTTCCGCACAACTATTTTTACCCTCATTTTTATTTTCACGTATCATGTAATAGAACAATTTTATTATTCGCCTTTTAGCACTGATCCTAGTTTTCTTGTTATCCGATAAAAGGATTTTGTTGTAAGCTTAAGACTTAAAGATATTTGTAATGTAAAAAAGGTTGGACTAAGATTTACACAGAAATTAGTTCCTAGTTTGAATATACGTAGATTCTTATATTCTTTATATTTAATGTAATATTATGAGATTTTAATGGTTTTAAACTTTGTAAGTCCAAGAGATCGTTAATTTAAGATTTCAACGATTTTTATTTGAAAGGAATGTAAAATTAAAAGAGTATAAAATTAAAAGAGTATTTTTTAACTAAGCCCGAATGAATATATCGGTTATGTTTAAAATAAGTTACAATTTAATATAAATGCGACACATATTTATGTTGTGACATTCATATAAATTATAATATTTACCGGTTTGGATAGACGACTGAAAACGCCTAGTATTTAATTATAATTATGTTAAGAAATATACATTTTTTAATAGTAAAAAAAGTTATTAAGTCTAAGTATTTTTTAAAAGAGAATACTTTTGTTTAACTTCCATTTTCTTACCAACAAAACAAAAAAAAAAATACATATGTATATGGTAAGCTTATGTAAGAAGGTATAGTATAAAGTATCGTTCAAAATAGTTACTTGTTCAATAGGATCCAAGTCTTCGTTGTCTAAATTTAGTAGTACAGGAAATGTGTTAATGACCACATCTTTATAACCCGGAACATTGCACATTGGATTCGATCGCAGGTCAATCAACACGAGGCGCCGCATTGTCCTCATGTATACTGCTAACTCCAAGAGTATGCCTAGTTGATTATTACGTACATGGAGCTCTTTTAATCTATTCAAAATTAATAACAAGGCATAAACTTAACTTAGTACTTATTTTTTAAGTCTTGGCTATTAAGGAAGGAATAAAGTTACCTTGTGCACCCCGAAAATAATTTCAATGAGGAGAGGTTGTTTTCGTTCAAATTTAGATACTCTAGGTGTAGCAAAGTCCAAAGACCCACATCATGTCCAAATTCGAAACTACTTATATTGTTATTTGATATGTCCAACCACACAAGTCTAAGATGATTAAGATTTTCTAATCTTTGGATGTGATTAAACGATAAATCGAGGCGACGGAGATATCTAAAATGAATTTCATTCTTTAAGACCATATCAGTAAGTAAAATATTTCAATTCCGTAAATATACCTTAAATTTTGAAGTCCACTAATATGTTTTATATTGTTGTGTGATAAATCCAGCACTGTCATCGACCAAAATTCAGTTAAATCCTGAATGTTCATTACGTTATTGTACTTAAAATGCACTTCTGATAAAAACCATTGTGCTGTCAGCGTAAAAACCATAATTGCTCTTAATGAGAGAATTCGCGTTCATCATTAAATATATGAATTAAAAACAATTATGACTCACCGGGGCTGTAATCTAGAACTGACTTTAGTCTGTTGTAATCAACGTTTAAATATTGTAAGTATGGTAGGCTTGAAAGTACCGTCAGATCGCTTAAATAGTTGCATGATAAATCAACATAAACTAGGTATTTGTAGTGTTGTAAAACCTCGATGTTTACTAATTTCTGTTACGTAAGAATTCAATTAAAACAGTGTAATGTGTTTCAATAGTTCAGTATAGCATTTAAAAAATTCAATTGCTTTGCTCCCCAGGACCCAATAAAGATAAATACAAGATATTGAGTTTAAAACTAAAGTTATAAACTCCAAACGGTGACGTACTTACTTTAGATGATAAATTTAATTTTATATACACAAAGTCTCCCAGTATTGGAGTTCGTTTCAAATAACTTAGACAAGCGGTGACCATGTCCCTTGTGAGAGTTCCCTCTTCTAGTGGTGGCACATCTTCAATATTTCTTATTTTGACCACGGGGGAATAACTATCATCGTAAAGTTCAGGGAAGTTATAGAAACATCCCCATAATTGGTCTTCATTTAACAGTGGCGTTATGATGATTGGAAACTGAAGGTACAAAATTGAGCTAAGGACTTCTGTCATCAATCTTTATTATATTAAGCAACTTAATAAAAGATTATTAAAGTACGGACTAGTTTTAAAGTCACATTATTCATTTAGAAATTCAGTGCTGAAATTTACTAATGGTTGAAAGAACAAATTATCTTACATTTTCAGATGTCAAACTGTCTCTTCTTTTCCTATCCAGAATATCAAAAGCTAAACTGATAAGTGCTTTCGGAAGAAAGTTGGAGCTGAATATATGTTGGTCTGTAAATATACATATTTTTTAAAGGAGTAAAATTAATTTAAATATCCAAAATAACTGCAACTAAACTAAGTAAGTAGTAGGTACCTTTGGATACATCGTGTAATGACAAAGAAGATAAATAATTAATTTTTGAAATTTCATTCCAAGTTTTCAGAACACTGCCATATTGTAAAACTCTGAAGGTTGTATCAGATATTCTAACAGATTTTCTAGATTTCAAGTTTATATCAATGGACGTAATATCATCAGTGGCCTCTTCTTCTGTTACTTTATTATTATCTTCATCCATTTTCTTAATACTTCCAAGCAATAAATTATAATATGTGTTGCGGTTTCTACCAGTTTTTTTTAAACAAACCTTGTTTCCATAGATACGATATTAAATACGTCAAATAGTCAAAAAGTGTGTACATAGCTTTTTTCGTTCAAAAGTTATCAAGGACCACAATACACGAATATTTGTAATACTGATCTAAATTTCTGATCTTTTGGCGACTGCCTTTTTAAAGTTTTCAGATTCAACAGTCAACGCACGCCCGCGCAAAAGATGCCAATTTAACGCATGCGCAATGATGCCGATTTAACGCATGCGCATTAAAGACGAAACATTACCTTATGTGCGGCGACCAATCAAAACGCCTGTTTTATTGTACTAGCTGATATCCCTATTTTAATATCTAATCAATTTTTCTAGTATAAATAGCTGTAAATATTTTCATTAAAGCATTCCTTCAACAACGGAAAAGAGTATTATTTTCTCCATTCGACTCAATTCTTAAAGTTACTTACATACTTTTAATCATACGTTACGAAATACAATTGTTTACAGACATTTAAAATACATATTTTGATTCATGATTTGTTAAAAGTTCCATCTATCAATATAAAAACGAAACATTTTCGATCGGCCGCTGACAACTGCTAGCGCCGCTATTCAGCCAGAGCGGCGGTATGCACAACCACTCTGTTCTTATTTTCAATACAAAAAATTTCAAGGACGATCTACAAATGTTTACAGGAAATGTTTGTATAAAATTAACACATGCATAGTGTTCGAGAATCACTGATTAATTAATTTGTATTTTTTAAAATGTCGTAGAAATTCCGTTAATTGTCAAACGAAACGGGGCTCTCTGATTGGTCCGTCAACTGTTCATATATTTTTATTCGCCATTTTATTTTTATTGAATTGTCTTTCTAAGCGCAAGTGAATAAGTTTTAATTAGTTAAATAGTAAACAGTGGACTAATTTATTATCGAATTGTGGAAAATTATATCTGTGAGCTCTGTGCTTGTGATATGTGATTGTTGAAATTAGTTAGATTTTTAATATTGTCGTTTGATAATAGAATTAAAATAAGTGTAAAGTCAAGGTGTGTGACCAGTTGAGATTGAACTAAAAGAAAGGTAATGTTATTCGTTTTAATAAAAAGTATTATGATAGTTTTAATTAGTTAGCAGTTAACAAATAAGTTATTTTGTTTGCCTTGTTTGTTGTTTTCAAATGATAATAATAAGAATGTCTGAATCTCCACAGGATACTTCTATTTAAACAACTTTTATAAAGCTGTGATGAACAGATCGTAATTGTATTAAGCTACTTTCGTGGTTCAGGTATTTTAGAGATTCATAAAGTATGTATAGATATTCGTTCTGATCGGACTGTTGTAACATTAAGCGCGAATATTATCAATGTTTGAATGAAACTAATATTTTTTGATTACTTCGCGTATTATATTATGTTTAAAAACGACATACTCTCGACGTTTCGATTACTTTGCAGCAACCGTGTTCAAGCAGACATCTCGTCTGCCCGTTAAAAATAATAAAAATGTTAGTTTCATTTAAAATTTAAAACAAAACTTGCGAAAGATATCTTTATTATCAATGTTTAAGACCAGGAAATGATGAAAATTGGTATTTTATTTTTAAAACATATTCTGCTTACGGCTTACCGTACCCCAAATCTCTGTGCACGCCACTGTTCCATATGGCTGTTTGTTTTACCTCACGGTTATTTAGCTATAAACATAACTGCCTTAAAACTCTTTAAAAACCATCAACTGAGTGCTGATTTGTTGTAGAATGAGACATTCAATGAATTTTTGGGCAACTATTAATAATATCAAAGTCTAATTCCAAGAAATATTGCTAATAAAATTTGCTTAAATCCAAGAAATTCGATTGTTTTTATTAAATAAGTAATGAGAGCCCGACCGTAATTACGCGGTTCCACTGAATATGAGAAAAAACTTGAAATGATGTAACAAAATTACCTAAACGTAAGGATGATTTTTAAAGATACAATAATTCTTGACCTAAGCTGGACAGAGACTACATATTGTTTTCGGATATATACAACGCATGTATCTAAAAATTTATAACCTGACACAGGAAATTAGTGATAATTTGTTCTTTAAAAAAATAAAAAAAAACTACTATTTCTTTTTTTATGAATTCTTTTCTAACCAAAGTTCTAAAACCTTTTAAGCGTACATATATCATAAGACCACACACACAACTTTTTACTGTTTAAGTGAGTTTAATAAAAAATGAGCACATATAAGTCGTCTTTTAAATTTTAATTATGTACTGTATAGACTTAGCAAATTAAAAATAAAATTGAAGTGAACTAAAACTAAATATTTTTAATTCCTTCTCTAAGCCTGGCCTTGGACTTTTTTTCCAAATTAGACTGTTTTTTATTCACTAGAAGATGTATACTTTAACAGTCAATAAAGTTGTGTTACTTAAATGATATGAAATTGAAACGGAAAAATTAAATGAATAAACATTTATTAACTAAAAACATGATTCATAAAACGTACTCGTATTCAATGGAATACGAATTATAAATAATTAATCTATACTATTAAAATGTAATACCATTGTTTCAAAGTTTTCAGTAGCAATAACACAGCATGATGTTTACTTCGAACAGTTGGATATGTTTTTTCAAATTTAAAATTTTCAAAAAGTCTATAGATCTGTATGGGAAAAGAAAAGCTATTATATTTGTTCTTAATGTTATTTTTGAAGGGCCCATACCAAAAATATTTATAAACTACCGCTTTCACATTAACGCGATAATACCGATGATTCAAAAGTTCCGTTGTTTTGCCCACTCTTGATATTTTATGTTTTAATAAGTAAGTTAATTATGTCTTTCTTTAAAAAATGCTATCTGATATTTCAAAGAATCAACCATTCGTGATTCTGTTTGAGATGGTATAACTAAATTCAATTCACTAGAAAGTGCAGACAAATTATTAGTTATTTCTTATACAACACTTTGTTTTAGTTACATGGGAAAATATTTTTTTAAGACTATATTTTTTGAATTTGAGGTTCTCTCCGGACCGTATTTGGAGTTTTGGCTACTACTCAAGTTATTTATTTTTATTACCGGAGAGGATAAATTACGTGAGATGAGATGGAGTGGTAGTATAGAACGTCGTCTGACTGAGTTAAAAGGTTGGTTTAGATTACAGATGTCTTCTCTCGTCCTCTTGATAGGCTAGGGGAAATAATTCCAACAAAAACTTTTATTTGTGAGTGGGCAAAGTCCCCCATCACATCGCACTCTTTTTTTTTTTTTTTTTTTTTTTTTTTTGGTGTCGGGTTGGAAAATCCTCATGGAGCCCCACCGCCCTCGGGGAAGGACGGAGGGGACTGTCAGACTCCTACTGACTAAAAACCAACCCGTGTGCCTCATCTACCCGTGTGCCGGAGAGGTGGGTATCGCCGAAGCATTCGTCGCTACCTCCCCGACAGGCATTGACCCGCCAGATGGTCAGGCGGGCCCCGTCATCCGGTCATACACCTTAACTATGAGGCGCGCGCGGATTACACGCCTCCCCCTCGAAGCCTGTAGCTGTTATCGGACGACAGATGCCCCGAATCTGTCGTCCACAGGCCGCGCTCTACGGTGGCCGGAAATCGGTCACCCTACGGCGCGCAGTGCGTCTAGTGCGGGAGGGGAGAAAGGAGGCAACCTCTCTTTCCCTTTCCGCTACCTCCTTTGCGCGCATCACTGCCTCGCAGAAGGTGGCGACGGCACACCACCCTGACTCGCTCCCCACCATAACTGATACAACTGCTTGGAGTGACAGGTTTCCTGCCACCCCTACCGCCGCAACCAAGTCACGGCGCTGCTCGGCCCAAGCTGAGCATTCCGCCAATGTATGCAGCGCCGTGTCATTGGGGCAGTCACCGCAATGTCGGCACTGGGACGTCTGTTCCCGACCTATGCGGCACAGGTACTTCCCGAAACATCCATGTCCGGTAAGTACCTGCGTTAGCCGGAAGCTGAGGGCGCCGTGACTCCTGTTCAGCCACTCCTGTAGAACAGGTCTTACCGCCGCTATAACGGCGTGCCCCGCCGTGGGTTGCGCTAAGCGCGTGTGCCACTCCGCCATTAGGACCTGGCGGAGTTCCGCCCTCCGTGCTCGTAATAGTCGAGGCATCAGGCGTTCGCCTCTCTCGACCGCCTCCGCGCGCCACCGATAGAGCGTTGCGAGGAGTTTTGCCTCTAAGTCCCAGGGCGGGGATCCGGCTAGGAGACTCGCTGCCTCAAAGGAGATCGTACGGTAACCTCTGATGACCCTAACCGCCATCGCGCGCTGCGGCCTTCGCAGTGCAGCGACGTTTCGGGTTGTCAGGGCATCTCCCCACACTGGCGCGGCGTATAGTGCCATCGACCGTAAGACCCCCATGTAAAGTCTCCGGCACGAGGAGTTGGGCCCCCCCACGTTGGGCAGCAAGCGCGAGAGTGCAGAGGCGGTGACCAACAACCTAGGGACGAGCCGTGTAAAGTGCGGCCCGAAGTTCCACCGACTGTCGAGGATGATTCCAAGGTACTTCATCGTCGACTCGACAGCGATGGACACCCCTCCTACAGTGATGCTGGACCCCGAAGGCGGTTTCATTCTCGGCCCATGAAAATATAGGGCTTCAGACTTGTGCAATGCCACCTCTAAGCCCAGCCGCCGTATTCTGCCCACGACGTGCGCGACACCAGCAGTTGCACGTATGTCTGCTTGACGGTACGACTTTCCACGCGCTGTAACTAGCGTGTCATCAGCGTAGCAAATGACGTTGACACCGTGGAGAAGCACACCGCGTAGAGCCCAGTCGTATCCTACGTTCCACAGTAGCGGCCCCAACACCGAACCCTGCGGAACGCCGCACGTCGTTTCTCGTCGACCCCATCCTTCCCGAACCGGGTACACCACAGACCTTTCGGACAAGTAAGCCCCGACAATACGCTGTAGGTAGCGTGGCACCGCA